TTAGAGAGTAACTAGTGGAGACTCTGCAAGGCCATTCCATTCTAGGGGGCGTGCAGGTTGTAGACAGCATCCGTCAGTGGGATTGGGTACGAGCTCTAGCCTTTAGTTAGGGGAGGGGAGGAGAGGAAAGCTTGTGATAGAAGGTGATGTGTGGTATTTGAGACCTGCCCGCACGGAATCGATACCGAGCGTGCGGCAGATAAACCTAAAAGCTCGGGTCTAGACTCACTTCAGCCACTGCCCACTGCTTCTGCCTCTGCCACTACCACTGTTCAAGACAGACCGGCCGTGCCGAGGCGAAGGAGAGACAGGCAGACATACTGGTGAGAGATGGGGTGAGGTCATAGTAGGCTGATTCTGACCATGACCACGATTCTAGATGGGCTATTACGAACCGGCAAATAAGAATTGGAAACCGCATTCATGTTGTTCACCTGCAGTTTATTCATTCATTCATTCATTCATCCATCCTTGAAATGTGATGTGATGTAAGAGAGCGGACCCCACCCACGGGAGGAAATCGTCCTCATCCAATGTCGAGATAGGATATTTACCGAAGGGGAAATGATCCTAGTGCGGAATATTCGACGTATCATAATTGGACAGTACTTCAAGACATGGTGCAACCGATTTCTGAACGGTCTCAGAATGCTGTAGAGATAATCTATAGTTGACAGAACCCATTAAATTCTCAACACCAAAAGTAAACAGCAACAAATTCTTAGCATTGGTATACAGGACCTCGTAAAAGGGCCCAACCACTGGAGCAAAAGACATCGATTTAAAAATGTAGGGCATAAATTCGTTGTTGGTTTGCTCTCTTTCCCAAACACCACATTTATGACGAATCTCCTGGAACATGATTTATTACCAACCAGGAGCGAACAATACGGAAACCCTCGTCACTGAATCTGATCACACGGGTAAGATTATCCCATATCGTACCAAAGGTCCGTGGACCCTCAACTCTTTATACGGGAAATCGTGCCATAAGGTTTCCCAATCCGTTCCTTCAACGGAGGGTCCGCGTCGCTCAGACCCAAAACTCTTGTCCTGCATCTGTGCTGAATCAACACGCCAAGCTTCACAACATGGAACTGTATGGCTCTGCATCAACAGTGGGGGCAAGAACAGATATTAATGACCTTATGCAGTGATGGAAATCGAAGTGCGCCGCTGCCCCTGCTCCCAAAAGCTCGTGCCTGGCCGATCATCTGTTGGCGGCACTTCTGACATCTCCCAGTTCAAACAACGACAAGACAACACAGGCCTATAACATGCTTTGATTGTCAAAGCGACAAACTCAAATAATTAGCCGCCTCACTGCTTTGGCAAACGTGCCAAATCGGCTTCGTTCCGTCCAGCTATGAGACGCACAGCCTTGCTCTATCGTATTCCCCGATGCTTGTTCGTTTCCTATATGTTTTCTCACGGGTTCAAAGCTCAAACGCCACATGCAATCAATTCCCGTCCGGAACGTCCATTGCTGGTGTCGGGTGCTTTTATTAGCTGCAGATCCCGTAAACAACTTGGAAGGGGGTAGAGGCCAATGAGAGAGCAGAAATGAGCCTGCCCGTTGGCAATGTCTCAGCAGCATAACGTTTACATGACGACAGCCCTTCAACGGTTTGCCTAAAGACATATACTGCCGCGATGCAGAATCCGTCAGATGCGGTAAAGTTGCCGTCAAGTGAGCTGTCATATCATTCGCTCGCGCGTTTGACAGCGACGAGACCCCGACACTTCAATCTCAATATCAACCCCCAGGCTCATTGCATTGGCGAGCTTTACGCGAGTTGGCTGCCGATTGCACGTTTTCTCTCTCGGATATAGAGGCAAGCATTAGGCATTCACCCACGTTTGGCGGGGAGAGTTGAATATCGAGATGAGGCGTGGCGTATTATCCTTGCAACTCGTGGACCCCCCCCCCCCCCCCCCCATATCAGCCCAGATTCATGACGATGTTGAGCCTCACTGACCGCCTCAGTCCTCAGGCTTGTCAGCCCGAACCGTTGCCGATAACACTGAATACTAGTAATAATTGCGTAGCTTCGTGGGTTCTCCTGTGTGTTTGTGTGATGCTAATAGGGGCTTCCGCCAACAGTCGATTGCCGTTCATTTATCATATTCGTTCAATCTTTCGGATATACAAGTGATACATGTATGTTGCTATTTTCCCGTGAATATCACATTCTGACAGGTATAAGCCAAACTCGCTCGGGTATTATCGAATTTGTCTCTTTTCCCCCTTCTCTCTTTCTCACACACTCTACTCTATCCGTGTAAGGTATGGTCTGATTTCCCCTTTATCCCCTTTCAGCGAGATGCACCGAGGTAAGAGAATGGATGGATGGAGGATGTTGTTGTCTGGGCCTACTTCCCTTTTCGATTTGTTACTGTCGAACCCCCGCCCCCTCCACTTTCCGCTTTCCGCTTTCCGCTTACACGGATTGGAACCTTCAACTTATCCAAGTAAGAGTTACCTTCCGTACCTTCCCTCTCTGAATAGGTTCGTTTTCTCAGACCCTGTCATTGAATCTCGTCTCGCGCCCCTATCATCTTATTTTATGCTATACAATAACTCTTCGTAGCAATGGATCATCACCGGACGTCGTTCTCCATCACGAGCAGGCCCTCAACGACGTTTTATCTGCGTCCAGATTTATAACTCCCCAGTTGCCAAGGGTACGAGGACATACACACATGCCTGCATACAGCTCAGTTCTATGCGCATGCCTCATCGACAACAACAACGTGGCAGCCCTTGTCTTCTCGCTTCCAAAAACAATCCCCCAAATCTGAGGCGACTCCATAATCGATCGCTTGGCTCCTGCTAGGATGCCTTTCCCGCCTGATTACCATGTCTAATTATCCGGCTTGGTAATTCTTTTCTGACGTCTTTCATCGTCGCTAAGATGCATAGCACTTTACGGACCTACAAGAGCATTCTCTTCATAATTACTAATTTTGAACATTAGCCTTTAGCTGTTGTCGTCGAATCTGCTGACTTAAAGATCATGCGACCCTCCCGGACATAGCTCAAGCTTACACGGCGCAGCTCCCCTCGACTCTTCCTAACGTTAGACATCAAACTCAATATCCATCCGCCATCCCACCCACAAAGTACCTAGCCTGTCGCCGGCTTAATCTGGCGTCCCTGGCATTTCAACCGCCCCCATTCACACCTGTGCACCAAGACAATTCCCCGGTCACCGTTAAACCGCTGCTCGCTGCAAGTTGTCCTGCAGTCTGCCACACTTCTGGACGGCCACCCGCCCGGGATCCCGGCTCTCAAAAGCTAAGGTCCATTAACCGTTGGCTGTCATGATTGCACGACATGGGTTCCAGCGGGCGCCTCAACTTCATTTAACGCACCGTTTCTGAATCTGAAACCAGGACCGCACATATACAAAGTTATTCTGCTGTTAGGTTAGGGTTTACTCCTTCTGGGCCTCGACTAATTACCACCTCGATGCTCTGTCAAGGGAATAGAGGTCCGGCTCGCCTCTGTTTCATCCCCCGGCCGTAACCTTCAAAAGGCAAAAACATGCAATGGATGTGCTCTCGTTTATCCTCTTTTCGAAGAACACGTATACGTGTTCCTGCACTAAAGCATACATACGTAGTACTTACTGCAAGTGCAATCGGGTCTTGTGCATGTCGAAATCTGACGTACATGATTTTTCGTCCTGTCTTGAGCTCATCCTAGCTGCCGGGGCAGTTCCCCATCTGCATGAGTCTCCTTTGTCTCTGATCTCTCCGCGGACTATCTCCCGTTTCTGGGTACCAGTCCGCTGTCTTGAATCCTCTGATCTTCAAGTGACGTCGCTCACTACAAGACCCCTGAGAGACACCCTTACGCAACCAATCGATGAAGCTCGGGCCCAGCGTGCTACACTTGCCTCACTTTATACTTTTCTATTAATGGCTGCCGTATGGCTCTACTGCACTAAGTTAGAACATTTGATGTTTCAAGCTTGATACTAAAGAATCTAAAAATGAGTGCCGTAGGGTCGGCTCTCTATAAAAGACACTGCATGGTGCTGATTTTACGTGCAACAATTGAACAAGGGTCTGGATATCAGGCGATGGCATTTCTCAACAGACCACTAAGAGAACCTACCATCAAAACCCACAGGTTCCAGAACACAAGTCGAACTCAATATCTGTAATCAAACGACCGCGGTCCTTGTCGGTCTGGTGTGAGCACACCCACTGCCTGACCATTGGCGCGTTTTGTAGCCGTTTCCAGGTGCAAGCTTTCTGTTGATAACACCACATCTGCATTGCTGCGTTCGTGGCATTTGACCCTCACTGCCAGTTGATCCGATACCCACGACTTTGAAGCGAGTTTCAGGACAAGGAATTCTACCGACGATCTCTCTAACAGCGTTGACCCAGTTGCCTGGTTTCTGGGGTTCAGAATATGAGCCTTTTAATTTTTTACCAATGCTCTCCCAATGCCACGCTGTTGGTTTTCGAATCAGGGGGGATTTCTTTAGCATGCTATGCCGAGCCTCGGAGAAAAAAAAGAACATCCCGACCCAGCAAATGTCATGCCAAGGATCCTTAAAAGTGATGGCCACAATCGTCCTCCTGCAGATAGTATGTTCTTCATGTGAAGACCTCATTAGCCCGATAAGGCGAGCTGCAACGCAACGACACAATAATTACATGAAAGGCAAATTGCGCTACAGAGAGTTACTTTCACATGCTATCTCAAGCATGTCAGAAATATGCCATTTTTATTTATAAAGGGGTCTATTTTGGAACTAGAACGTTTGACTTGCAATTGTCGTGACTAATTGTGACGCCAATAATCACGACACTTCCTGGTCACTTAGATAAGAGCATTGTACAGTGAATATACTATTCTATGCGTATTCAATGAACATGAGACAGACTCTCATATGAAATCTTGAGCCTTTGTCATATGAATCTTCCATTACAGGAATGCCACAGCTATGCGCTTATCTTATTCTCGGGCCTACTTCCTTGACCTATGAGATCATTACTTCGCCAGCGCCGGTCGCGAGTGTCTCTGAGCCGTCATCTTCGGAAGACTTAGGTATGTTGGTTATGCCTTTGGACGGCGCAGTTTTCATCTCTAACACATCGCTGTCGCTGCCATGTCGCTCGAGATCCTCGAATGTGAAAGCATCGGAGAGGTTTACAGCTAGGAATGTCTTTGGTAGTTTGACCCTGCATACGATATTAGCCCGAGACTCACACGGAAAAGATAAGAGGATGGTGGATGGGAGGCCTTACTGGTTGAACTTGGCTCTGAGTGTCTTGATGACCTGCAACCAGTCCGCGTGCGGTGTCAAACTTCGCCTGGGTGCGAATCCGATGCAATGCCTGCTGTCGAGTTGAACATGCAGAGGATCGAAAACATGGCATCCGGGGCTGATGGTGATGCGAATACTGTACGTGAATGTCGGGGCGTTGTGAGGTGACGTCCCATCGCCTGACGTCTTCATCTCTGCTTCATAAAGCTCGAAGCAGATCTGAGAAAGGTAGTCAAGCTCCGGGATAGTGCTGCGGTTGATCTTCGTCTCAACACCTCCCTCGATGATGCAGTTCAACAAGGTATAGATATGCGACTCCTTGGTGAAGTAGAAGAAAGACTTGGCATCGTCTGATGCCTGCATCTCCTCCAGATCCTGCACAATCTCTTTGAGCAGAGGCAAAGATGTGAGCAGACCGATCTCGAGTTTCTCGCTATCCGAGATACCGTATTCTTGGGGGCAGATAAAGTCAAACAAGACCTTTGCAAGACGGTAGAGTTCCTGTAGAGGTTCGTTAAGAGCATCTGTTGTAGATGTGGTCTGTTTCGTGCCCTTGTAAAGTCGGAAGTATTGCTCTGGTGGTGCTTCCTCGTTGAAGTGCCGCAAGTTGTTGAGGAACGATCGTCTTCTAAACAGCTTTTTCACGGACGCCGATCGACTTCCTGCATCCGCCTTGTCCGACCCTTCAGGGGATTGATGTTGGCTTTTGTCTGATTTCTCCTCAGGGATCTTACCCTCTTCCGACTCCTTTGATTTTCCGTCCTTGCTACCAGCGGCACTGCTGGTACCAGCTGCCGTGTACTCGTCCAGCATTTGGTTAGGTGGCGTGTACACCCACTCGAGGAACTGTCGGTTGTGCAAGGCGTCGAACTTCATGGTGTCATAAAGTTCCGATATCTTGCTTGGATCAACCTTATCACCATCACAGAATTCCTGGAACAGCTTCTCCCACCGTTCACGGAAGAGCTCGGCGTCTTCACCACAGCACCATCGAGACTGAATCTGGCTGAGAGTGTTTGCCTGTGAAATCGAAGAGGACGCAAGAGATGAGCTCGAGTTATCCCCTGATAGCTTCTCGGTACTTGGGTTCGAGATGGCATTTAGCGACGTGACGGCACCACTATATAACTTTTTATAGTTGTGATCCATTACGCGTCGGTGGAATTTCATCAACTGCACCACTCTCGTCTGCACTTCAGAAGGCTCGGGCATGTTTTCTGGCCAAGTGAATTGCGCAGGACGTTCATTGCCCTTGCGTAGCAGGCCCTTGAGCTTCTTCTTGACCTTGTCCATCTCGTCCTTGGCAGCATTGGAATCATCCAATAGATCTTTGCGAATCGTAATGAAGTCTTCGGGAATGTCTTTTTTACCTAGGAAAGAAGCAGCCCAAATTTGGGCACTGGTAGTTACGCGTCGCTCAGAACTGCTGAAAACATGAACTTCGTCGAGAATGTCCCTGTTCAAAAGCATGAGATCGTTCCGCATATTCTCACCGAGTTCTTGAGCCTGGTATCGAGCTGAATGGGTCGGTTCGCCTCCCCATTTGACAATGAGTTGCAGTTTGTCGAGAACCAGCCTCTCCTCGGCGGCGGTGAACTTGGACATTGTGACTCCAGAAAGTGAGTCCTGTCGTTTTGGGACCCCAAGAGACTTATCTTCCTTTGATGAGTCGACCTCTTCATCGACCTTGTCTTTCTTGTCGTCTTTTTCCTCTTCTTTCTTCTCACTCAACTCCACCAGCTCCTCACTAATTGCTGGCTCTTCTGTCTTCTTCTTTCGAAACATAGGTTTGATTTGGATCTTTGTACCTGGCCAGCTGCCCTTCTTGACAAGGACGTTTCGGAGAGATCGAAGCTTGGCACGATCCTCAATACCTTGTTCATAGGCAAGGTCCACGGCTTGCACAACACTTCCGAGCGCAGCTTCTCCAATAAGCAGAACTTCTTCCTGGTGGCCTTTAAGGAGCGCAATAAAGGGTTCCGAGTGGAAAGTAAATTTGTACTTCTGCTTGGGAGTTCGATCTGCGTGTCGAATAACAGAAACCATGCCCTTCAACTTCCAGGAGTGGGTTGGTAAAGGAGGCTCAGGCACAATGGCTGCCTCTTCTGGCGGTGCTTCTGGATTGGCACTTTGTTGTTCTGGGGGAGCGGAAAGTATTCCCGGCAAGGACACATCAAGCGGAGTGGGTGGGATTGTTGATGTGCCAGCTATGCTATGTGCTTTCGGGGGCATTCCATGATCAGGAGGCAGAAGGGGAGTAACTGTACCGCTCACAGCGCGGCGCGAAGAGTCATCGGGTAACGAGTCGGTAGTGTTTGAGATGGAGTTCATGCTTGTCCTAACCCCGGCAGCGCTCGACTGGCCTTGTTCGCGGTCCTTGAACGCCATGGAGGCTCGCGTGAAAGGATCGGTGTCTGAGGGTGCTGGCGATGGCATGGGTGGGGTGACACCACCACGTCGCATCTTCTCCTTGACAAAAAGATCCTTAAGGATGTTGGAGCAATGGTCGTAGTAGTCATCGTTGTCTTTGACGAAACTCCAGCCATTCACATCGATGACATAACTCTTTCCTGACGCCCGCAACATGTCAAATCCACAAACTCTCTGCCCAAACGCGGTCGAGATCCGACTGGCCATCTCCTTCTCTTCGGTGCAAAGAGATGTGACATATCGCAGCTCTTTACCATGGGTGTTTCTTCGCACCACTCCGTCTACGACAGGGCTCTTTCGGGTCTCTGCGTGACAATAAGTTGGACCAACTGTGTAGGCTTTCACATCTTCGGCGTTGTCCACTTGCATAAAGCTTTCATAGATGTAACTGCTACCTGGTTCGGTGATGGCTCTCGGCACGTTGAGGTCCTTGATGTAATCAGAACTCTTGTTTCCGATCTTTCGGAATAGTTTTCGAGCACCACCACCATCTTCCGAGGGGAAATATATGATAATATTGTGGTCTTCGCCGCTTGTTGGTTTCTCAACGAAGGGCTTTCTGAGTGTTAGGCCGTCCACGCTGATCGTGTTGTCATCATCAATCAGTTCAACCTTCTGAGGCGGTGGTACTTGTGATGGGTCGATGGGATCGAGGACAACCCCAGAAATCTCCTTGATATGCTTGGACATTTCGGGGGTAAGATATCGGGGGCCTCCATCACGAGTTACCTCGACACGCTTTGGGGTTCGGACGTTGATTTTGTCGAGCAAGTGTAAGCATAGGCGACGGTCCCACAAGATCTGCTGCATAGGAACATCGTTTACACAGAAGGGCTTTCGAGCTTTGACATAGGCGATGGCCTTGTCTAGGGGGAATCCATCTGAGTAGAACGAAATGAGGTAATCGCTGCGTCTGGTGTTAGTGATCATTTTGGGTAATTCGGCACGTGCCTCTTGCAGCACTCCTAATGCACTCTTGATGCACTTTTAATGCACCCCACTATGCTGCTTCTGCTCACCGAGAGGGAATCTACTCACCATATAGGCCAATTCTCAACCTCTGTAGAAATCGGATTAGCTCAGTCCGTAGAAACACAATTCCTAAATTCCTGTAAACTTACCTTCATCGAGGATTACTTTATCACCAAAAACCACCACATCAAATTCACGATTGGCGATAAGTCGGTTCAGAATGTTCCTGCTAGGCTTGCTTCTAGCTTTGATATCGAGAGCGCATACACCGATAGTGCCGAATCGTGACGGTTTCACTGCAGCCGGTTAACACTCGAGCTCCGATGGGTTGCCTTGTAAGTTCAAGAGGTAACAGAAATGCTTACCATCTTCACGCTCTCGGTGGTGGGGACCCCGTTCGCTGCTCGGGCTGTGACTGCTGGTTGCAGTACTTCCACTGAAGCGTCTCTTGGCTCGACTGCGAGATCGGTCAGGCCCTTGGCGCAGACCGGACGTGGCGTTCTGCATGTTGTCGTCGCGAATTGCCCGCTTTGTAAAGTCGAGTGGCTGCGAGTTGTGATCTCGAGGAGTTAAGTTATGTTGGGAATGATGTCCAACGGCCGACTGACCCGCTTGAAGACTGGAAGTAGTGACAGTGACGTTGGAAACCTCGGCTTCGGACTGGACTGATACTGGGCTCTTTCCCGTTGACAATAATCCAGGCACAGATCGTGGCGGGGTTCCCAGCTCTGAGCCCTGGGCCGATGATGAACCACTTAGGACACCGCGGGCAGATGCGAGAGAGTAGACGGATGTACCCGAGAGTCTCCTAGACTGAAGTTCGGAAGAATAAGATGCTCGATTGTTCGCAGCGGCAGAAGCTTCAGACGAAACGGTGTGGGAATTTACGTTGGCAGATGATAAGCGAATTCGCTGTTGGTGGGGTTCGTCGACAAAGCCTGAGAGCTGCGAATCGGCCAACGACTGGTCTTCGGCGGTATCTGAGGTCATGGACTCGCCGCGAGTACGCGCAAGAGCTCGTGGGTTCTTGATTGGCAAGGATGATGCTGCTGTTGTTGAACTTGGGGCTGCGGTGAAACTGGCCCGGCGTGCGTGTGCGTATGCGTCTCTGGTGACGGGCTCGGAGCCGCGACTCTTTCTTGAACCGGGCGCAGGAGAGGGATTGGCAAGGAGCGAGGCGGATGTGTAAGAGAAAGCACGAGACTGGCGAGGCGGATTGGCCCGAATATGAGGTTGCTCAACGGGCACGGGTACGTAGCCGAAAGTTAGAGAGGAGGGCGGTGGATGAGAATGTGGATGAAAACGGCGGGACGAGGAAGAAAAGTCGGCGGCAGAAGGTTCACCGGAGGCGGAGGCGGAGACGGAGGGGCTAACGGTAGAACCAGCTTGTGCTTGTGCTTGCGTTTGGGCGGTGCTGGTGCTATCGCTGCTGATACTGCTGCTAGCGATACCCGGGCCCATCAGATCCAGTGGGTTGCTCATCGTGTCCACGGCTCCCAAACTCCCAAAAAAAGATAAGGTGAGCCAAGATATCGGCTCAAGATCTTGTTTGATGGGTCTTGCGCTTCCCTGTCCACAATACGCAGTGTCTACCCAGGTTAGGTATTCTGCGTGAGTGGCTGTACCGACCTATGATCGCTAAGGGAAAGACGTCTGACTCTCAAGCTGATTATCAATTGGTATGTATCCTTATCCTTACTGAATTCAACAATAGCTGGCACTGATAATGCCAGATCCCAATATTGAGGAGCAAATGCAAACAAGCAGACTCATAAATGTGTGACGTCGATGCAATGACCCGTTTATTAGCGTGCTGCACCTAGAACGCGAGCAGACAGAATAAAGCGGACGTTTCAGACGTTGACCGATGTCTTGGATCGAGTGTGCTTGGCTACGCCGTTTCTCGTTTCCGGGCCGCTGCTTTTAAACAATTCTTTGCAATCAGTCGAATTTGTTAGAGATATAAAATATTTCTGAGAGAAAAAAGAAAGCGTCCGGTGGAAGGCGTTGATGATAGCTTGTTTTGTGTCCCAAAACGAGTTGGGCTGTTATATTAATACCTGGTTTTTGGTGCCAAAATGAGATGAGACTGTGATTGCTGTGCCGCGATCTCGTCAGGTACTAACGCTACCTGCCTGACCTTAAGATCTTCGCTTTGTATGCAAATCACCATATGAGTCTATAGTATTTCCTCTGCACTCGCAGCAGCAGGCTAGAAACAGACAGCTTGGATGACGCAGAAGCGAAGGATTCTCCCCATAATATGCCAGTTTATGGGGTTGACAAGGGGTGGTATAAGAGGCCAAATAGAAGAAGAACATGGGATGATATTCGTCTGTCTTACTGTCGAGAGATTGTTCTTATTCTTTTTCATGCTTGAAATTTACATCACCTGCTTGGAAACATCTAAGAGATATCATTAACGTCATTTACTTGACAACAGCAGTTTTCCCAGGTCACCAGATGTCGGCTTCCAGCTGTGAATGTGAATGCATTTGCTGGCGGGGCTCACGATGGGGTCATCTGGGGGAGTCGGTGCATGATAGTGGATATCGTAGTTCCAGGCTTTTCGCTAATTCCATGCGATCTACGCTCTGGACGACAAGATACACATATTCAGGCTGTCACTGCAGTGATGTGGTGTAGGCAAGGTACGGGGCTACATAACAGACAAGCTGTTGAAGCTGGTAGAATACGTTTTGAGACAGCACATGATAGCCGCAAGAAATACGGATACGCCACATCGATTAATAGTGAGACATACTCTGTCGTCACCTTCCAGGCACTCGGTAATCAGATTGAGATGTGAAAGGGGCATGCTCAAATTGAGTCACCCTATTGGATAAGTCCATCTTGATAAAGTACGGCCACGAGGTCTAACGAGGTAGGATTTCCCCTTTCGTGGCTTAGAGCATGCGACAAACCATCAACCAAACTTAGAGAACGGCTTGTAACCCAAAAGAGAAGTGCTATAGGTTGATAGTTTGTTGATATGCAACAGTTCAATGACTTGCAGGAGATCTGCCCTACATCGAAAAATACTGCCACACTGAGGCTGTAGATAAGCATAAGCTTCCAGCTCGGTTCCTTCGCATGTTTCTATTTTGAGTCCTGGGCTTTGGTAGCAAGGCTACCCTTGACAACAAACACCACATCCTTCGCAACTACCGAATACCCTTGCAGTATCCCCTTCACCCTCTTAAACGATGTTTATGTATTATTAAGCGACGTTCTTGGAGATGACCCAATGAGGACTTGCAAATCCGCCATGTACTGAGAGCATACTATCAGAATTAGATTCATGAAATCTCCTGAAGGCGTGTCGACTCTTGCATGTTTTGTTAATAAGGTCACAGCCCTGGTAGCTATATTTCAGACTGATCATTAATAGCCAAGCAGCCAAGCAGCCAAGACGAGAAGTCTAGCTTGTAGGTGGAATTAATCGAAACAAAGTCCACAGTTTATTCGAGGATATCATGTAGAGAACTAAATCCAAAGTCTATGCATTTTGTAGATGGATGTCGACCCAAAAACCCGATCCGGCCGAGGGAGCCTCTCCCTTTGATGTAGTATATGCTGTACACGTGGGTTATGATATGCCAAAAAGCCCAGTTCCCAAAACCCGCAAAATCACAAAACCGAGCTACCCAATGCACCCAAGTCATAAGTAAAAAGCAAAACCCATTTACTCCTCTTTGGGGTTGTATCCCCAAAGCCTTCTTCGCTCCAGAGCCCACCAGTGGGCTACTTCGTTGGCTTCGCGCACCCAGTCAGCGGCTTCGTTGCCGTACTTGCGCTTCACCGCCTTGATCGTGGACTTGATAGTCCACTTGTCTAGAGCGTCTAGCTCTAAAGGATCTTGGCTAAGATCTGTGAATGTGAATTCGAGGTCTTTCTTTAAAGGAACTGCCAGTCTCCAGGGCACGTCGGCCGATGTTACTGTGAGCATACCACCGCCCGGGTTGATAAGCCCAAAGTTCCACGCACGGCGACCGTCTTTGGATTTTTGATAGGGCCGAATAAGGGACTGGCCCTCGTAATCGTTGGCAAGGTCAGATGCAATTGCAGAATCCTCCTTGTTGAGTGATCCCGAGTTGATGAGGAGGTCAAGAACGGTAGGGAGGATGGAAATGGAGGTTACGTTGGCCTCGTACTGGACCCGAGGAATGCTTGGATGGCGGAAAGAGATGGGGACCCTGAAGTTGCTGATGTGTCGGTTTTCGTATGTGCCCGTCTTTGAGAAATCCTCCTTGAAAGCCTGCCCATGGTCGCCGACAAAGACAACTAGAGTCTCATCCGCGATTCCGGTATCGTCAAACATTTGCATGAGCTCACCGAGCCATGCGTCAGTGAAGCGGATCGTGTTGAGATACTTGTCGAAATCTTGGTGATTGACTCCCTCCTTACCCATATACTTTTCTTTTTCGAACCACTTCGGGACGCCCCAAGGGTGATGTGTTGTGCTGGTAAAGTGGGACATAAACAGACGCTTGTCTTCCGCAAGACCATCGGTGATGAATTTCTTGATGTGGTCCTTGAGATCGGTTTCGGGGTAGCCAAAATAGTTGATCTCCGCCATCTCAGGTTTAGTGCGGGCCTCCTCGTCCAGCTTTGGCTTCGTCACCTTGAAATCAAAGCCAATCTTGGCATCGAACTTATCTTGTCGATCATAAGAGTCGGTAACGGCCTGGAAGAATGCGGGTTTCCACTGGTACTCGTGGAACTTAGCTTGCTCAGATCCACCAAATCCCCACCACTCTCGTTTCTCTGTCTTGTTGGTTTTGATCTTGTTGAACAGTTCAAGGACCTGAGGAATACAGGGCTGATAACTCTCGAGCTCGGCCTCCTCGAACATGTTGACAGCCATGGGCCAAGCTCCGCAATGGGCCGCAGCAAGACTCTTCGTCGAGACACTGCTTGTTGTAAGGCCTCCTACGACGTTGATACCGCCATAGCCGGGTCTCGTCTGGTCATTCCATACTTGCTTCTCGGGAGGCTCGTAGGTGCTGCCATTTGCACTTTCGTAGTTGCCGGGTTTTCCGGTGATCTTCTCGAAGTTTTGTGTCATACGTGATACTCGGCTATTAATCTCATCCCTCAACTTCTCCTCGTGCGACTCCATGATAAATCGGTGAATATCGGTGCCTTGTTGTAATGGGAAGAGTTCTTCGCGCATACTCTCCATCAGAATAAGAGCGACGTGTCTAATCTTGACTGAGTTGTTAGAGAGTGCCTCCTTAATAGGAGCCAGAATATCCTCGTCGAGGTTAGTGATTCGCATTGGGTCGTTGACAGGGTTGTAGAAGCCCTTGTCCTGCAACGTATTCGGGCACGCATCGCTGGGGCCGTCCTGCTTGTCATGCTCGTCCTTGTACCGCTCTGGATCCCACTTGAGAAAGCCGCTGGGAATAGGATTGGGCAACCACTTTGGAGGGTTTTCTCTGTACTGCTTGATATGTTCGTTGTTCTCTTTGCTGGGAGCCCACCCCTTGAAGTCGCCCTTGGGTTCACTCCATTTCGGGCGCTCGATAAGGTCTTTCAGAGGCCAATCGTTCATAGACGCACAAAGTCCAAGGCTTGGTCTGACTGAATCGAGTAATCGTAGAGGTAAACTACTCGCCATATGGTTGTATGGCTGATCAGGGCGAACGATGGTTGTAATGCCGATGAAGAGAACGACGATGGTCGTGACGACCCAAGAGGGAAGAAAGGCACACCATCTACGCCGTTTTGGTGTATCATCCTCTGAATCCTTTTCTTCCTCTTCGTTGGGTGCAGTACGGCCGATAGAAGAAACGGAACCTGCGCTATTGGTGCGCCGCAGGAAAGGTTCGATGTTCTCGATGTCCTGCTGTTGATGGCTCTGTGGGCGAATCTTTGATCGCAGGTGTCGTGAAACTTTTGGACGTTAAAGGTTAATAACACCAATAAGAGAATGGGGTGACAAACCTGAAGCAATGTGTTTACCGAGTCCAGTCACCACGTTGCCAACGACCCTATAGAGGTAGTTTTGAGGCAACCATGAGACAATGAGAATAATCAATCCAGATACCAACACACTGCTGCTCTCGCTAATTAGGACATTGAGGCCTTCGTCGTTGGCAAAATCGCCAGCGTCGCTCCATTCGACTTCGCCGCCTGTTCGGTAGTGGAAGCCGAGTTCGGAGGCGGCAGCGACAAACGTTATCAAACTATAAGCGCCAGCCGTTAGTTGTAAAGCAATGCAAAATTGAGAGACAGAAGTTACGTGAATATGCATCCAAGAACGTAACCGATCAAGGAAGGGATTGTTCGCTCTTTGCGCAGTAGCAGGCGGGCGAAGAGAACTAGGAAGACATCTTGTAGAAAGAAGGTCGGTAGGTAAACCACAAAGTCTATGGCTGTAATCGAGTGGATGTGGATATACAAATGCAACAGCTTCGCAAAGAGAATTGATACAAAAAAGACAGCAAAAAGATAAGAAACTGATGAAGGCATGTTTGGGTCTGCTTCACATCATCAAATCAACGAGACCTGATGGGAAGAAGTAGCGTGGAGGTTTAGAGACGGGAGGGTATAGAGGTGGAGCACAAGAAATAAGGTCAGGTCTGGGCGAAAGCCAAACAGAAATAAGACTTTTGTCTAATAATGAAGGACAAGGAATAACAGGGCGAGGCAGGCTCTTTGCTAGCTGAACGCCCCAGGTTACGAAACAAAGCACAGCGTAACACAGTACAGGACAGTTTTGGAGTGTGGTGAAACAGAGTGACACGCAACCCCCTTATTAACTAGACCAGGGATAAGGGAGGGACGGGGAACATGAACAAGAACAATTACAATTATGGGAATACCCAGGATTAGTATATGGTCGCGTGTTGGAAATTGGACACTGGACGTGGAGGCAGAGTTGCATCTAATAATGGGCGGTTGTTTTAAACTAAACCACCAGGGCCACAGTCCACAGGCATAATGGTTTTAAACTTGGCTACTAGGTAGGCGATGGCTTAAGCTTAAGCTTACAGTGCATAGCCGCTTTGGGTTTGATGGCCTTTTGACATGCCTCTAGACTCTTCGGGTCCCTGTTCAGCTGCTCTTCAGTTATAACCGCAATGCTGAGCCGCTCGCCTTCACTGTGCCACCGCCGGAATGAGGTCGCGAGAGTGCTCTGGAACAACAGAAACAATGAGAAGAGCAGATCTTCTGCCTGCCCTAGTTCGGCCTGGCCAACACGTTCTCCGCTTTTAACATCACAAAGGGGGCTCCAGCCTTTTTCTTTCTCTTCAAAGGTTGCCTGGCCTGGTCTGGCAAGCCTGGGTGCCTGGGCCGGCTGGGTCGGTAGTTGGTAATGCGCTTCTTTGTTGCGTGCCATTGATTCCAATTTGCTACTCCGTATCCGTTCTCCGTAACCTGCTTAACCTTGATGATTGTCCGGTGGATTGTGAGGGTCTGGAAAGAAGACGTTGCTGCGCAAATACGAGGGGAAGCCCTGGAGCCAAGCAATGACCTAACCCGAAGCCTTGCATGATAATATGCTCAGCCTAGCACGCACAGCACATAATCATCATCATCATCATTACCTTCTCGTTGGCGTGTGCTTGGCGGGTTGGTCTCTGGTTCCCCTGGCGTCCGCCTCCAGCTTGTTCTGGTTGGGAATTCCGAGCGTTAAAATCATGGTGACGTTTGTTGGGCGATGATCTGAGTGGACCCTACTATCTTAGGTACCGCGGTATCATGTTTTATCCCCCTCCCAAAGATTGGGTCACTTCTCGGCTGTTGACGTGCAGTCGCGCAAAGCCGTCAAGAATTAAAGTCTTACATAGTGTTTTGTCTAGCGTCCCCTCACTGTGTCATGGATGATTGACATCTGAACAGGGGTTCTTTGAAAGGATAGTGGGGTTGGCCTAGATAGATCGTTCTCAGGTAGATGCATGACGAAACTGTTGTTTACTATGTATAGACTGACTACCTCTATACGCTACAGCCGCCCGAGAGGTTTGCCCATGTTTGAGGCTTTGAGAGTTTTAGCCTTTGGGCCTTTGAGGGTTGGCTCGATGTTCCCGCTTACTGTGACCAAACAACAAACAAAGAACGGATGACAATTGTGTGTCAGCGTGCATATCAAGCTTTGCATTAATCAATTAATAATTAACGACCTACCTAGTTTGTCGATGCACTCGCTCACATCTACGTGATGAAGATGGATGGGCACACGACCAACTCCTCCCTGGGTTTGAACCTAACTCAATACTCTTGGCGAAGTATCACAGGTATCCACAACCTCGTATATAGAAATACCTATCGAACCAGCGAGTATCGAGTATCACTGTATCACATCGGTTACGCCGAGTAGTAATTGGGGGCGCACTAGCATCTAGATTCGCAGCCTTACCGTACAACTTGCTCAGGTACGGCCTGAAAGCATTGACGCCTTCAGACCAGTTTCGTTTAACGAGACGATGAAAGATCGATATCAAAATTCCAGTCCAAAGCTCGCCCCCAGTAGTCGCGAGCTATGCGCCATGGCTTACACACCACATGCAAGTGGTTGGCGCCAAGCTCTTATCGAATCGATCGATCAGCACTCCTCTCAACGGCGGGGGCGACATAATAAGATGTACACTCGATCTGGCACAAGACAATGCATAGACTGTGACCCAGAAGACCTATCAGACTAAAGAAGAACATCTATACGGGCCAATAGAGACCTGTTACATATTATCAAGTCTGTACAGTAATTGAGATGCGTTTGACGTCGTTAGATCATGCCTAGACAATTCGCTGCAGCTTAAGATATTTTGTTCAACCGGATACTAAGCATACTGCCGCGTGACACCGCCAAAAATTGTAAATTTTTGGAGATGGATCCAGCATCTCGCAGAGTAGCCTCAACTGCAGAGCGCAAGCGGGCATCTTTGGCGTAGTAACTTCTGTCGCTACATGCACCTGCTGCATCAAACAATAACAACAATGCCTCACAAAGACGCCGACCACCCAGTGGTCAAGCGCCAGAAGACTGCGCCCCCTGTCAATGCTTCAAAGCCTGCATCAGACTCGTCGAGGATTTTTGCGCCTTTCCGCGTATGTCCATTTTTCTGGCTACCCATACTGCAATGGCTAACTCTTGCGCCGTAGACTGTCGGCTTAGTATCACCTACGAGCGTCCCTTTCACTTCGATTCCTCTCGGCAAGACTACCTTTCAGATTTCGACCTCGGTTGGCCGATCCATCCAGACTTACGATCTTCGTCGCGGGCTAAACCTCGTCTTCATCACTCGGCCACAAACCCCCGCCGACATCACCGCGACTCTCGCCTGGAAGGAAAAGATTTTCGCAGCATGGGGTGGATCGAAGAAGGGTGAATCTCAGGGCATCTGGGTCTTCCAGAGAGGCAAGAAGGTCGATGAGCTTGCGCTGCCCTCTGACCTCAACGAGCCTATTCGGCAAATCCTGGTTTTGGGTACATGGACTATCGTCGCTGGTCTGACGCGAATCGAGGTGTTCAAGACGGCTACTTTGGAGCACTACACCACGATTTACACCACACCCGCCAGCAACCGGGGTAACGAGATCACTGGTGGCATTATCTCTATGCCCACTTTCCTCAACAAGATTTTCGTTGGTCGCAAAGATGGCTGGGTCGAGATCTGGAACGTCAGCACCGGCAAGCTCATCTACACTATCCTGCCTCCGTCCACCGATTGCGGCTCTGTAACATGCCTAGAGCCCAGTCCTGCTCTGTCCCTTCTGGCCATTGCCTACTCCGAGGGAACCCTTATCATTAAGAACGTTCTGACTGATAAGCTCACTCTTCGCATCGAGGCTGGCAGCTCCGAAGCTCCTGTGAACTCGATTTCTTTCCGAACAGATGGCATGGGTGCAGGTAACGATGGGCGTAAGGATGGTGTTATGGCTACATCAACTGCTGCCACTGGAGATGTCACATTCTGGGATTTGAACGTTGGCGGCCGCGTTATGGGTGTCTTGCGAAGCGCTCATAACCCTCCCTCTTATGATGGACCGACTGTTCGTGGTGGTATCAGCAAGATCGAGTTTCTCCCCGGCCAACCAGTGGTGTTGACCAGCGGTCGTGATAACTCCCTCAAGTCCTGGATCTTTGACGAGACGCCCTTCTCTCCCGTTCCCCGAATTCTCCACTCGCGCAGCGGCCATGCTGGCCCTGTCAACTGTCTCCAGTTCCTTCCTACTGACTTCGAGGGTGCTGACGCCGGCAACAAGTGGCTTCTTAGCGGTGGCCAGGACCGAAGTCTCTGGGGATGGAGTCTGCGCCGTGATGGCCAGAGTTCTGAGCTGAGCCAAGGTAACATCCGCAAGAAGGCCAAGAAGATTGGTATCTTGGCTACGAATGCTCTTGCGCATGGACCTACGACGACCCTAGAAGATCTCAAAGCTCCTGAGATTACCTGCATGGCGTCATCGCTGAACCGAGACGGTGGTATGGGTGCCATGCCTGGCAACCTCCCCATATGGCAAAAGTCCCAGAAGAAGAAGGCCCATGATGCTGAGGTCAGTGGAATGACTGGCTGGGAGAGTGTCGTTACCGCTCACAAAAACGATGCCTATGCCAGGACATGGTTCTGGGGCCGGAAAAGAGCAGGCAGATGGGCATTCCCTACTGGAGATGAAAGCAACGTATCAACCGTTGCCATCAGCCCTTGCGGCACCTTTGCGCTTGTTGGTGCGGAATCTGGTGGCATCGATATGTACAACATCCAGTCAGGATCTCATCGTCAACGATTCCCTTCTAGACTAACCCCCGCCCAAGCTCGCCAGCTCAAGATGCAGCAGCTACGACAGGCGGACGATGTTGTGCAAATGCATGCTGAGTCAACTCGTCAGTTCTCAGCCGGTACTGGAAAGCATACCAAGCCTGTTACTGGCCTAATTGTTGATTCCATGAATAAGACCGTGGTATCCTGTTCTCTGGACGGAAAGATCAAATTCTGGGACTTCTTGACAGGAAACTTGATGGAGCAAATTGACTGGGCACCCATGACCTTCCCAACAGGTTGCAGATACCACCCCGCAAGCAACCTTCTTGCCTTCTCGTGCGACGACTTATCAATTCGAGTGGTGGATATGGAGACCAAGAGGACAATTCGAGAGTTCTGGGGGCCTCAAGGCGCCATCAACGATTTCTGCTTCTCCAGTGATGGGCGATGGATCATCGCCGCCTCTCAGGATTGTGTGATTCGCGTATGGGATCTTCCTACAAGTCACTTGATCGATGCTATCCGTCTCGAGAAGCCTTGCAAGGCGCTGGCAATGTCTGTTACTGGCGAGTATTTGGCTGCGACGATTGAAAACGAGTTGGGTGTGACACTCTGGACCAACAAGGCTTTGTTCAAGCATGTTCCTACACGCCAGATCTCTGAGAAGGAGATTGGCCATGTCTCTGCCCCCACTGTCTCTGGCGAAAATAGCCATGGTATGCTGGAGGGTGCATTCGAGGAGGAACAGGCCGAGGATGAGGATACTGTGGTGGCACCCACGATCGAGCAGCTCAGCGCCGAGCTCACAACCCTGTCTTTGGTTCCCAAGAGCCGCTGGCAGACTCTGCTACACTTGGATCTTATCAAGGAGCGAAACAAGCCCAAGGAGGCACCTAAACTTCCTGAGAAGGCGCCTTTCTTCCTGCCCTCGACGACAGGCAGAGAGAACCCCATGGCTTCGAAGCAGCAGACCGAAGCAGAAGCAGATAGCACTTCGCGAGTCACGAGAGTTGAGAGAGCTCGCTTTGAGGAGGTCCTCAGCTCTAAGCTTCGTGCCGGAGCAGAGACCGGAACTTGTAAGTCTATTTCTGTCGTGTAAAAGTTGTTACGCTAACATATTGTAGATGATGAATTCATTGAGCACCTCAAGACTCTACCCCCCTCAAGCGCAGATCTTGAATTGCGTTCGCTCTCTATTGGAGAAGGCGACGAGAATTCCAACGAGTTACTACATTTTATCCGCGCCTTGACTGCGCGTCTCAAAACTCGTAGGGATTATGAGTTGACTCAGGCTTGGATGACTGTGTTCCTCCGCCTGCACTTTGATCTGGTGATGGCAAACAAGGATTTGCTGGAGGCGTTGGGCGATTGGAAGACTTATCAAGAGAAGGAGTGCAGCCGATTGGATGGACTGGTTGGTTACTGCAGTGGTGTGGTTAGCTTCCTGAGGAGTCCAAGGACATAAGGTGTATAAAATAGCAATATTGTCTTGATACTGGAATAACGGCGCTTCAATTTTAATGGCATAATAGGGAACTAAGGTATACTGCAATAGAATATTCGATCCCGACAGGCTTGTAATAGTGTCTGAATGCTATTGGTTTATCTCTTCACTTCGTTATACACAACTTATACTCATGAATCTCGTCTCATTTCCTTTCTAACGAGTCATATCCCCAAGTCCTTCCAAACTGCGAATTGTAAAAATACACAATTATTCTGCTTCCATCTCTTCCAAAACCCAATTCCCGAGGTGTTTATCCTGACACGTCCTGGTTCACCGCGTTATTGCGCGTTTACGCTGTCATTCGTATCGTCGTCGAATGGTGGTCGCGAAGGCTTATGCGCTCATGTCTGGAGAAGCAACCGCACGAGAGGGTGCTTGCGTGTCGGCATTCTAGACCTGCTCGGCGCCCCAGCCAGCATCCTCGGCCTCGCGCATGTTGCTTGGGGGCTCGATGGAGGGGATAAACTCAAGGGCGACGAAGGCAAGACCGATGAGACCGACGCTGCCACCAGCAATCTTGCTGAGGATTTTCTCACCCAGGAGAAGACAGCCGAGGAAGATGTAAACTTGAAGATCGTTAGTGTTGGAAGGGGGTGATTATTTCAGAAGTGGACTTACAAACACCACGGCCGACAAAGGAGAACATGAAAGAGGCATGTCGGGAGACTTGAGGAGGGATCTGGAATTCTGCGATTTGTTAGATATGACTGATGGCTTGGTTTAACATTTGTCGCGACATACCAAGAAGACCAATGACAAGGCCGAAGACGATCATATAAGCACCAACAACGATAGGCTGACTATAAAAGAGTATCAGTATTCGATGTTTCGCGTTGCAGGCTGATGCCCAGAAGGAGTGCGGATTGAGGCAATCGGCTCGGAATTGGTGTATACGTACAGGCTGAAGGAGAAGATTGACACGATACCGCCAAGAATGACGATAACACCGACAACCAAGTTGACGATGCGGCTGCAGGTTGAAGCGATGGTTAGCGACTGTTCTGTATCGTTGGAACAGAGACTGCGGCGCAGCGACAGATACTCACAAGATGTCGGAGAGCTCCATGTTCATAATTTGTTTGGGTGCTTGTTTTAAGGATTGCGCTGTTGATGATCGAGGTCGATTGAGGAGGAGAGAAGCAAACTTTAAGAGTCGGGAAGAATAGCAGGCAGCAGTTTGAAGGTGTTCGCGTTGAAGGCAGCCGAATTGTGATGCAGGATGGAGACGGAGACGGAGATGGGAGGTGAAAAGCACAGGAACAAGATTACGTAGGTAGCCCCGAGTGTGGTTTAGGTTCCAGTTTAGAGCTCTCGCATTGCCACTAGAACCCCCAGATCAAGCTTCGTTTTGGGGGGATCGAATTCCTTAGCTGACTAGCCGTAGGGGGCTTAGCTCGACCAATTGGAATGCAGCGGCTGGGAACCAGGAGTTGGTAGTGGAGCCTAGGTTAGGTGTTGACGAATGGCAGAAAATCAGCAGAGAAAGGCTCAAAATCAAACCTCAATAGAGGACAAAGGCCAAAGAGCTTTTTGAGATGCCGCAGTCGAGTCTTTGTTTAATTTCGAGTCTGGAATGATTCTATTATCATTACTACGGAGTGGCCCGGCTGTTCAAGGCACGGGCCGCTCTATTGCCCGCCAATGGCGCTGTAAAGAGCTCATGAACTTATCTCGTCGAGCTATGCATCAGGCTCATCATGATACTCAGCTGCAGAATATTCGAAACATTGGTATCATTGCTCATGTTGATGCTGTAAGTACAAAATATCATATAGGAAGCTTTTTTATAAATCTCACATTTCAAAAGGGAAAAACTACCACCACTGAGCGAATGCTCTATTACAGTGGTGTCACCAAACGTGTTGGAGGTATGCATTAACTTATATTTATCCGCACCACTAACATAAATGTATGAATAAAAGAATACTGATGAATTCAGATGTCGACTCTGGAAACACAGTAACTGACTTCCTCGACCTGGAGCGAGAACGAGGCATCACCATCCAATCAGCTGCAATCACATTCAACTGGCCTCTTCATCAAGCACTTGCTCCTGGAGAACACGCCAAAACAATCAACCTTATCGACACTCCCGGCCATCAAGACTTCCGTTTTGAAGTTGATCGTTGCCTCCCTATTCTCGACGGAGCAGTATGCATCATCGACTCGGTCAAGGGCGTTGAAGCTCACACTGAGAGAGTGTGGGGATCTGCTCATGAGTTCAAAGTACCCCGTATCGTGTATTGCAACAAGCTTGACCGAGAAGGTGCTTCTTTCAAAAAGGCTGTCCTTGAGATAGGGACGCGGCTTAAAGGCTGGCCGCTTGTCTGCCAGATTCCTTGGTGGGAGAAGGAGGACTTTGTTGGCGTGATTGATATCGTCAACCGGGTGGGATATCGTTGGAAGTCTGAGCGTGAAAAGACACGTTATGGTACTGAAGAGCTAAAGCAAAAACTCTCTAGTTCTAACAAGGACCTTATTCCAGAGATTGAGACTGCAAGACAGGCTCTGGTTGAGGGCCTTGCGGATTTCGATGAAGCCATTATGGATGAGTTCCTTGCCGAGAACGAGAATATTGACGGCGATATCATCAAGCAAGCTATCCGACGAGTCATTCGAAGCGGCGATGGTCGAGTCATTCCCGTGTTTGCCGGGTCCAGTTTCCGCCATATCGGTGTTGAACCGCTGATGGATGCCATTACGGATTACCTACCAAGTCCCGACGAGCGCCCATCAGCAGAGGTCAGAGTCGGGTCAGCAAAGCACCGCCTAATCGAGGTTCTTGAGAACAGCCCCAAATCAGCCAAAAACCAGATTGCGTCTATCGCTTCGGTTTTCAAGGTCTTTAACCATCCCAAAGAGGGCGTTATCAGCTTTGTGCGAGTTTACCATGGCACTCTTACTAGAAACGCTGCAAGCTTCAACACCAATATTCTAGCCCACGAAAAGCCCATGGGAATTCTCCAGATCTCTGCAAACATGACACAAGATATTCCAACGCTTGGGGTGGGCCAGATTGGAGCCTTGAGGGGACTGAAGAAGGCTCGAACAGGTGACACGCTTGTTACAATGAATGGGAACAAGCCTATTCCAGAATCTTTCCGCTATGTCAAGATTCGACCGCCTGAGATCCCGCCTCCCGTAGCATTCTTACAGGTTGAGCCGTATGGCAACGTTGCTGCTCAACAACTCCAGATTGCTTTGGAAAATACAACAAGAGAAGATCCTAGTCTTCGATACAGCCGGGATCCCAAGACGGAACAGTTTACGATCCAAGGTATGGGCAAACTTCATTTGGATGTTTCACTTTACAACATGAAGCAAAAGTACAAGATCGATGCCGACTTCGGCCCTATAGAGGTCGACTACAAGGAATGCGTGACAGAGCCTACGCGGCCGCAGTACACAGTCTTTGACCGTCCTGTCGCAAGCAAATCCGGTAAAGCATCCTGTACAGTTGTCCTAGAACCTCTCGAGGAGCACCATCGAAAGACCTTGCTGGAGTCGAGTGTTGAGCGAGACGGAAATGTATACCACGTCGCTATTCCTTTAACAGGAGACACTACCACTTTGAACTTTGACCCGGAGGAGGCAAGGGCACAGCTTCTCAATGGAGCCATCGCAGGTCTGGCTAGAGGGCCTCGTCGTGCGGCTCCCATCCATGGGTGCCACGTTACTATCACACTAGACACAGAACCCGGCGCCTGTGAAACTCCCACTGGAGGTCATTTTAGTAGTGTCGCCAGAACCGCATTGCAAGCTGCTCTTCGCGAGGCATTCGAGAAGGAACAGATCGGCATTCTCGAGCCCATCATGCTGGTCAACATCACCTGCCCCGAGGTTGTAGCCGGCACAGTTCAGCACGATGTTACGGCTGGTGCTGGCGGCCAGGTCCTGGAGGTTAACGACAGATCTGCTGAGTCGACGGGCGAGGATCACATCGATGTGTCAAAGATCTATACACCCCCCGATCCGTATGATTCCATCACGTCTCTGCGCAACAAGAAGTCTACAGCTCGGGTCGTGGAGATTGTGGCAAAGGTGCCATACAAGGAGATGCTGGATTATGATAACCACCTGCGAAGCAAGACTGCGGGACGTCACTCTATGACGATGTTCTTTGACTCTTTTGCCAAGGTTGTCGGTCATCGTGAGAAGGGTCTGTAAAGGGTTTGCTGTACGGGATTGTATTGCATAGGGACTACTGTATGATGGTGTAAGATAGATGAAGGGAAAATAGGAGATGTATGTATATCATGGGAGCAATGCAAGCTTATGAGAATCTGACTGCTAAATTCTATCACATGCTTTGCAATGTGTTGTTGGATGTGTGAGACCAGCATCAATAGTGCAGCATGCTTCAGTGCCGAAGTATAAGCATGGAGGTCACTAAGGCATTACTCGCAGTATTTCAAGGACATAATAGTGAATGATATGTAATGTCTAACTGTCTATGTACAAGATGCTATATGCGGGAACGAACAAAGAAACACCAGCTCCCATCAATATCCACTTCGTAAGTATGGGTATTTCCGTGTAAGAATACTGCCAAGTCTTTCTATAACGCCAGAAAAAAGAAGAAGAAAAGCAAACATCGCTCATGCACTCAAACATTCGAGTAACTTCGAAACATGACAGCCAGTGAACTCATCTTAGATAGAACGCTTGTTGAGGCCACAGTCGAGGAGGCACTTCTCAACGCCGAGTGCGATGCTCTTAGGGATAGCAGCGCGGACCTTGTCGATATCCTCACCAGCAATGCTCTGGCCGAATGTAGCAGCAATAACATCGTCGCTGAGGGCAAAGGTCTCGTCGGCAACCTGACCAGTGCCGAAATCCTCAGAGGCAAAGGTGGCAATGAAAGTGGCAGGCTTGCACTCGGGGTTATACTGAGTGTGCACGGAGCCCTGGTAGAAGGGAGTCATCATGTTGGCTGTAAGCTCAGTGCGGATGACACGGCGCTTGCCATCCTTGTCTAAGACGCCGTTCTCGGGGACCATCTCAGTGATGAGACGGCCTGAGGTGACGATTTGGAGCTCAGCTGAGCGGGGATGAACGTGCAGAGTGTTCATGCCACAGGCTAGAAGAGGTGTGTTAGTATTGCTTTGTGTAGTGAGGGTATGAGGAGATACTTACGATCGACTGTGCCAAAGGCCATGCCAGAACCAGTACCAACGAGAGCGGGAAAGGTCTTGCGGTTGGCAGCAATGAGCATACCACCCTTTCCAGCGCCCTCTTGCTTCTTGTTGAAGTCAAAGACGAAGTCATCATTGTTGGGAAGAAGAGCGAAGCGGTCAGCGGCACTAATATGGGTTGTTAGTTGTGGTCTCATGGTCAAGAGTCAGAGTCTCTGTTGGGGGCTGCTTACGTATCAGCAAGTCGGAGCTGAGCAGTCAGACTAGGAGCCTGATATTCTGCTCGTCGAGAGTTGCGAGGAGCAGCTTCGGTGAAGGAGGTAAAGGCCAAGACGGCAGAGACGATGGCAGTGGTGAACTTCATGTTGGCTGGTGGGAGTTGTTCTTGGAGGTTGATATGAGTAGGATGTTGGAAAGGTAAACTGAGGTGAGATAGATAGATAGATGGATAGATGGATAGATGGATAGATGGATAGATGGATAGAATGTAAGAGACTTATAATGTTTGAGAGTGTGATACTATTGAATGATGTCTCCAAGATGGGCAGGACAAGACCATATTCTTATACTTCAAAGTCTATCTCTAGATAACCACAATGAGAACAAGGCACAAGGTTCACGATGATTACTATTAGCCATCAGAATTACCAGAAACAGCTAAACAGTTCCCGCAGAGGCTCTGCGGTGTCGAAAATAGAGTGTGTTCCTACGGAAAGTCGGGCATCCGCTTTGCCAACATCACCAGCCTCATCCTTGGGTCTCGATGTAGTCCCCGAAGGTGAGCAGATGGACGCTTATGATTGGTGCATTGCCGCTATTTCGAGGTTGGACGGGCTGTGCAAAAAATAAAAGAGACGCCAGCGGGCTTAGGCTTAGGCTTGGTGCTGTAGCTGTAGCTGCGAGCTGTGACCGCAGCAGGCCGGTACCTGGTCTGACCGCCCCAAAAATATCAAAGAGTAAGCGCTTCTGCAGCGTCTGTCAGCAGTGCAGCACCAAACAATGCTCTCTTTGCGCGGAGATGGAAAGATCCGGTGAAGCTGTCGAATCAGATGAGTCTGTTGTTTATGCTTGGTCGGGATTCCCCAGGAAACAAAAGATGCCGTAGGATTTCGATTATATACCCATGACATTTACCAGGTGCCCGACTTTATTCCTGTCGACCACTTTCATTGTTGTGAGTCAGTTTGTCAGCGGACCAAATTTGGATCAGTCTATTCTAAATCGAATATCTACAATACACTCATGTCAAATTCTTCTCTTAACCATCCTTCTTTTACATTGCATCTGCAGTTCTTGGTTCTTGAACTGTTGTTAGTCGTGACACCTCAAAATGCCAGCATTGAAAAGTAAGACCTGAGAAACAAAACTTATTTCGCCCTTAAAACCTGAAACGAAACATTGTTTCTCGACTCTCGTCATGGTCGTATGTCAAATAGATTAAAGAAACAAATCTCACATGGTGAGACTTTTGAATTTTGTGGCTTTAACGCCATGCCTATCATCCACTACGTGTTTGTGTACGGCACGCCACTCCCGCCCCGGGAATTGACGGTCGTAAAGTTTGGAGTTGAAACAGTCCTCAGATGTTTAAATTTTAAAATTATGCCTTATTCTGTCAACGCCAAGCTCTGGAGCCATCATGATCTGATCCAGTTCACGGGCGCTTACCCTAAACTGATGAATGCGATCAGATCTGTTACTCCGATCTCAAGGTAGAGTGTGATAACTAGGAAATAATCATAGGGGTTTATCGCCTGTGTACATCCCTCAGAAGATAAGTCGTCGCGCTTTAACCATACAACCGACATTTATAATACATCGTATGAATGCGGACATTGTCCCAGATATGGTGCTTCAATGCATTGAACACATGAACTGATAAGGTTGATGCTGGCTCCACCACGATAACCGGTTAGGTAGCTTTAAATTTAGCGAGTATAAGCGATATTTCGATCCTCAACATGCGATATCGCTACCATTCGTATAATACGTATGGAGTAGCCTGAATACCTCTTTCACTGATAGGATATTATAACTAATAGGTCGCGGATAAATATAAGAAAGTATATTCTAGTATCCGAATCATCTACTCCGTACATGAAGGCATTACGTGCCAATGGGAAGGACTTGCATATGGAAGCTGCGGTTGTGTCACGTGTAGTCAGTCTCTGCGGAGGTCTCTTCGCCAAGTCAAACGTTCAATTGTTCTCCTTTCTAACTACTCCATCCCCAACTAAACATCAAAAGGAGGAACATCGAGATGAACAACAAGCAGAAAGTTGAACACATTGTTGATATTCGTACCTCGCTCTCACAATTTATCCATAAACACACACTAAACAAGGGAAGCATGACGTCGATCTCCTGCCGAACAGGCTTATCCACAGTAAGATTAACCACCCCTCTTTGGAAGGTGAGTGCTGCCCTCAATCTTATTCGCGAGAATGCTGACTCGTCTCCTCCAGAATAAAATATTCATCATGAACTACGCCAATCAAGCGCGTCTCGCCAGCCAATTGCAATTGTGAAAGGCGCACCACGCGTTGAGCGTGCTTGTGTTTGCGCGGGCTATCAGTTGTGGCTCCAGTCCTAACAGGAACCGTCTGTGACGCTGTTTGAACGCTAACCCCAAGTCACATTGGCCCAGGAACCATGCTGTGCGGGAAAAAGCTACAGTCAGGGGCTTTAAAATGACAGACGGCCAATGCGAGCTGTGATTGCAAGCCACCAAAGAACGCCCAGGGGAAGTACCAACACACTCATGGAAGTTGGCCCGCGATGGAACAAAAACGCCAACGTATTAGAAACAGGGTCGAGACAAGACAAGATTCAGAATCAGAACCGAGACAAACGTGGTTAGATGCCTCAAACCCCAGGATATCCGTCACGGCAAGTCTCAAAAGGGACCGAGACTCCTGCCCCATACGGGGCTTCCTCCCGACCATGCTGGTCTTGTTGCCTCGAAGTCGACCCTTTTGGCATTTACGGATACCGCTGCACAATTAAGCATCAACTTGACATGCTGCAGTTGACTCTAATCTGCTCCGAGCGTGATCTCCTGAGCCAACAGACTTGAGCCAGGCACAGTTTTGACAGGATTGGCTAGATCTCGTTCAGGGGTCAGACGAACTCCAAACCTGATTGGAGGCGGTTTCATTACTCAAGGCCCCGTCACAGGAGAGCATCCACATAACAGCAGGGTCCTTCAGGCCAATGCAGGTACCGTGAGGCCATTGCTCAATATGGTCTGCATGGGGACGGACCAAGAACCCACTCAGATGAGGGCCTCGCCTATGGCTCAATCTCCTGTTCGTGGGTGGCCGGGGTGGTTGCACTGGTGCCGCTGCACTTGACCATTGCTCATTTCCTGGGGATCCATTTTACATCTCTCCCACCTGTCGATCTCTTAACACTCATGTCCTTGCTTCCCTGCCTGTCACTCATTCTTTTGTTTCCTTGCTTTGTTAAAACGTTTCCGTCGCTGTTCAACGAGTTCGTCGACCTTCCCGTCAGCTTCATCACTCGTTCTGTTGCTCGACGACAATTACACTCTTTTACCGACGCTCACTAGCATATATGTCTTGTTTATGACATATTAATTGAAGGATTGGAGATATTCGCGCAATTATCAACACCTGTTCAGGAATCTTTCGAAACCAATCAACTTTCATTCATCGACGACAATGAGATTCATCAATCTTTCGGTCGCCCTTGCGGGTGCCTCATCGGTACTCGCTGCCAAGTCGCACGGCCACCGTCACAATGGTCTGGAGCAGTTGCGACAACATCTACCCATCCAGTCTTCGACTCTTGAGAAGCGAGGAGGACAGTGTCAGTTCCCTACCGATGATCCCAACATGGTCGCTGTCACTCCGGATGCGAAGAACGCCGGTTGGGCTATGAGCCCCGACCAGCCTTGCAAGCCTGGAAACTACTGTCCTTTTGCCTGCAAGCCCGGTATGGTTATGAACCAGTGGGATCCGGATTCGACCTACGAATATCCCGCCTCTATGGTACGCCTTAACTATATAATCTGTAATTTCGAAACTCGCAACTAACACTCATCAGAACGGAGGTTTGTACTGTAACAAGAACGGTGAAATTGAGCAGCCTTTTGAGGGCAAGCCCAACTGTGTCTCGGGCACTGGGTCTGTCGAGGCTGTTAACAAATGTGGTTCTCAGATGTCTTGGTGCCAGACTGTCCTGCCTGGTAACGAGGCTATGCTTATCCCTACTGTCGTTTCTTCCAGTGCAACTCTGGCTGTTCCCGGATCTTCCTACTGGTGCTCCACCGCTGCTCAGTAAGTATCTTGAGTACTGTTGATCATTGAAGATCTCTAACGATTTACACAGCTTCTACATCAACCCCCCTGGTACTGGTGAGGAGGGCTGCGTCTGGGGTGACGAGAGCGTGCCCGTTGGTAACTGGAGCCCGTATGTTGCTGGTGCCAACAGTGAATCCAACGGTCAGACCTTTGTTAAGATCGGCTGGAACCCTATTTGGGAGGACTCTGCTTTGAAGAGCACGCTGCCTGAGTTTGGTGTCGAGATCAAGTGCCCTGACGGTGGCTGCACTGGTCTTCCCTGCAAGATTGATCCCGCTAATGGCCGAGGCAACGTTGGCAGCAGCCTTTCTGCTAAGGGTGCTGGCGGCGCAGCTTTCTGTGTTGTTACCGTGCAGAAGGGTAGCACTGCTCAAATCATTGCCTTTTCTTCCGATGGAAGCTCAGGATCTGGCGATGACGATGATGACTCCGAGGACTCTGAATCTACCACCGCAGAGGCTGAGCCCACCACCACATCTGTTGCTAAGGTCACCACTTCTGAGGAACCGAAGGTCACCACGACCGAGGAGCCCTCCACCACCGCTGAGCCTACTACTTCTGAAGTCGAGACCACCACATCTGCCAAGTCTACTACTAGTACTACTACTACCACCACTACCGCTGCTGAGACTACGACAACTGCTGCTGAGACTAGCACCACCGAGCAGCAGACCTCAACCACTGAGACCTCTACTGAGGAGCCTACCTCTACTGCTTTCACCTCTGTTTCCTCCTCTACTAAGACCAAGACTAAGACCAAGACCAAGGCGCACAAGACTACCACTAGAAAGATCTACCCTACTGTCAAGCCTGGTATCTTCCGTGAGAACGGAACTTCCACCCGCACAAGCTCCGAAACTGAGGAGACTGCTGTTGTCACGGAGGTTGGTTCAGGACCCGCCCCTACTGAGTCCAAGGATAGCGAAGCTGGCCGCCACCAGGGTAACGCTGCTATTGCTGGCCTCGTCGTCGCATTCATCGCCACTGCTTGTTTCTTCTAATTCCTATCTCCTTTAACGACCATTATCACTGTCTCATCACAGCGGATATTCATTTCAAACGCTCTATTTACAACTACATTCCTTTTATTATTGATATCTTACATATATTATCCTGCCACTACCTATCGGCGATAGTGTCTATTGTCTCAGTCCGATTGGTTTGGTTGACGGTCATATGGCTGCACCCAGTCCAGTTGTCGATACCCGCCCCGGGTACTAATATTCCTCAGGAGTCTTGTCCATGTGACTCTTGTGGCCCGTGGGCACTATATATAAGTTCAACGCTTCTTTTCACGGTCGATATACCCTTTTTTGCACACATTGGAGACTTTTTGGATATTTGGAGAAAACAAGCGATGTTTTTAGTTTATTCTCGCAATTAACGACGTATGCACACATGAACGGAGAGTTTGGGGCTTCTAGTTTGTCGGGTGGTTTTCAAGAGGCGGTGGTTTAGTTGATGGGATGATGCTCTGGCCATCTCGGTTTATTACTATAAAATAATTTTTGATTAGACATATTTCATCGTGTGATGTACGTTATCACACGCTACTAAAAGAAAATGTGTCCAGTCATGTTTAGTCGTTTTAGTGAAAGTGCATTCTCTTATTCCAACTCGGCATCTATCTAATCATATTATGCCCCTGGGTATCATACAGTAAATGATATTATGAAAACGCCATCAATACGACTTGTGATCTGTATGTTCATGCTAGCCGAGTCCTTCCGTTTAGCCCTCTCTTGACTACTTGACCCATCCAGGTACCTCGTCTGGATCATAATCATCTGCTGCCCGGTCGCGAATCGTGTGCCACACGTTGGGCCAACCAGCAAGCACAGGGCTGCCCTTGGCCTTGGCACCGATAATAGCAAAACGTCCTTGTCCGTGAGCGATGAAACCGTGCATCAGATCTTGCTGAACAAGCGTTGCGACTGACATCTCCACATCCTCTGGCGTAACCGCGGCGTTACCCCAGATCATGCCCTCGTTAGGTCGAAGGGATTTGGGGCCACCAGGCGGCGGAGCCAGAGTCGAGGCTGTTTCGGAATTATGTGCATTGTTCTCGTGGGCTTTCATCAGAAGAGGGTTTACGCTTTGAGGCCGGCCAATAGAATCAGGGCCTGCTGGTAGCCAACCCTCCAGGCGACGTTGGAGGTATATAGCGACTGTGTGCAAATTTGTAAGGTCGAGAGTAGCGGCTTTGCGTGATGAGGCGTCGGTAGGAGGGACGTATGTAAGAATGAAAGTCTTTCTGCTCAATGAGCGCCAGAGAAGCGGCCGTAGACGATTGCTGAGGGTCAAAAGTAAGCCCTTTTCGAAGAGCCACGTCTCATGCTGCGCTAAGTGGTGTTGAAACTGGATGAAATTTCCTGATCTGATAGCTTGGCAGATGGGAAGGAAAACAGGCGCCAGAGTCTGGCACTCTTGACGCTGGAGTAAGGTCTGTGATGGGAAGCGCCCAAGGAGGATATTGCAAGGGATGAGGTAGGTGAGGATGTTGGTCCGGTGGGAAACCAGCTGCGAAGGAGTTTGAAGATACGCTTGTTCAAGACAAAGCGCAGCGCGAAGGTAGTGGTTGTTTGAGAAGTTGAAACGACCTAGGTAGTAGAGAAATGTCACGCGTTGAGCAGCTGGGTAGAGAGATAATGGCGGAGAGATGGTGGATATGTTTACAAAGATCATCTTTGCAAGATGTGTTCTTCGACACTGTTGTACCGTTAGTTATCAGTTATAAAAGCCGAGGGAGTCTCATCACGTACAGCGAAGAGGAGCTTGAGGACGAGATTGGCAAACATATAGACGCCAACCTTCTTGCCCTCGGGTTTGGCATAGCGCCCGCTAGATCGGTCAGTGAGACATGTTGTGAAGATCTTCTGAATAATTTCTGCTGAAGACTCAGCAATGGTCTTGTCTTCGTCCACAGCACGTAGACGACGCGCCAAGTCAGGCCGTCTGTTGAGAGTCATTGTGAGACGAGCAAGGGTTTCTGACAAAGACATGCTCGTTTTAAGCAGCATAGCGCCATAGGTTGGATGGGCAAAGGCAGTTGCACATGAGCTATAGTGGATGTTAGCCATGGTGATCCTTCATCCGATGGTTCAGAGGTGCGCTGCATACTTGACCAGGCCACTCAGCAGTTGATGCGCGCCCAGCAAATCATCATAATCGACATCTCGCCAGAACGCAAAATAGTCCTTCATAAAGGCCACGAAGCCAGGCCAAACGGTACCTTGACCTTCAGGCACATCGTCCTCTTGAGGAAGGGACTTTTCAACGATGTTGTCGAGGCCCTGTTGGCGGAATTGAGAGCGCAGCTCAGCCGCGAGGTTGTGGTATTGTTGTGGTGAGCTGGGCTCTACCTGGAGCCAGGCGCGGAGCTCTTCGCCATTTTGAGAGCGGATAAAATTGCGGATTTGAGTGAGGAAGTCGAGAACTAGAGGCATTGCGATGGTTGGTGGCGATGGAAGATGAAGAGGGGAAAATATGCAGCGCGTCTTGGTCTTGGTTTGAGACGGGAGGTTGAGGTTCAGATGAGATGCATGGCTGAGGCTTGGAAAACAAGTTGGCTCCACTGTCTCTGAGAACAAAGCTGGAGGAAGGACCAAGCGAACTGCACATCATTCTATCAATGTCAGGTATATCTTATTTTCCTTCTGTACTAAGCCACCTTATTGAATCAACACCTAGAATTGGAATTGTTGTCATGGGAAATATCCAATTTGCAATACCAACCTGCCATGATGCTGTGATTTCCATCATGGGCATTGAATCTCATGTCAAGTCGATATCACCCTACCCTGCACCTCACTGTCATGACACTATTTGTCGGGAGTACAAGATAGCAACTCAAATATCACAGGCATGATCATCACTCAGCGAATAATCACAAACATCCTATGAGAGATAATATTTTATTAGTTTTTTTCCTAGTTCGTAATATGGTATCATGGACAGATAGTCCAGATTCTATCGTCATATATCGTTTGCTTCATCCTCATGCTTTTTAAACAGACTCGATTCGCTGCACCACAACAGCAGTCGCAGCACCACCTCCATTGCAAATAGCTGCAACACCGTACTCACCAGGCTTGAGCTGATGTAGGAGAGTGGTCAGGATTCGCGAGCCGGAGCTACCGAGAGCATGACCCAGCGAGATGGCACCCCCCAGAGGGTTGACCTTGGCGCCTTCTAGCCCCAGAATCTTAGAGTTGGCCAGAATAACACTGGCAAAAGCCTCGTTGAACTCCCAGATCGAAACCTGATCCTTGGTAATACCGGCGCGCTCGAGGGCGATGGGGACAGCCTTGGCGGGAGCAACAGGGAAATCGATAGGGGATGTGGCGGCATCAGCGTAGCCGCAAATCTTAGCCAAGACGCGCGAGCTGGAACCATACTTCTGGGCAATGGCCTTGCTTCCTAGAACGAGGGCACTGGCACCGTCGTTGAGAGTAGATGAGTTGGCAGCAGTAACTGTGCCACTTCCATCACGAACGAAAGCAGGCTTAAGCGTGGGGATCTTGTCAAACTTGACGTCGGCGAATCCCTCATCGGTGTCGATGATGGTCTCGCCCTTGCGTGTCTTGACAGTGACGGGAGCAATCTCGTCGGCAAAGGCCTTCTCATCCCAAGCCTTTTGCGCATTGCGGTATGACTGGATGGCGTACTCGTCCTGCTGCTCACGGGTGATATTGTGGTTCTTGACAGTGTTCTCGGCGCAGTTGCCCATGTGGAATTGATCGTAAACGTCAGTCAGACCATCCTTGATAAGGCCATCCTCCATCTTGACATGGCCAAAGGCAGGGAGGCCACTGGCGCGAGGCACGTAGTATGGCACTTGGGACATGTTCTCCATTCCACCAGCGATCTGAGCCTCGGAGAGACCTAATTGGATGTTCTGAGCGGCCAGAGTGACGGCCTTCAATCCAGACGCGCAGACCTTGTTGATAGTAGTCGCTTCGATCTCCTTGGGCAGGCCAGCGAAGATGGCGGCCTGTCGAGCGGGCGCTTGGCCAACAGAGCCCTGAAGAACGTTGCCCATGTATACATCGGTGATCTTCTCGACGGGGACCTTTGACTTCTCCAAAGCGGACTTAATAGCGACAGCGCCTAGTTTGGTGGCCGATACTGATACGAAGGAGCCATTGAACTGGAAAGAAGTTAGTATGCTGTCGCATCAGCAAGTTAACGATGTAGTATTATTTACCTTTGCAGTGGGAGTTCGAGCGGCGCTCAAGATATAGGCGTCTTGGAGTTCCTTGCGCAGAGCTGGCCTTGTAGAGAACTGTCGCACTCCGTTCACATGTCCGGCGAGCTGAGCCAGCCGACCAGCGGATCTTAGTTGTGTAGTAGACATGGTGAATATGAATATGTATATAGGGGGTATCAAGGAGTAACAACAGAGACAAAAGTGGAATACTAAAAGAAGGAGATTTATGAAGAACAGAGGAAGAAGGATTTAATTGTAGTATTAGTATCCGTACCCGTGGTTCACAATAAGACGACCTCGGGTATCGTGGACCGTGGTCGGCCTTCCCCCGCTGAAAGCCGAACGTGGCGGGGACAAGCTTGAGCTCTTTCCGTGCCGAGCGACCTCTAATCCGGGGCAATTTACAGGTGACGTCGATGGAGTTGAAGTACAAGCTCATCTGCAGAATTACAGTGTAGTGCATAAGTACCTTTTAGTCACGGCGGACTCTTTCCACCGCTATCTAACTTTTACAAGATATTTTATTTCAATATGTCGTCGTCTTCCATATCGGAATTATAAATCATTACCGAAATCCCATACTCTTACAAACGGAACGGGCTTCATCCTCCGCGTTCATGTGAAAGACCGGAAGCTAGTGGATGACAGATATCATGAATGAGCCTCAGGTTCCGTGAGGAAACTTGCTACCTAGCCTCTTGAAAAAACTAAACCAATATGGATTGGAATTATTGTTTTATCAATTATGGTAATGAGCTTGTCCTGGATCAATATTGTTGAACCTCGCTGGATGAGAGACCGAGAGTCACGTGATGCCATCTCGGTGAGCGGTGAGTGGAGTGTCCCAGCGATTGATAGGCTTGACCGAAATCTTGTTTTAATTGGCGGCCGTGGCCAGTCGGTGGCTGTGTGGATCCTCTATCCTCCGCAGGCTCAGCTGTGGAATCACCGACCAGGCCATCTATGACCAATCTCCATCTCTGCTCATCACCTTGCACCGCCAAATCCGTCGTTTGCTCAAGACAGCAAATCGTGCATGCAAACGTTTCACTCTACAATAATAACGGTCCAGATTAACGTCGCAGATACGATCTCTTCCTCTCAACATTATTTTCCTATCAACACACCAGCTGCTATCCCTACCTTCGCATCTAAGCCGTTATCATGTCTACCGCCGCTCGTCGCCGCCTCATGCGAGACTTCAAGGTACGATGCGCTTTTACAAACTGGCTTCAAAACCTTTCTCGCTGACTTTGGTGATAGCGCATGCAAACTGATCCTCCCGCTGGCGTCTCGGCTTCCCCTGTACCAGATAATGTCATGACCTGGTACGCGCACCCATTTCGACATGACCGATTCTCAATACTCATCATACACCTTGTAGGAACGCAGTGATCATCGGCCCCGCAGACACCCCATTCGAAGACGGCACCTTTCGCCTGGTGATGCAGTTCGAAGAGCAGTACCCCAACAAACCTCCTCAAGTAAAGTTCATCAGCCAGATGTTCCACCCAAACGTTTACGCCACCGGAGAGCTTTGTCTTGACATCTTGCAAAACCGATGGAGTCCGACGTACGATGTTGCCGCTGTCCTGACCAGTATCCAAAGGTAAGATTGATAATCAATAGTCGGATGGAAAACGCATGCTGATCATGGGTAGTCTGCTTAACGATCCCAACACCGGTTCGCCTGCGAACGTCGAAGCCTCCAACTTATACAAGGACAACAGAAAGGAATACACCAAGCGTGTCAGAGAGACGGTGGAGAAGAGCTGGGAAGATTGAACGAGGAACCCAGCCTCGGAAGGACATAGAACGGTATGCCAACGTCAGTTTGTCCAGCAAAGAAATGGATCAGGTTGCTCAACAATGCTCTGCAGCCTGGGATTTAATATCCCAAGGGTGCAGGCATTATGTAAATGGCGTTTGGGTGCGTGGAGTTGGACTAAACTGCATTCGAGGCGTTGCGAGCATCCAACAAGCACTCGGGAACGTTAGCTTATGATATCACGAGGGTCATCATGAAGAAGGAGTTTATGTTTCTTGTAACGCCCGTGTCATTGTCCGTCATATGATTTTTCAGAATCAGCGGTACTACTATGCCTGTGTAAACCTTAAGCGGTCTAAATTTATCAAGCATTTTTGCAAGGGTTGGACAGTGGGTGCACAAAGTAAAGCATGTCTTACTTGACAGGAATGGTGACATTCATCTTTTATCACGATACTCTTAACTGTCGGTATTGAAAGAACTCGTACGCTAATTATTGCCCATTCCACACTTCTGAACCCGTTTCTGACATGCTGCTCGGGAGTTGAATTTTAGAATACAAATTGCATTGTCTTCGTGAGAGCCACCATCCTTCATTTGCCTGAATAGGCAGTGTGTTGACCATCATGAACCCCTCCACGCAGCAACCCGACCCGACAGTTTAGACTAGACCCCTGACAGTTCCCCAAATTAAAGTACTGTCCATGACACGCAATTTGGACCCGACAATCTCGGGCAGAATGCTTTCAGAAAGCCTGCGAGGCCTAATCCCCATGGAGCAAAAAAGCCAATACCCACTGGAGAGTCCCCTAAAGTTATAGGACATCACCCCCTGGACTGCCCTGACACTTGAGTCCCTCCCCGTTTCGGCCCCTCTTGGCGCGCGTCCTGACGATTTTGACCTATCAACTCCAACAAAGCCCACCGCCTCTGGCTGCCAGCAACACGACGTCGGGTTCGAGTGTTGATTCGATAGACCTCCACTAGTTATCTATTTGTTGTTACCGACGATAACATACATAATATATGTACGCATTTTATTGCTGATCGCTCGACAAGCCTAATCCAAACAACAGCAGTATCGTGCATTTTACACCCTGCCAGCGAATCACGACACCCTGCGTCTTGGCCCTGCCTTGATCTGCGACTTTTCTCCAACTGTCTCTTCTAGACCTCCCTTTAACCTCATCTCTCTCGTTGTTTGAGGCTATCGTCTCCCCCTCCTCTCGCCGCCATTTTGTGGCCCGTTGTAACGAACCCGCGGCCCGCATCTTCTGCGACCCCCCTCACTACTCACCCCCCTGAAGGTTCGCTTCAAAGCAACCAACGATCGATCCCGACTTTTTTTCCTTCTTGGACGACAGCACCGCGGCCGATGATAACGTTTGTTGCGTGACACACAGCCTGCGTTCAATATGTCGTCCGCAAACAGTATCAAGGTTGTGGCCAGGTTTCGACCTCAGAACAAGGTCGAGCTTGAGTCAGGCGGAAAGCCCATCGTTACTTTCCCTGGCGAGGAAACATGTACTATCGACGTATGTTGTGCCATCTGCTTGGCTGCTCCTTCTCGAGGGAAATAGTAATATACGGTGAGAATTCATGGCTAACCTCTTCGACAGTCCAAGGAGGCGCAGGGCAGCTTCACCTTTGACCGAGTTTTTGATATGGGATGTAAGCAATCAGACATCTTCGACTTCTCGATTCGCAACACCGTCGACGATATTCTCAATGGATACAACGGTACCGTCTTCGCTTACGGCCAGACCGGTGCCGGTAAGTCTTATACCATGATGGGTACCAACATCGACGACGACGAAGGCCGAGGTATTATTCCCCGTATCGTCGAGCAGATCTTTGCCAGCATTATGTCGAGCCCCGGCACCATCGAGTATACGGTCCGCGTCAGTTATATGGAAATCTACATGGAGAGGATTCGAGATCTGCTCCAACCGCAGAACGACAACTTGCCCGTCCACGAGGAGAAGAACCGCGGTGTGTATGTCAAGGGTCTTTTGGAAATCTACGTCTCGAGTGTTCAGGAAGTGTACGAAGTCATGAGGAGAGGTGGAAATGCCCGAGCAGTCGCCGCCACGAACATGAACCAGGAGTCCTCCCGATCCCACTCCATCTTTGTCGTCACCATCACACAGAAGAACGTCGAGACCGGTTCAGCAAAAAGTGGACAACTGTTCCTTGTCGATTTGGCCGGTAGCGAAAAGGTTGGCAAGACCGGTGCTAGCGGACAGACTCTTGAGGAAGCCAAAAAGATCAACAAGAGTTTGAGTGCCCTGGGAATGGTCATCAACGCTCTGACTGACGGAAAATCTTCACACGTACCTTACCGAGACTCAAAGTTGACTCGTATTCTGCAAGAATCTCTTGGTGGTAACAGTCGAACAACTCTTATCATCAATTGTTCGCCCAGTAGTTACAACGATGCTGAGACCTTGGGTACGTTGAGATTCGGTATGCGAGCCAAATCCATCAAGAACAAGGCCAAGGTCAACGCTGAGCTCAGTCCTGCCGAACTTAAATCCCTCCTCAAGAAAGCACAAGGACAAGTCACGAATTTCGAAAGCTACATCTCTAACCTTGAGGGCGAGATTCAGCAGTGGCGCGCTGGTGAAGCTGTTCCCAAAGAGAGATGGGCCCCGCCCTTGTCTACAGATGTCGTTACTAGAACCAAGGCCGATGTCAGGACGTCGACACGGCCTTCGACTCCTTCATTAATAGCAGATAGCCGATCGGAAACCCCGGCGATATCCGAACGTGCTGGCACCCCTAGCTTACCACTCGACAAGGACGAGAGGGAGGAGTTTCTACGACGAGAAAACGAACTGCAGGATCAGATTTCAGAGAGGGAGTCTCAAGCTGCGTCAGTCGAGAAGCAGCTTCGGGAGACCAAGGAGGAGCTGGCCTACCTCAAGGATCACGACAGCAAAGTCGGCAAAGAGAACGAGAAGCTTACGACTGAGGTGAACGAGTTCAAGATGCAGCTTGAGAGGCTTACATTTGAGAGCAAGGAGGCTCAGATCACCATGGATGCCTTAAAGGAGGCCAACTCTGAGCTTACCATTGAGCTTGATGAGTTGAAGCAACAGCTTCTTGACGTCAAGATGAGCGCCAAGGAGAGTGGTGCTGCTCTCGATGAGAAGGAGAAGAGGAAGGCTGAGAAGATGGCCAAGATGATGGCTGGCTTCGACTTGGGCGGCGATGTGTTTAGCGAAAATGAGCGCCATATTGCGGAGACCATCGAGAAGGTCGACTCGCTCCACGAGCTCAGTGCAACCGGCGACAACATCGCACCCGATGAGTTTAAGACACTCCGGTCTCGCCTGGTGGAGACGCAAGGTATCGTCCGACAAGCAGAGCTGTCCATGTACAGCACTACCTCGAGCGAGGCCGATTCAAGACGGCGACAAGAACTTGAAGCTCGCCTTGAGGCTGTCCAAGCCGAGTATGAAGAGATTCTCACCCGTAACCTCGGCCCCGAAGATGTCGAAGAGGTCAAGGCCCGGCTAGAGAACGCCTTTGCCAACCGCCAGACCGCTCAGTCTCAATTTGTCGAAGAGCTCAAGGCCGATATTGCTCAGAAGGCTTCTGAGAACACAAGAATGAAGACGTTGATCGATGATCTCCAACAGCGCGTCAAGGCTGGCGCCACCGCGCCAATGGCTAATGGCAAGACGATTCAGCAGCAGATCGCTGAGTTTGACGTCATGAAGAAGAGTCTCATGCGTGACCTCCAGAACCGATGCGAGCGTGTCGTTGAGCTCGAGATTTCTCTGGATGAGACCCGAGAGCAATATAACAACGTTCTTCGATCCTCCAACAACCGGGCGCAACAGAAGAAGATGGCCTTCCTGGAGAGGAACCTGGAGCAACTGACCCAGGTTCAGCGCCAGCTTGTTGAGCAGAACTCGGCTCTCAAGAAGGAGGTTGCTATTGCTGAGCGCAAGCTGATTGCCCGAAACGAGCGTATCCAGAGCCTGGAGAGCCTACTTCAAGATAGTCAGGAGAAGATGGCTGCTGCGAACCACAAGTATGTATCCCCAAGCCGCTCTTCCTTTTTAATGAACTGCACTAACCAATCACCCCTAGATTCGAGGTTCAGCTCGCCGCTGTCAAGGAGCGCCTCGAGGCCGCCAAAGCTGGCAGCACTCGTGGTCTTAACTCGCCAGGGGGCTTCACATTTGCCAACGCTGGCAGCAGGATTGCTAAGCCTCTCCGAGGAGGAGGCGGTGGCAACGACGCTGCCCCAAGCATCCCCACAATCCAGAACCTTCAGGGCCAGAATGAAGGCACCAGCAGCGGTGGTAGCAGCAGCAAGCGCGCCAGTTGGTTCTTCACCAAGTCATAGACATAATGAGGGAAATATAAATAAAGAAAAAAGAGCTCGCTGCTTTTTTGCTTTTGGGCACGGCGTTGCGAACAGATCTGTTAGACACACATTCAAACCCCTTCATACCCCCCTTACCCAAAGCTTTCCACTTGTTTCTCTCTTCTGCTGTTTTCTACTTGTCCTGGTTTCTGTTTTTGACTTGCTGCTTCTAAGAAGGCGATAGAGGATGGGGCGGCTACGATGATTTGGATTTATGACAGGCATCGCGATGGGACCATGAATGGACGGATGGATCGTTATAGGGCCGGCGCTTTGGGCGCGAAAGATGAAACCAGGAGATGAATACTGGCTACAGTGGTGGAAGCATGCATGAGTCTTGTCACGACCACATAGCTGAGGCACGAAGTTTAAAAGAGTCAATGAAATGAGTTTGTAACAATGTTTATTTGTTCACTTATATCAAGGGACTGTATAGTAGCGACATGGAATAATTGAATCTTTTGCAATTTGAATCATCTAACGACTTTCATCAATGAAAGCGAGCGACATATAACCAAGAGGGGATTTGTTGAGTGAGATAGCGTATGCTCTCCATTTACATCTTGATGTCCTGGTTGCCAGGACCATCGTCGTTCGAGGCGCCCAAGGAAGCCAGGAGAATGAACTGAGGAATGATGACACAGGCCATAACGAACATGACTGCAAAGCTGATAGCAACGATCTTGACACTGAGCATGACAATACGGCGCCAGGCAGACTTGGAAAAGCTGGACCAGGCGTCACGGACAGTAGCATAACCGAGACCACCAACAACAACGGGCTCGATGCGGCCGTTGAAAGAGCGGTCGAAAGGAATGATGGTGTCGGCATCAACAGGGAGAAGAGAGGCCTGGACGCGGACGAGAACGACGTAGGCAGGGATCTGAACGGCGACCTGAAGAATGATAGCGACGAGCAAGATACCAGCAACGCTGCCAAGACCCTGAACCTCAGAAACATCGCTATCCTGCTCGCGGCCAAGAAGGAACATGATGCCGACGCTACCAAGGCTGACGATCTGAGAAGCAGCCCAGAAAATGAGTGTAGGCCTCCAGGTGGCGCTGAAGGTGGACTTGAATGGAGGAAGGCGGCTCCAGAAGCTCTGGCGAGAGGCGGGCGTGATGACGATGTGGACCCAGGCAGTGTTGAGCTGAACGCAGATGAGGGCGCTAATCAGGTTGGCCAGGACAAAAGAATAGGGGACCATGGTGTAGATGATGCCGTTTACGAGTCCTGTCACAAGGCCCTGGACGATAAAGCAAGGCAGGCCGCGGAAGAGAGCTCGGAAGCCACCGGTCGATCGGAGAAGGCTCCATGTAGCTCGGAAAGAAGAGGTGACAGGACGGCCGTGACCAGCAATGATAGCGGGACGAGTAGCAGCGGGCTTGGGCATATCATCGTTGTCGAGGGGCTCGACGGCGAGAGGTTCGTAAACGGGAGGCTTCTCATCTTCGACGATAGCGAGAACGGGGAAGACCTTTTCGAAAGTGTAGTTGATCTGGAGATATGTTAGCAAATGAACTAAGATAGAAGTATTAGAGAGAACTTACAAGAAGGAAAGCAGGGAGGAAGATGAGGAAGTTGGCGATAAAGACGAGGGCAGACCAGTCAGGGAGTTGACTGATCTCATGGCCCAAGTTTGGCGCAGGCATGTTGTCGCGCCGCATGAGCAGCGAACCAGCGTGGGAAAGCATGGTTAGTAGAAAATAAGAAAGAGGACCAAGTATGAAGAAGTTGTTTGATGGAAAAAAAGAGACAAGTTAAAGAAAAAAGATAGTTGTCGAAGATTGACCTCGAGCCTGATGGATGGAGGAGGGATGGTTTAATGGGATGCGGAAAGTGGCTCTGCTTGGGGCTTTATTACGCAGATCGTCCACTGAAACTAGCATTAGGCAGCCCAGGCTGGAAGAATGACAGGGCGGTTACGGGTTACAGGTTACAGGGGGTGGAAGGAGGGGCGAAAGATGATGTGCACAGCCCCAGGCGCATTGATCTGCTGCGTTACGACGTTCTATTGCCTGCAGGGACTTTGAGGGACGATGGTAGAAGACAGGTGTAGTGTATTCTGTGTTGGTTATTGCCTCTTAAATAAAACCTCCAAGAGTTATTTCATGTGTCAGAGTCTTTGAGGAAGTTATTTCTTATTATTCCCTTCTCTTCAACGTGAATGTTGATATTATCGCAGTAATCGGTGACTTCCGGATTAGGAAATGTGCATGTAGGACTTTCACGCTCTGCATGACCGACGTAATAGCCTCTAAACTCGGGCAAAACATCAGCCTTTTTTCTTAATGTATACGATTCTCAAGGTATAACCTTCCAATGAATGTATTGTGTATGACTGCGAATTCTATTCTTCATCTTGGACCTTATTCACGGCCAACTTATATCCGTTTAATCTCTTATGTCTGGGCAAGTTCTCTGAGGCCGGCTGACAAAGCGACCTGCCATACGCATCAACCAATGATGGGCTGGTTTACTGCCTTGACGCTACCCGACCCGGAGGATTATGACCCCCTGGCGCTACTGTAAACTCTACAAGTCCCTGTAACTGTCAGACTGAGATCAATCGTTAAGTGTCTGAGACAATCCAACCCATGCTCTCAACCAGTCCTACCAGCAGTCGATAATTGTCCCAATGTGGGGTAAATAGATATTTGTGCTGTATACAAATTTCATGAAGCATCGGTTAGCGGCTTTCAGTTATTCAATCGTGGTAACGAATTCCATGGCATTTCTTTTACACTGAGGTGCCCCGCAATCATGACCTGCCACCGCCTGCAGGGGTTGACCGACGTCACTGGCAACGCCCACCAAAGGTCCCTGAACGGACAGCTTCTATCACAGCTCGGCCGGAACAACCAACGGAGTCTGCATCACCAACCCGAGTACCCTCACTCTGTATCCTCCATATAATGGCTTCTACAGATATCCCAAACCTCCTGAATTCTCTTCGTAGCGCTCGTGGAGGTCGTGGTAGAGGAAGAGGTAGAGGCGGCCATGGCTCGTCAGCTGCCACCCACGACTCCACGATCCAAGGCACTGATACTGATGCCTCGGTCTCGAGGCTGAGCGCAGTTGACCTTGGTTATCTGGATGACCCATATGCTCAATACTTTGTCCAGAGTACTGATGGTCCTGCGCCGAGGCGTCTTCCTATCATCAACCGAGGTGCGCTAGCTTAAACTATTCCTCCAACATGTATACTAAATCATTCTGTTCAGGAACATACACTCGAACTGTTTCTCTAGATACTCTTATAGAGTCTTTCTTAAGTGAAGATGAAAGCGTTGAGCCAGGTTCTGCACCAAAGCAAATCATATCTTTAGGAGCTGGTACTGATACTCGGCCCTTTCGACTATTTGCTACCAAGTCTCGCCCCGGACTGGTCTACCATGAGCTCGATTTTGAAGTTGTTACTTCCAAAAAGTTACGGACTGTGCAAGCCACGCCTGTGCTGAGGAGTATCCTGACCAATGCCACCCAAGTGAATGAGCGCTCTTGGTCAAGTAAACCTTCGGGTAGCGAATACTACTGTCACGGCCAAGATTTACGAGGCTTTTCCGTATCAGAGTCTAAAACCGAGGGCAACGATACCCAATCACAACCGCAAGACCAACCCGAAGTTACTCTTCCTGGCTTACGTACGGATATTCCAACGTTACTTCTCTCAGAGTGCTGCCTCTGCTACCTCAGCGTCACCGAAGCCTCAGACGTGATCAACTTCTTCGGTTCGCGTATACCGAATCTCGCAACCATCATCTACGAGCCTATCCGCCCAGGTGACGCCTTCGGTAAGATGATGGTCTCGAACCTGGCGGCACGACGCATCCAGATGCCCACTCTCCAGATGTATCCCACGCCAGGAGACCAACGGGCGCGGATGAGCAAAGCTGGCTTCAAAATGGTGCATCACATGACCATTGAGGATATCTGGCAAACCTGGGTACCGCCGGAGGAGAAGCAGCGTGTAGATTCACTTGAAGGGCTGGATGAGGTGGAGGAGTGGAAGCTGCTGGCGGCACATTACATCGTTTTATGGGCATCCAAAGGAAACGGGTTTGGAGGCTGGGGCAATGTCGGTGGCGGAGCATGAAGGATCATGCATAATAGAAAGCAATATGATTGACGAGAATTTGAGTTGTTATTTGAAGCCAAACTGATGTGCGGACACACAGCCTCTATTTGCATTTGGGAACACAACGTGGCTGACCAATGGTTCATAACCATGGGTTGGTTGCACGGTATTCCATGCAAATTCGAGGACTATTCAATGATGGCCGTCTTCAAAATAGATTCCACTGGAAAGAAATAGTCAAAGTTAAATTCGCACTATCCATTGTCCAGGTTGTGTAGTTGAGGTCTTATTCATCATGACTGCCGAAGCAGTAGCGACTTGAGCGAGACAAAATATACTTCCTGTTTAGGTTTAGCCCACTTCCCCCTTGAACCTCACTCATCCCAACAACTCGCTCTCCATCCTCAGACAAGCCAAATTCAACCCTCAACTGGATATCGCATGAAAGTCATCGGATGTAGGTGGCTCGGTATAATTCATCACCATACCCTATTGCAGAAGCTCCATAAACGTACCGGAACCGTTACAGCTTGATTGAAATAAATACGTAACATCTCACGCCGCGACCGCGACACCACCGCCAAAATGGCAGAATCAAGAGACAACAAGGCCTATAAGTATCGGCAGGAGATCAGTCAGATGATGTATGTTTCTGGCGAAACTGCAGAACCTCCTGTCGAAACTACCAGTATTATCGAGGATATTGTGCGCCAACAAGTAATTGAACTAGTACGTTGAAACCCCATTTCTATCTGTCTCGTCTCGTCTCATTTCATCGTACTCAAAACTCATCCCATTTAATAGCTACGAAACTGCACCGAGCTCGCCTCGCGTCGCGGCTCAAAATCCATCAGCATCAACGACCTCATCTTTCAGATCCGCCACGATCAAGCAAAGGTGTCTCGCCTGCGGACGTTCTTGTCGTGGAAAGACGTGCGCAAGAACGTCAAGGACTCAGATGATAAGGGCGCCGATGCCGACATCGCAGGCGGCGATGACCCCGTGGCAGCAGGTGATAACACCACAGATGAAGCAGCCAAGAAGAACAAAAAGGCTAAAGTCGGTCTGCCATGGGAACCCTCATCTTACTACAACGTTGAGGTGCCTGAGCGCGAAGACGAAGAAGATGAGGAAGAGGAAGAGATGAATTACATCACGTTGCAGCGCCTGCGCAAGGCCGACGAGCGCACAAAAGCCATGACAAAGGAGGAGTACGTGACATGGTCTGAGTACCGCCAGGCATCATTCACCTACCGCAAGGGCAAGCGATTCCGCGAGTGGGCAGGTTTCGGCATCGTCACCGACAGCAAACCCTCGGACGACATCGTCGATATTCTCGGTTTTCTGACCTTTGAGATGGTACAAACTCTGACCGAGATGGCCCTCAAGGTCAAGGAGCAGGAGGATCTGGTGCGTGCTCAGAATGGCGGCGACAATGTCGGCAATGCAAAGAAGCGAAAGCACGAGGGTGCGCTATTTGACTTTCCCAGTGAGGGCAAGACTCCAATCGAGCCCCGGCATGTTCAAGAAGGGTCAAGACGATTGCAACAGCGGCCCAAGAAGTCAAGAGCTATGCTCAATGGTACTAGAATCCCGCAGCACACGCCACTCAACATCTTCTAATCGCGGCATGTATGGGCCTGATTGGATTGTATTTGCATTTCATGGCACGGCGTTGGATTCTGGATTTGGAAGGGAGGCGCATTGGAAGAGTTCATGAATGTTTATTATAGTCATTATTATTTTCGACTTACAGACCCAGCTGGCCTAGCGATGTACAGCGTTGACCTCCTCTGTTCAGTAGTATCTATCTGTCATCTTGACTTAGAGTAATAGTTCGTCGCCGAATTGCTGTGTTGTTATCACATAACCGGCTTCCGACTCTCTGAAGACTCATGGGTATATCCTCTTCACTGTCACTGTCCACCGCTTTCTCATTGCTCTCTGTTCTGTCAAATCGTCCTCCAGGATGGTTTGCTCGACGGATAGTCTGCGTTCGCCGCAGCCCACTAACCCTACTCTCTATCGGGGCAAAGATCGAAGGAGCTGTGGGCACTTCCTCAGCTGGGACACCAGCAGCGTCACTCTCCGCGGTGGGCATACGGGAAAGAGGGAGGCGGTTTGCGTGTGTACGTTTTTGGTAATTGTCGTAGGAGGGCCTTTCTAGTAGACCACTGCGGAAAGAATTTTCGCCCACAAGATATTTAGTGAGTGTAACAAGTTCTTCAAGATATTCGATAATCTCCATTTGACCAGACGTACTGGCATTCCAAGAAAGAAATCGTTTCTGAGTGATCAAGTATGCGATTTGCTCAGCGAGCTCCCCATTCTCATTAAATATACTTGGTGGTCCACCTGCAGGCGTCTGCGTACCACTTCGTGACGCAATGATTTCACGAACGTGGTTGATCAGACGCAGCTGTGCCAGTCGAATAGATGGGAGAAATTGTGGTAGAGGCTGCCATAATTTTAGGGCTTCGCTCACAGAGAAAAGAGTGAGTGTGATGCTGGAGGCCACATTGCGTCGATAGGCATGAACTTGGGGATTCAAGTCTTCTAACACCGATGAACCATACTCTTTTCGCAGCAATACCGCGGTGTCCATTCTGTCAATGATCTGATGCAACACAAAGACCATCTCCGTATATAAAAACTTAAGCGGTTTGAAACTCCCTTTTAGACGTGGTTCTGTAGAGCAGAAAGGAAGAAACGTCTCTGCTGCAGCAAGCGCGCCTCTAGCTTTGTTTCTTGCATGAACAAAACGTTTGTGAAGACCAGGATCCCGGAAGTCGGGCTTGATTGGGCTATCCAACCCAACCGCCATTGCATATTGCATGTTCTCGATCTGCTTGACTGAGGCAGAGAGTGATTCGACCAGTCGATCCCTAGCTCTCACTGGATATAAGACAAGCTCCACGACTAAAGCAACGATACCGCCAACAACAAATGCAGTTAATCGCTTATAGAAGTTCTCTGAAGCCGAATCGGAGCCGTTCATGGTACCTGGCTCTGTTAGTAAACTAAATGATAGAGGGCAGCCTCGTACTCACCAATTGCAACCACGACCATGGAAACAGTAGCGACCATACCCGCCTTGACATACTTCGTGCCGAGTTGAATGTAAAAAGATGGAATAATACCTGCTATCAGAATAAGAACCATGGCGACTCTACTGCCACTTCCGATCAGATAAGACAGATATCCAATAGTGCAGCCGAATACGACACCAGCAAGACGAACTACGAATACGTGGAAGGACGTTCCTATCGCCACCTCAAAGACAAGAAACAATTGCATTGGTGCCCAGATACCCCGTATCATCTGGTACCACTCGCCATAGGAGCTCGTCAATGCCGGCCAACTGAGTAGAAGAAGAGCAACTGTAAGCTTGCAAGCATACAAAAGGTCCTCGGAGTCCTGTATCCATTCGAGTATGTCGGCTGCCTTTCCTCTCATCTTGAGGAGTTTGCTGGTGGTCATCGTATCCGATCTTTCTGTTTCTTGTCTGCTTCCAATGACATTTCTCTGGCTCATCTGAGGTTCTGGCTCTGCAAAGCGAATACCTTTCTCCTCGTCTATGACTTTGGCCAGTGCGGGCTTCCCATCTTTACCTCCGTGCTGTGTATGGACTTTGGACTTAGATCCCGGCGAGGCCTTACCCCGACGAGCCTGCTTGCGAGCCGCTTGTGGGAGGACAAATCCGTCACTTTCACCACCCGATGTCAACCATTGCTGGATGTTGGTGTGCTGTGGAAACCAGACCGAGGCCCTGTTGTTTCGAGCTTTCCGCTGCTCTACGGTTTTTCGGACATGTTTCAACATCTGCAAAACCTGTGTCGCAGACTGGCGTAGGCCAAGCACAAACGAAGAGATCAGAAACGTTTCTAGCCGAGGCATGAAGTCGATACTATGCCCACTCTTATCCATGGCTGAACGTCGAAGCTCCATCGTGCAGCTAGAATCAAAATTTGTGATAGCTTCTATGAAGAGGTCGATCCTGAAATCCAACTCCTCAAGGCGGATTCCTTTGGGTGCCGGTGCCCCTGAGGGCAGCCACCGTACATCATAGCAATAGGCGACACACACGATGACCAGGCGCACAGCTTCCTTCATTTGAGCCTCAAATTCCCGAACAGGTTCACGAATACGCTCGACGATTGACTCAAGTAAATTTGCACTGCTGGCTTCGATCTCTCTGACAGGCTTTGCTTGCTCGACTTTCTGAACGTAGTTGTCGAAGGTATTCATGCGCCTGATTCCAGAATGCTCGCTGGAGGAGCGTTCACTTGACGAGACATCGTCGTCTTCATACCTGTCATCGTTTTCCAGTACAACATACTTGTTCTCACAGGCTCCAATGATGGTGATGGTGTTCTGAACAAGGTTGCCCATCTGTAAGGTGCTCAATGGTTTCATGCTGCTCGGAGGAAGGGCTGATATAGAGAGTTCATAATTAACCTCCCTCTGCGCAGCTTTGCAACGAGCAAGACGAGCACGGAGCTTGTCCTTCTTTTTCGCCAGACTTGAAAGATTTGTAAGACCGACAGGCTCGGTAGAAGCCTTGTAGCGATTCTGGGGCGGTCGAAAGGGATTGGGGAACGGCTTCGACAATCGGTTTAAGAATTTACGAACACGTCCGTTCTTTTGCTTTGGTTTTATCGGCAGGCTCTTGGCCGTGTGTGTCATAGTAAGGGGAATTTGATCCAGTTCCTCATAAGAGTTACCACCAGGGGTGATAAACCAATGCGTAGCTCGAGTGAGTGTATCCATTGTTTCACAAAGAGCATCAATGGTAGAAAGACCAAGATAGCTGCTTGATAACTCTGGAAACATCAACAGGTTGACGAAAAAAGAAATACCACAACCAATCAAAATCGGGTAATAGACGTTGGTGAAAAGTTTCCATGACACTTGAGGATTGTTGTGAAGCAACACAACCAGACATGAAATAAGGAAAAAGGCGACGAATAGAAAGACACGAGGACTGGCAGATCTTATGTAGCCATGGACCATGGATGCTACAGCAAGAAAAATTCCCTGAATAGCATATGCCGCTGTTAAGTTCTCTTCGGAAACGAGAGAAGCGAGGAAGATGCCTAAGATGGACCACCCGAGCCCAAGCAATGAACCCAGCAGGACCATAAGGAGAGATTCGATCATAACGCCCAATCGTTGACCTGGATGAGCAAAGGTGGTAGCCATTGGGGCAAGAAATGTTGCGGTACCCAAGGCCTGAGCAGCTCGAGGAATTATGACCGTGATGGTTGAAAGAGTACAAGCGATAGAACACTTGATGATCTGCTTCCATAAGTCGTTGGTTTCTACATCGCCCCAGATAACTGTGACCAGCCTCTTGAGGCTTTTGCCCAGGGTTTTCATGACGGACGACTATAACTGTAGTGGTGTTGAAGATTGATGTCGCTAGTTGTATTGAATTGATCCAATGTGATATCCAAAAGTGTCTTCAGTCATCCCTTCGTCGTGAGAATTGACGCTGTAAGAGCCGCGCCAACACAAGATGAGAAGAATGAGGATCGATAGAGCAAGTCATACAATAAGTGTAAACGACGAGAGGGAAAGGCTGATGAGTAGAAGATGTGAAGTGACGTCTAATCATGCAATTCATGCCTGGTCGTAGGGGGTCGTATTCCTTAATATTGCGTCGTGTCTTGGGCTCCAAGGCTTGGCTCGTCTTGGGTGTTGATGACTCGCGTTTGAGTGGGTTCTTTCTTATCTCACAACATTGCTGCCAAAGTCATGGATCAATGAGTTGGGAGTTGATATTGATGAGAGAAGAGACATTTCTGATGATGCAGCACTAAAAGCGATGACCCGAAACGATACCACGAATGACGAAAACTTGGAAAGTGCCGGAGTCGCATCGATTACACTACGCTAAGGCAGGTGCGCAGGCGATGTGCCGAGACCTCATGCCTTCCATTGCTTCCATCGCGAAATTATGCGTCTAACCTGATTGGCCACTACAATACAAACACGGTATAACGTGTGATACCTACCTATCTTGAAGTAAAACTATCACATCGAGCAAAATAACGGCTATAGAAACGTTACCCGCTTACACAACGGTTGTCGTTTTTGCGGGGGACCTTTTCCAATTCCTTAGGTCTCCATCTGCGCCTCTCAACTAAGGTTGCACAGCAGGGGGCATGGGGATAAACATGTGCTAGAACCTGGGGCCTCTCCAGGGTCTTTTAGTGGCCAGCCTTGCAGCTCTTCGGTGGCTGCTGCACCGTACCCCACAGCCAATCAACATCAGCCCTTGTGTTCCGCGACAGCCTCCTAACAACGTCGGCTTATCCATGCCACCATCACTACCACGACCCTCCTTTCTCAAACCACCTTCGTTTTGAGCTTCAGCCTTGCCAATCCACGATGCTTTCCTTTATCCTCATTCAGAATCGCCAGTAAGTTCTTTGGCACTTGCCAAAACTCTACCATTTACAATCCTGCTAACCGCAAACTCAGGGGCAAGACTCGTCTCGCGAAATGGTACGCCCCCTTTAGCGACGAGCAAAAGATCAAGCTCAAGGGCGAAGTCCACCGTCTCGTAGCCCCTCGCGACCAAAAATACCAGTCCAACTTCGTCGAATTCCGCAACAACAAGATCGTCTACCGTCGCTACGCCGGTCTCTTCTTCTGCGCCTGTGTCGACACAAACGACAACGAGCTTGCCTTCCTCGAGGCCATCCACTTCTTCGTCGAGGTTCTCGACGCCTTTTTCGGAAATGTCTGCGAGCTTGATCTTGTATTCAACTTTTACAAGGTCTATGCGATCCTCGACGAGGTGTTTTTGGCGGGCGAGATTGAAGAGACGAGTAAACAAGTCGTACTCACGCGGCTGGAACACCTCGATAAGTTAGAATAAAGCATGCGCAGGCTGGTTCGGGACCCAGAAGACCATGGGAACGCATAAGATTTGATTGAAATGTTTCTTCATCTTGAGGCCAGATGTTGTCATTTGCATATCGCGGGGAGGCAGGCAGGAGTTGAAGGTGTTTTGGGAACAACCGCAGTATCGTGAATATACCATTGCTATTTTGTGCTTTCCATATGATGGTACATTACTTCATTTGATCTCGCTGTTCTGGAAATGTGTAATTTCCATAGGTGCTTCATCCTAAATCAGTCAGGCTAGAGTCGCTTTCAGCAATCTTATAAGCGATGCGCCTTGTAATATTCACGGCTTCCAAGCACGATCCACGCCAAATAAGAGAAACATCATATTTATAAAATGTGAGACAAATTTCCAGTCTCACAGTAAAACATCATCCACCATCTTCATAAACTTTAGACATCAAATCCAGAGGCTCAAAACTCGTCTCGAAGATCAATTGAGTAACTAAACTCCGCAGAAACTCCACACATCACGCAGAAGCAGAACATCAGCTTAAATACCACATCATCGCTTCTTCAGCGCCGCAAATCTTCTCTCCAGATCACCAAGGTCTGGGATCGATCCATCAGGCTCGCCCTTTCGTGATGCTGACTCCATCTTCTTGCTGGGCTTCAACTCCACCGATCCTAGCGTCACCTTCGGATGTATGTTATCGGTTGTCATCCGCGGCGGTGTCACCGTCAGTGGGCTTGTTGGGCCTCCGCCGGCGAGCTTTTTAACTGGTGTGTTCAAGACTGGGTCTTTGGTGTCTGCGCCAAGAGGTGTCTCAAGAACCCTTTGTTTCTGTCCGCCGGATGGCTTATCGTCGTCGTCAACCTCGTCATCTTCATCATCGTCATCGAGAAGCTCTGGAGGCGGCGAAACTGCTTGCCGCTTGGGCCAGTCAACGCCATAGGCTCTGGCAATCTCCTCCAAGTACCCGACGACAAGCTCCTCCCGTGGAGGCGTGACACTGAGCTTCTTGACAACCTTGTCGTTGACCTTTCCATCTGCATTTTCCGTTGCTGAAAGTACATACTCCTTGCCGTACTTCTCTGCCAAAAGCGTCCTCACTGTTCCGAGCTCTTTAATCTCCGTTTTGGGCGCCGCATAGATCAAACTCTGAATAGCTTCTTCCAGCCCAGGATCAACAGTATGTGCCTCCAGCAGCCCGGAGCGCGCAAGAAGTAGTTCGCAGTAGAGTTCAAGAATCTCGTGAAGCTCAGAGGTGATATCAGATCGGATGATGTTCTCGACGCGGATGCGGGCTGAGTCTTCCTTGCCGGCTTCGAGGAGTTGGGCCATGGCTCTCCGCGCGGCCTTTCCAAGTTGCTCATCGCGCTGCTGAACCATGCGCAGGCGCGCAATGGTTAGCTTGAGCTGGACCTTGAGCTTTGTCTATGGCGATGAATGTATGGGTTAGCGACTGCATCAGCTGTGCGATTGGCGCTTCATGGCATTGGGTCCGATGGCGGGGGAGCGTAAGAGGGGCAACGTACTATGAGACTAGCACCGGGCGCCATGATGAACGAACGAGGAGTGGTATAGCAAAGGTTAGTCTGTGAAAATAAGGTGAGCAAATGACACCCTAGAGAAGAGAGGATGAGGATATATACAGTGGTAAAAGAGTGGAGGGGAAGGCAGTTAGGTTAGGTTGCTCTAATAGGTACGGATTAACCAACTTGTGTCTGCCTTCCAGGTTGCGACGGGACGCCCAGGCGCTATGAGCTCATTCCCACTGGGGAAGCCTTGTGCCCCACCACAGCTTCATCCGGGTCAGGCCGAAGCTCTAAGCCTTTACTCCGTACTTCTATATAATTGCGTCCAGTCACGTTAACAAAGAAGAACAATTGAGTGAAACTTTGATCTAGTAGAGGTTAGACATTGGATACAAATACTTATGAGAGATGCCCATCCTTCTGGTATAAAACGACTGCAGCGTTGTTCATGCTTGTGCAGTCCATCAATATAGAGTATAACCCTCGTATCTAAGAATCAAGATGTACAGCCCATCCTAAGGGCCATGCCACAGCTCCAGATGCTCTCAATAATGATATCCTTCATCGCCATATAACGCCATATCCTAATCCCAGTAATCCTAATTCGCATCTTGGTTGGTACACTCCCTCTCTAGGGAAACTTGAAGCGCTTGCGGATGCTTCTACTCCATTTCAGCATCCTCCGCAACTGGAGCCACACCATCAGGACCCTCTCCCTTGAACACAGCGCCGTCTTCGTACGTAACTCTTCGCCATCCACAAGCCTCCTTATCGTCCTTGATCCATTCCATGGTTGGGAAGTAGTGATCATTCTTCTTCATGGTGATCACCCACGGCACGCAGTCAAATGTCACTGCCTTGAGGCGGAAATCTATGCATCGTTAGCTCTTTTCTCCATCATTGACTCATATAGAACGACTTACATGTGTTATCGGGGATCTCTCGGGTCGCAGCAATGAAAGAGTTGAGATCGGGTGTAGGAGTGCCGTTCACGTGAGTAATAAAGTTGGTTGGTGCTACACCATACTGATAGGCCGGAGATCCGCGGATACGACTAGAAACATAAACCTCGCTATGGAGCTTACTGATTTGTTGCCGAACGGCCTGGTGAGGTCGGTGAAGGATAGCACCACAGAAAGAAACAGCATGATCCGTCTCCATATCGTCTGCTGCCACGGTGGGGAGCTGCAGGTGGACTTCTTCGCATTCACGAACAATAACCGCATCGAGCAGTTCACGTGAGTACATTAAGTCAAAGTCGGAAATCGTAGTGCAAATCTTGCCATTGAGGGTGAGGATGATGTCGCCCTCAAGCAAGGACACTGGATGGTTGACACGCTCGAACGTTCTTTTGCTAACCATAAACAGCTGGTGATGTGATGGGTTGGCCTGGGTGACCTTCTTGATCCATTCATCTGATACGCCCATGACTGATGCCTGAGACATCTGGACCGATCTGAACTCGACCGATAACATGCGGAGCTTGGGGTTGACGCCCTTCTGAACCGATTCTACAACAGGGAGCAAAGTCTTGGTGCCTAGACCAAGGTAGTACTCTTCGTCGCGTGAGGTATGCGGAGATCGTTCTCCTAGATACGACAACCAAAGAGCCTGGACTGTTCCATCGGGTGCGACAAGAACACCACTGTTACAAGTCGAACCGAGGTTGCTGTCGATCGTGATAGCATCAACGTTGACAGCGCGGTAACGAGGAGCACCTGAGTTAGCAGGGATAGCTACCGCCGTGATCTCAGTCACGCTGGTAGAGCCATGCACAACGCGCCCGATTCTGTTGTAGCCAAGGAAGTAAGTCTTAGCACCCTGTGTGAGAATTTCGTTGCTTAATCGAGCGCTCTTGACAGGCGCATCAACGAGCGACGGGTCGTACTGGATAATGGCGTAGTTTTGAAGGGGATGTAAGAAAACCACTTTGCCTTCGACAATGATGGAGTCAGCAATAGTGACAGTAATATCGCAAAGGTCGTAAGGGACAATAGCCCTGGAGATCAAAACAAGACCCTTCTCTGCATCGATCACGAGACCCATGCCCCAACGTCGGTTTTTGGGGAAGCCATCAAGCTTCAGTGGCATAGTACAGTTGATGTGGACGAAGCTGCGGATCAAGTCTGCTATGCCTGGATGAGGCATATGTTCCAGTTGTATGAAGGAGGCAGATCGTCGAGTAGGTGCCACAGGAGGCAATGGGTCTCCCAGGTCAGTAAAATCCCAAACCCCTGACTCATCATTTCGTACTGCAAGCTTCATCTTGGAAGCCCAGTGTCGATCAATATAGGCTACAGTGGTATTGAGAGTGTGTAAGTCACGGAGGTGTTTGTAAGTAACAACCACTCTCGCGCGGTCCGGAATTGCCTTCATCACTTGGATGAACGTCTCGAGGTCTGGCACCTTCTTGTGATCAATCGTCTGGACAATCCAACCATTGTCTGTGTTGTCGAACCGGAATGAGCCCGCCGATTCGCATACATAAACACCTTTTACGGCGACAGCATAAAGTCTTGCTTGCTGGTATGACAGATCGTGGAAGCTGGCACCTGCTGCCGAAACAAAGCGATCAGGGGTAATTTTGTGAAGATCGCCAACCTTAATTTCCACCTCAACGTCCTCTCCACCGCGCTGAAGATGAAGTTTGATGGTATTGTCGACGTTAGAATCCATGATATCATCAAGTCGGATGAATTGCGTGATAAGTTCACCGTTGATCTTGATCAAGACGTCGCCCTCCTCAATATTCTTGTCCGAAGGGCCCTGAGGGAGAACAATCTCGGCCACCAGCATGTTGGTTTCTTCGGGGAATTGCTTGCGCATGGCCGCCTCCCATTCTGGGCTCAGGCCGAGCCTTCTGCACTCGTCGAATGGCTTGAGGAGGAATTGGCACTGGATATCACCACGAGTAACGGGCTTGCCACTCTGAATGCACTGTAGGGCGCGCAGAGGTCGGTCCAGGGGAAGGAAATAATCGGTCGAGGCTCCATCAGAGCGGCCACCAGCTTGAAGTGCAACAGCGCAACCATCCTTGTTCACGACTGGACTTCCAGAACTTCCTCCACTCGCGGCGGCGTTGGCCTGGTAGTAGCACGTGTTGAAGTCGCTGTAGCCCTCTCCGTATTCTGGGGCGTTTCGATCGAGACGGCTGATAATGCCTGACAGGATACTAAGTTTTTCGCCTGCATCGTTACCAACAACTCGAATCTCGGTACCAACTGTGAAGATGTTAGCAAGGGCCTTGGGCAGGTTTTGCTGTATCGGTTAGGCGCATACCCTTTGCGAGATCGGGTCGCAATTCTAGGCCGTCGATATGCATATACTTGATCGCCTTGGGGTCGTATCGGAGAATTCCAAAATCGTGAACGGGGTCGCGGTAAACGGGGTAGCAGTCGACTTCCTCATGGTTGTCGAAGACACAGTGGCCCCAGAAGGGGCCAGCGCCAACGACGTGACGGTTGGTCAAGATGTATCTATAAGGACTGATTAGACCCTAAGTCGTTCGCGAAGACTTTATTAATGTTACGCACCCTCTCTCAGAATCAACAACATATCCTGTAGCTTCGCTGGTCAAGGCGGAATCGGTATCGAAAGAGCAAGTCTGGCAGAACCTGATCGCGACAACGTTGCGAACGACTTTCTGGATAGTATCCTGCCACTCGCCCAAGCTCCCTGGCGTTCCGATATACATAGCGTGGGGATGGAGATCGTCGGTCATATCGGACTGGTCGTCGAATTCAACAATGTCGGGAGTGTTGTCATTGGGAGAGTGTTTTCCATTGACGGCTCTCTTGGGTGCAGGAGCTTGGTCGGGCGAGCCCGGAGCCTTTCTCTTGACCCTCGGTGAAGATGCGGCGCCATTCATGACTGTGGTTGTTTGTAGGATACGGTGGATGAGCAATGCTGGTCGTGAAGAAGAGCACGATTTTGACAGTGATAAAGGGGATCGCAAGTGCTGTCTCTAGTCAGAGCGTGACAAGGATCGCAAGCAGTGTCGGGACTGAGACAGTAGCACGGATAGCCACAGCGAATCCGATATCGAAGGGACGGAACGGTTAATTAAGTAAACGAGGTGTGTAATGAGAGTAGGTGTAGATGATTAAAAAAAAAGGATTCTCATCTCACGGGGGACATGTGATGAGTAGACTGAGATGCAATCTGGGGAAATTTTTGGTCCAGTCTGATCCAGTCAAGTCTACAGTGAAAAGAAAGGTATGATGGCACACCTTTTGCCTTTGACCGGCGAGGGAGTGGATCAGCTGGAGAACGGCAGGGCAGCCCATGGGCCGGTCGCCGTCTTCTTAGGTGCAGTGGAAGCTAAGGTTGCAGGGGAAATGATACCCTCTTAACCCACTAAAAAACTGCCTGCAGCTCCCGTCGTCATTCCCGCGGCGCCCTGGCCCGCCACTGTGCATAACTCTTATGCACTTGTCCACCCTGTACGGAGTAAGACAAAAAGGTTGCGTGGCTGTGGGTGTGTCAAGGTTGAGATGGTGTGCCACAACTTGACGATTGGGACGAACAGATGACCAGTCAATTAGGGCCGTGAGATGGTGGGCGATTGAGACTTTTGTGCCTATTTTGAACCCGATATATGCAGTAGTATATCAAGTTTTGGAGTTCAAGTCCTAGAGCCTCGATGCATGTCTCATACTCGCTTATACAATGCAACACATCGTATCTTGCGAACGACACCTGATCATATATCGCTGGAGAAGGGTGGTATTTTGCTGTGAACTAAAGCAAGACATCTGAGGCTAGGTACCTACGAAATAGTTCTTGGGCCGTGTGTACTGGCTTACCCGGTAGTCTAACAGATAATCGAACATATATGGTATATTCCACAAACGGCACCCCAGCATTCAAATACTCTAGACCAAAGATCAGTCGGGCCGCCCTGCTTACTTCTTTCTTCCATTATACCGTGTCTTCCTTTGTATAACCACCTGTTCGCCCTGTCGTCCTCCCCTATGTAACCGAGCCTGCATCATCTCAAAAGGTCGCTCCTCGATCCACGAGGCCATGCCATGCATGCACATCCAAGACAACCGCTGCCGTCCGAGACACGGAAATAAACGTGGATGGTTCCCAACCCACAGGATCCTGTGTCATCCTATCGTTGTTGCACCGCTTCCCGATCCAGGTGACCAAACAACGTGTCTCGTGAGATTGCCTGTTGGGTATATTTTATGCACCTCACATGGATGTGAAGACGCAGATGCACCCATACATTACCTTAGAGCCCCTCTCTCCGCCTCGAAGGCATGGTCTCGAACAACTCGTCTATTGTCGCTTGTTGCTTTTCTGGGGAGATGCAACTTGGCCAGTGAACAAGATGGCCTCGTCGCTTCTTCACAAATGAGCTGTACAGAGCCCATGCAAAGAATACCGCCGTTACGCTGATTGCCGTAGGGTTGTGGAACTGTGTAGGCGACGAGAAGATGATAGTCGACGTGAATGAACACATCTCGAATACATTTTGCCAGCTTGCTTCCACAGCAGAAAAGGCTCCTCGATTCTCAGGCTCAACTTCCTGTAACAGGCAACGTTAGCGGATTGTTGCCGCATAAAAGAGACTGCACTTACCTCTTGTATGATGACTTGCGCCGAAAGATCAACGCCCCAGAGCCCGACCCTACTCAGCATCGAGCCACATACAAGGCCTAGTGTTGAGACGAGAACATTATCGGCGTATCGCCAGAATATGGATACACCAACTGCTAAGCACCCCAGTTGCCAACTCAAAAACCAAAGACCAGCACGGACTGGCCCAATCTTTTTCATCAGCCAGGGCCCGATCCATGTAGCCAGGACTTCGAATCCCACCGAGACTGTTCTCATTGCGGCGATTTGGGATGAAGTATATCCGCTTGACAGCAGATACGTGACCATGACTCCACCGAAAGACAGAACTGTGCAGTAAAGAAGAGCCATCGAAAAGGAGGGGGCAAAGGCTGGATGGGTAAAATAAAGACGGAGGTCACTCAACGCCTTTTGCAACCCTTTTCTGAATGAGATCCAAAGATTTTGGCGACCCTGCTGTGTGTCTTCATTGTTGAGCGGTGCAATATGAGGCGTGGTCTTTGCTTGTTGTAGCTCAGGTACCTGGTAGTAAACCTGTACAAGTTAGGATGATACTCTCAAACTGTATGAGTGGCAGCCTACCTTGGCAATGGTAAAATACTCGATCACGACCGAAGCGCAGTTCATCGACAAGTTTAAAAGAATTGCCGTTTCCGTGGATATACCATCGATAATTCCTATGAAAAACGGCCCAAGGAGTTTACAAACAAGGTCGATACGCCTCATCTGCGAATTCATAGCTATGGAGAGGTTAGAAACGCTTATTGGGTCCCAGAATGCGACTTACTTCGGAGTGCAGTAGTGTCTGAGCGAGCCACAACGATGACCTAGTAACCATTAGAAAGATTCATCTTATGTTTGTGTTTGACATACCCAGTCTCTCTCAACTGAGACGAGATTCATTATGGCGGCCAGCTTTTCAATACAAGCCATGAGAATCAAGACTGCGAGCAAACCAATCCGCAACTCGCGCGAGACAGCTTGAACCTTACCCAGTACAAAGAATATGACGCAACAGACAGCAACAGAAAGTCGCTGGGACACTATGAAAATTAGCAAGTTTGCTTTGGGAACAGTTGAAGTTTCCTACTTATCGACAACCTCACCGTCTTGAGGCGGTCATTGCGGTCGATGTAGTGACCAACCCAGGATGATAACATGATTGCAGCAGCTCCTCTAACCATTGAATATACTGCAAGAGGCATCAATGTTCCAGGAAAGATAGAAGCGAGATATAGTACACTCCCGAATTCGAAGACACGAGAGTTCCATGTTGACAAGGTGTGAGAGATGTAGAGTCTGCGTGCGCTCTGGTTGAGAGCCCACGACGTGGCATCTACAGTACTGGTATCATCGTTGACGTCCTCATTGGTACTATAACTGTGACCTAAGGATTGATACTGCGATCGGATTACACCATTGGTTGATGTTGATGATGTCGCAAGCAAAGGTGCTGCTTCTTCGTTTCCGATACCAGCGGGTGAAGCCATAATTCAATGCCAGTTGGGCAAATATTACACAGGAAGACGATCACATCGATCAATGAGAGAGAAGGGATTTCGTGTATTCAAAATTCGATATTAAAGGTGCAAGATCAAGCTTTGTAGGAGATAAGATTCATGCTATAATAATACATGGTTGTTGAGCACGCCAATGGCGAGTCGTCGGTCGCAACATCTCTCGCCTGATTATCACCCTACGGGCTCTGTATATGCCGGCCCCATCTCTCCTTTAGCACCCCCCACAAGCCGAGCAATCGGTTCACGCCCGACCAACTTCACCTAACAAGGCAATATACCCAGGTTTGCGACAAAGAGCTGCAATCATTTGCCAGAATTCATTCAACTAAGTTAACTAGCTATGCCATGCGGTAAACTTGAGTTAATCTTTGTTATAATGGAGGTATGGGGATGAATAAGCGCAAGATTCACAGTCGGAAGCGTATGCAAGGACGTCATTAATGTGAATTGGAAACAAGTTAACCCTATCCTGAATTCCTTTGGAAATGAGGGTAGTGTCTGCACTGTGGTTCAAGTTACTTGCACTTCAAGGACACTTTTATAAGCGGCTCACATAAAAACTACTGCCTTCTCCATCTCGCTCCCACCCCTGTCTCGGTCAGTGACAGTTGGGCTGTGGGAGAATAAAATTCATCTGTTAGAGCAACTGGCTAGAGACCGCAAGTGTACACGACATAGGAAAGGTACGTTATACATCAGACAATCAATGAATCAAAGGGCGGTTCAAGGACAGTGTGTATAGTTCTCCCGAGTAAAATTGCTCTTGTAGTCCTCATTGAGGCCACCAGGAATAACCGTTCCTACCTCAGGCCTGCGGAACTACCAAAATTCGCTTTCATGTGCCTCATGCCGTGAAAATGAAAATAACGTTGGGGAAATAGCAAGCCCAATAATTCATCGGTATGTGCGTCGCATCGTATTTGTCGTTCCAGTCGTTAATGTGCGATACTAGCACGAGTGTCCATGGACAAGAGGTGAAGGGCAAATGGTTTAAGCCTCTCCCTGGTCATACTCATCCTCAACCTCGTCCATCTCATCCTTGATGATGGCATCACTGAGCTCCATTTTGACAGCTTTGGCTGCGTTCTCGGGAGTCTCGGTTTCTAGCTTATCAGTTTGAGTGTCCAGTATGAGGAATGTGACCAACTTACTGGTAGCACGACGCTTACGAGGAGTCACCTTCTTCTGGCTGCCATACTCTTCCTCGTCCTCGGAGTCGGCCTTCTTCGCCTTGGGAGTACGCTTGCGGGCTTGAGATATGTTAGTTCGCTGTGGAAAAAAAGTAATGCTCAGGAGAAGGGGAGCTCTTACCAGGAGTTCTCTTCATAGGAGTAGAGGGGGTGCTACCATCGGTCGAGCCGTGCTTGTAGGCCTCCATCTTTTTGTTGAAGGCAGTCCACTGGTTCTGAAGACTCTTGACAGTACGGCCTTCCATGTGGATCTCGCTCCAGTTGATTCCCTTGCCCTCGGGCTTCAACTGAGCGATGATTCGTAGAAGGAGCTCATTCTGTTGTGATTATGGTCAGACGCTGCTGCGCGTAGGGGATTCAGATGGCCAGGACTTACTTTAGCCTCCTCGGTCCAAGCATTAGTCTTGCCAGATGTAGAGTCAGACATGATGATAGTAGTTGCTGAGTAGTTGTAGAGATGCGGATGTTGGTACTGGGAGGTGTCAGAACACTGGGTCAAGAGGAAGGATAGCTGAGATATTTCTCACAATGATGCTTAAAATAAGATAGTAAGAGATGGAAGATTATGACAAAGAACTCTGAAGTTTCTCTGTAAGAATGAGTGAAGAAGCAGACGATGCGAAAACACTAAGTGAGTGGAGTGAAGTGAGGTAAAGTGAGGTAAAGTGAAGTGTGAGGGGTGAGAGAGAGAGAGAGCGGATGAAGGAAGGTTGCTAGGCAGCAAAGATGAGTGAAATCATCCCCTCTCTCAAACGAAGCTCTAAAGAAAAGCAAACAGCATCGGCAGAGAGATCAGACGAAAACGCTACCCCTGTGCGGAGTGAATCACTTGCTAATTCGTTTGACAAGCGATTAAGACTGAAGGTAACAGGCCCCTGAGGTTATTACCAACTGAGAAATAAGTAAATAAGAAAACTTAGTCGTTGCGTATAGTAGCTGCAGTATTATTAGGGTTGGTGATGAGAACAAAACCACGCTCTGTGACATCTGTTGTGGGAGGTCACTGGAGCGTTGAGGTTCAGTACAGGATGGAAAGAAATGGTCAACAGGAGAGTACAGAACTCTCATAAAATATATTGTGGTCAATAGCCTTGAATGCATAGTCCAGTACTCTGCAGTAAATCAGAAAGTGCTTCACTCGTCCAGCGCCAACATTGAGAGACAACATCTCTTCTATTTCTATGCGAGTGTCACTCTTGCAATCATATACACATCCTTGGAATCCCATCTCCAAAAATTAAACACTTGGTTGTAGCGAGAACGCCCTTAATGCAAGTCGCCATGTTGCCATTGGAAATAAACAAACCCGGTATCAGACGCTATTTGCTCGCTCCATGCCGAACATGCTTGTATCACGCTTGTCGCCGCCCGTATTCAGGATCATCCTTCGTCATGATCTTGTTCAGTCCCATAGAAATCCCGTTAATTCCCTCGTCGCATTTTGCGTGCCCTCTCTGTAGGTAAGCAGCAAACCATTCAAGTATCCCATGTGGCTGTAGTCAAGGATACAAGGCAAGATCCATCCCATATACTGTCAACTCCGCAAAACAAAACCAACAAATTACTTCATCTTCATTCGAAACGCCATGAACTCTCGGAATCGTTGCTCGTGCTCTTCGCATGCGGCGGTCCAGCGTCGACGAACGTCCATATCCTGTTCAATCCAGTTGTAATATTCTTGAATGTCGGTATCACCCCGGGCCTCCAAGAACGAATACCCCTTTTCTTCTCTAGTACGAGCAATGTGGGATTTTCGCGTGGTAAAATGGTCAACAACTTGAGCATTGAACATGTCCCATTGCTTCAAGTAATTTTCAAAATCTTTCACATAACTGTCCCAAGAAAGTGCGCTTGGTTGAACTCCGTTGACGGCAACGGCCGCAGGAAGCTGAGGAGCTGCAGGTGGATCTGGAAAGATCAATGGATGAACCTTTGGGAGCTTCATCGGAATCTGAGGCGCAGCTTTGCTTTCGAAGGGCAGGGTGTCTTTCAAATCAGCAAATGATCTCAGACCTGAGTTCTGCTGGGCAAACGGGGCCACATTTCTGAGATCAGCGAAGCTAGCACGGAACTCCTCACTATCCTCTGATCCCACGTTGTTGGGATTGAACGGTTTCATGGAGTCTTCAGGTCTCTGCTCAATGCCGTTCACACTGTCCACATTGCCTGGTCGCCACTCTGGTCTGGAGGGCTCAACATTGATATTTCGAGCGGCATGTGACATAGAGGCTGTTCCTGGACCCTGATTGACTTCAGCGGCCTGTTGGGTCTGGATAGGTTGAGGAGAAGTTCTGGCTTGAGCTGGTTGAGGGGAGGGAACCTTGGGAGGTCGAGGCGGTGGCATCGAGGTCGACACGGGAGGAGTATCTATATCCATAGCCTGGGGACTCTCAGCACTGGGTGGCTCTTCTTGCACCTTTCGTCCACGCCATTCAAGAACCTCCTCTTCGCTGCTGCTGTCATCCACAAGAGTCGCATGACTTGTCTTTTTGGAGGCCTTAGGTCTTCGGGAACTTGTTCGACTAGATCGAGTTGGAGACACAGATTTAGACGGCTGAGGAACAAAATTTTGGGGTCCAAAATCCCAACCAGCAGGGTTAAAAGCCGACTCAGGCTTAGCAGGATCCGGCTTCTCGGAGTCAGATACGAAACTGGGCGTACTCTTTCCACTCATTTGGGGACGTTTCCCAGGCGATCGTCGGCCTTGTTTCCGGGGCTTCGTTGGGCTGTCCTGCTCAGGTCCTCCGGCATTAAACTCCCACCCTACCGGGTCTTCTTCCTCGGTGAAGCTAGTGTTGATATTGTCAGTACTTCGTCTCATAAATCGGTGGAGATCCGGTGATGTTCGCGCAAAAGTGTCATCCTCGACAGGGAAACTAAAGCTGTTTAAGTTCACCGTGTTAGCGCGATTCGATATGCCAGGAGTGTCCAAACTGCGGTCTTTGTGCTTTCTTTTCCTAGCGGGGCTTCCAGGACTCGCGTTGTCAATGAGCTTTGCCAAAAACTCCATTTGCTGGCGCTCGAATGGGGTCAATCGATGTGGTGAATCCTGTCTACCACTTGGCGACGGGCGACAATGCTTATTTGGGGTTGCATATGGGCAGTAGCTCTCGGTAGACGACACTCCAAACCCATAATGACCCTGACACTTGCTGAAGCTTGTCGAGTAGGGGCGATTAGATGCTGTAGAAGATGGGTTGTCATACATTGATGGGCCGCCAGGTGAATCAGTTGCTGTCATTGAGTCAGTAAACGTTCTATTCGCGTGGGATATCATTCTCATTTACCCGTTTCAGCTGCAGGAAATTCAGTAGCCTGTTGGTTGGGTCCCAGAGGGACGCTCTTGAAACCACTTCGAGTCTTCTTCAGAGGAGCCTTGGGACGATCTGCAGGGTCGCGAGGTATTGGGGATGGTTGTGAAGCACTGGATTCTGAGGAACCATCGTCATTCTTACCACCCTGTGGCACACTGGCGCTGCGTTGGCGATTGAAAGCCTCTTTATCCGGAGATTGGCCTTGGTTGTTGGTTTCACGAGTGCTCTTGGCACGGTTCAGCGGGATGCCGTCAAAGGGGTTGGTCTTTTCACCTCCGTGTGACGTATAGGGACTGCTCTGTCGAGGATCTGCCCAGCTATCTCGGTCTCTGAATTGGCTCAAGGGATCAGGCATCGCAGTCGGTGGTGGTCTCTGTGGAATGGGAGGAGGTTGTTTTGGGGCTTCTTGACCATACGATTGCTGATATCGCTCTGATGCTGGCCTTGAGCTATAGTTGCTGCTTGAAACAGGTGGCTCATCACCCGTTGTCGTCCGAGGATGGAATCCTGTCTTTCTTGCACCAAAAGAAGCCTCAGCACGTTGCCTAGCAGATTCAGTCCGTGGTGGGGGAGGTGGAGGGGGAGGTCGTGTCTGTTCACTGGTCTTTGCCGATGCGCCCTTTCGCATATTCTCGAACGCTCGAGCAGCGTTCTTCTTCGATTCAGCATCCGCTGCTGCATACTGCTTTGCTGTGGGAGGGACCCCTGATGAGAAGCGCGTCTGCCATCTTTGTGCGCCCGACGGGGTAGTTCGAGCGCTTGTGTTCGCGTTCGCATTCGCGTTGTTACGTCGTGGGGGAGGCGGATACTGAGCGCTCACGTTTGACCACGGGTTGCCCTTTACACCCGAAGCCCCAGTGTATCTGCCACGACCTCGAGAAGCATCGTGCTTCGCCTTCGTTTCGGGATCAGAAAGAATTTCGTGCGCCGTCTGGATGATCTGGAACTGGGTATTGACTTCTTGTTCTCTTCCAGGATTTCGATCGGGATGATACTTGAGAGCTACGGTTCCGGTTAGCAATTGTGGGCGGGTAGGTAACCTCGTTCCGCTATACCAAGTTTCCGATATTGTTTCCTGATCTCCGCGACGTCCGCCGTCGGGGGCAGCTCTAAGTCTGCATAGTAGTCTCTGGGTGTACCCATTGCAGTCGAAAGACCCCGGCACACTGGCGATCAGAGGTGCGCAGTGATTGGAGTATATACTTGTGGCGCTGGCACTATTGCCTGACGATGAAGGATACAGGTATTAAGGAGCAAGTAATTTGGCGAAAGGCATGGGGGCTGTCGTAGAAACGGTTGTTGTTTGGTCGGCGTTCGGATCGGCCTGGGAGTTTATACTTTGAAAGATAACCGTTCACCAGCAATAGTTCGATGGGACAGTTTGCAGTAATGTGGATATATCTCGGTCGATGTGGCTGGGTAACAGCTGAACTGGGGAGGTTTGATGTTAGCACCGGTATTACAAGTAAGTCCAAGTCCAAGAGACGTGTGTTAAGCCAGGGTCAGAAGGTCGAGGAGAGAGGGCCAGGCAGAGAAGATCCTCTGATCTACCCACATAGCATCGCAAGGGTTTGATCTGAAGCCGAGTGGTTACTCAGCTGTCTGCGCCTCTCGGCATGCGCAGTAAGAGATCCGGATTGGTGGTATTGATTGGCATAGAGCTGATTCAAGGAAGAGCAGACTTACCAAGATGACGTCAAATGCGATGTGTGAGGCTGCTGATCAAGAATCGAATCAGGATACGCAGAGACGGGACGACTTGTCTGAAGAGGGGACGATAAGATTAGTGATTTCTCGGGGAAAAGAGATGCAACGAAAGTGTCAAGATTGGTGTGTAGAGGCACATGAGGATTCAAGTTACACGTCGATGGTGAACAGAAACAGAGGGGAGTAGGGACTGTACCTTCTGTGGCCCAACCCAGGCGGAATTGAGGTGGATGAGTGAAGTTGACAGTGGGTGGTACTTGGAAGTACTTTGACTCTAGCGTAGCACAGGCCGCGTCGAGGGCCTGTGGCTCAGCAGGACTTCGCGCTTGGTCGATCTCTGGACCCTGAATTTCACGATAATTGATTTGCAACGCCTCTTTTGGTAGCTTTGTTTTTACTGGAAAAGAGGGGCCTTCGGAATGCGGAGAAAGGTTTGTTTCTGGTCTTGAAACCAGTTGATACAACAGATTACTGCCAGGCTAGGTGCCAGCTACTATAGGTATCACTGTTTGCTCAGGGTCTGTAAATGAATACAAACATGTGGCGGGGTCACTCTATTTTGAAATAATCTCCAGAGCGGAACCCCACTATGATTCTTATTGTGCAGCTATCAAACGATTGTGATCGCCTATGGCAACAAAGGGGCCAAGACGAGTAATCTCTTGTTAGTGCAGCAATGAGATGTTCAATTGCAATATCCTGCTATGTGAACAGTTTGATAAAGCCAATACCGTTACTCAAGCTTGACACGTCTTCACTGGATTCCACATCTACCTAGGTACCGACTATGCTATACACTAGAAACAAGAAGTGGTTTTATAACTTAGCACTCGCCGCGATCTTGCCTGGAGGCCTTCTGCCACTGCCTAGCAATGGGCTAGGACACCCATCTATCATGAGATCACCGCCACCAAAGCCACGCAAGCACCGCCACATCTCTTATAGAACAACACTGAACACGCCAACTAAACATTGAAGTCATGATCTGCGTCCACGGTCTGTTTTGAGTTGTATGATTGCCATACTTGTATAGAAGAATATATGGCCATGCCAGACCCGTGCAAGATACAGGCGCTGGGTATCAGAAACCACTAATAAGCCAGCAAAACAATAGCATCACATGCATGTGATCATTGTAGATGGACACAGCAGAATTAGCCTACGTGCTAGATATGTAGCTAGAGCTGATGTAGATCTTGCAAGCCACTCATACATATTGACAAGAACATAGTGAATAGAGGAGGTAAGGGACCAACCTACGTGCATGCGACTAGTACACAATCATGACAACGTATTTTCTGAATTGACCCTTCCCTTACGCATTATCTAATCCTCTATCAAATCTAGGCATATCAGCTTCCCTGGACCGTCTTCTCAGCTGCAAGCTTCGCCTCCAGCTTCCGACGTGCAGCAAGGATCATCTCGTCCCTTCTGCGCTGCAGAGAAGCCTGGCGCTCGTCCTTGTTCGAGCTCCACCCCTTGCCCTTGCTATCTTGATCCTGCTGCGACGCGGCATCCAGCTTGTTCTTGAGGTTATATCTTGTAATCAAATCGGGCTGCGCTGGCTTTTCTGGCTGGCGAGTGGCAGTCGCTGCGCTGCTGGTTGTCGTAGCTTGACCTGGAGGGGGAGGCGGCTGGAAGGTGACGGGGGGCTAAGCAAGTAGTGATACTGTCAGCAAAAGGCTTGATCGGGGAATGACACAGCAAGACAGAGGCTGGTTTAGCTTACCGTGTCCAGTCGGCCCGCCAGTATTCTCTCTGTCGTGTTCTGGATGTTTCCTCCGTTGCGCTGCAGATCCCAGAGAATGCTTCGTCTGTCCGCCTGCGGAAACATCTGCTGTATTCTCTCTACAGCGACCTCTCTCGAACGGAGAAAAGCCTCGGGAGATCGCGCAGCTCGGGGTGGCGAGGGTCCTCCAAAGAACAGATATCGTATTATCAACCCGGATACGACTAGGATAGCCATTAGGTATGGCAACGAGATTTGGTCGTCCGACATGATGCGGTTAGTCGCGGAAGAGGGGCAGACGGTTCGTCGCGTTTATAAGACCAAGAATCGAGCAAGGGACGTAAGTGTTTAAGAAAGAGGCCTAGATGACGATAAGTATGTACAGTCGTGGGTTCATGAGCTAGAGAGCTCGGGTCGTGGGTCAGTGGGATGAGATAAGATGGGGCGGGCACCCGACAAGGAGATTCCAGAACCGCCGACTGCACGACTACGTCAAAGCGTTGCATGTGGGGAATCCTCGGTTAATCGTGTCAGCGAAAACGATCATACTTCAAGACATCAACTCAAGGTGTCCAAGGTATGATATAAGTTGGCAAATTTTCTGGCAGGCTGCATTATTAGGCATGCAGGGAAACAGCAAGAGTTAGAGCAATAGGTTTCTTACCTGGCCAGTTGCTCGAGTCGAGTCAATTCGTCATAGCTCCCCGGATATCCAGATTACGAGCCAACATCACACAACAGACACAGACTGACATATTACACAGAACTGAAAAGCATCATTCATTGACACGACAGTCCTATATCCAGGCGACAAGCCAGCCCTCAGAGATGGTAGAGCGTTCATTCATAACCCAGGTCCGATCCATCCCCACTAGAAACAGTTGCCCTGTCTTGATGCCATAACGCCCCTTTATACGTGTCAAACCTAACAATCACCCATCCTCGTCTGTGCCAAAGGAAAAGGCTCTCCAATCACCACGGCCGACCTCCATTCTAAGGTACCGATTGTGTCTGACTCAACGTAGTATCTAGGTCACCGTAGTGCAAAGTAAACTCTCGCTGCGTCTGTGTCAGTTTCTGCCATTCGAAGTATCAGGGGGTACGCAACGTACACGCTCTTTACGCCAGTTAGTTGTATCCCAGACAATGTAGAAACCTCGCTCATGGTTGGGGCTCAGTATTTGAGGCGTCATGTGCTCGTCTTTAGTGAGCCAGAGCTGCAATTTCTTGTGCCACCTCCAGTTACGAGAGTGGCTAGTGGATGTTTAGTTAAGTTGATGATACTCACGGGGGTTACTTTGACTTACAGTTCTACTGCAGCCATCTGTTGCTTCACATCCGCTGTGCAACTGTAGAAGATCCAAAAAAGAGTCTCCTCATTAAAACTTGGAATCTTGCTTTCGATAGGTTGCACATTTGTCACGTTGTAACAATCCGGCAACCGGAACTTTCCGGTAGGGAGTGCTGGACGAGGGGGTGCATCGTCAAAAAGCGAATAGTTCTGCGTGGAAAATAGGCTTAAGCCAAATCAGTAGATTTTCGCTTCAACAACAGGCTGGAGCAAACATACTCTTGGGAGCTTATATCAAGGCCTAGTGATCCAGGATCCATGCCCACAACCATAGCGTGGTAGTCAGGATGGTTGTTCATCAGGGTCCGCAGTCCTTTCAGTCCCCATTTGTCTACCGCAGCCATACCCGCAAGAGGATCAATGACTTCGGAGGCGTGTGTATCTTGGTCATCCTTGATTCGTAAGGAAGCAGGTTCGGTGTTGAATTCTGCCATAGGAGATGCGATCTCTGTAGGTTCCTCCTCCCTGGTCGACTTCTGCCGGGGATCCAGTTCCAAACCTGGAGGTTTACCATCCTGCGGTCTTGAAGAACCTAAGAATGTGAGCATCATACGTCAATGATATCGTAGCAAAAGAAAAACGTACCAGGGGCACCGATGCCAGGTGGTGGTGACCTTGCCTCAATCGCTCGACTATTAGCCGAGAGGGCATTCAAGAGACCATTCCCCCTGTTGCTCGTTGCAGATCCAGGGCCAGCCTGGGAACCAAAGCCCAGAGAGGACATCAGACTCGTTGTCCGGTCCGGTCCTATTTCACCATTTGAAGTTCGATTGAGTGGCGGGAATTCGTCAACACTTGTGGGTTGAGCTGGTTGTCCAATGCTCCCTTGGTTGCCGAATCTGAAACTTCCTTGCGCTCTGGAAGAGGTAGGGCTGAACATGTCATCCTGGCCGCCTTGCTGGGTGGTGGGTTGATTGCGCTGAATGGGGCCGCCCAGGTTTCGCGATCCAGCTGTCGACCACATAGATGACTGGTTGGCGTTCGACATTTGGGCGTTGTTCGATAATGATGGGAATTCGCTAGGTGGTATCAGCAGGCGCATCCTATGACTAGTTCTATGCTTAAGAACAATTCGATGCCAAGAAGAAATGTCGTAGTTCCAATGATATCAACAGCAGCCAGATATACGTACGATAAGTCGAGGGACGTAGCTGGCTGAGAACCTGACAAGCTCTGCGCAAAGCTCACGTTCCCGCCAAGTTGGCGTCCAGGATTTTGAGGGCCTGCTCCTGCCATTGGAACACCCCCTCCGAAAGCCCAGCCGGAGCTGTTGTTTCCTATAATTGTATCCTGTTATTAGCCTAAGCCCGTCGTCGATGCTACCCAGCCAACACAATACAACTGAAGTCGCACTCGAGCCAAGCGCGCGTACCTAGCTTCCCGTTCGGTAATCGGTTCGTTCCTGAGCGTGCTGGTTGTTGGGGTTGTTGTTGACCTCCAAAGCCACCAGGCATACCGCGGAGTGTCTGTGGCACTGCCCCTGCGATTGGATGACATCGTCAGCTTTATCCTTCCCGTTATTGCTTGACTATGCAGCCCTGCTCAAAGCGACGCCTCTGACACCCCCCAGACTGATTCTGAACCGCGTTTAGATCCATTGAAGCGATCGTGGTGATATTCCAACAGGGTCGATGAGAGCAGCGGGGGTTGAAAGTCGTCAAGGGAGTTGTGAGGCTCGTAAGGGCATGCCGCTTGCGCACAGCTCTTGGTTCGGCGCGGTCATAGCCCGAAATACGGAGAAGGACGAATATCGGTAGATTTCGCATGCAGCGCGGGGTCTGGAAGCTGCGAGAGGATAATATCGTGGGGGTGCGTCCTACCTGGCCTATTCATGATTGTCGAGGTTTGTCGCGAGCAACAAAGAAGCTATGCTTGGTATGCAGTGCGGTGCGAATGGTGTAAAATCGATATGTCGTAGCAAAATATTCGGTCGGTGCGACGTCGATGCCTTTTTGTGCTGAGGTAGACAGAACGGTAAGGATGTTTGTCGATGCGATCGGGTCGTTTGCTTCAGGGCTGGCCTCTGCTGCGTTGGAGAAGGCTGGCCTGGCGGCACATTGGAATGAGGTGGATGGATGATGATCCGGGAATAAGTGGAGACACCTCGACATCATGGCAAACACCAACTTACCTATGTCTGTGTATAATTGGCCAAGGCTGAGCATCAAACTCAGTGTATCTGGAACAAAGAAGGAGTTCTATAGCACCCAGTACTTATCAAGGAACCGTATGAGATCATATGATGTCTGCAACTCTCTTTTTCCAACCAAACACTCCCCTAAGATCACACTCATGATCATTCTCCTCTAAGATCACACTCTCTTTTGACCATTATCCCATAAGAGAGTACTCTCACTACTTGTGTAGGATAAATTACTTCTTATGTTAGGCACTAATCCTAGTACCTAGCCAATAGCTTGTTTGAAACTGTCTTCAAAGCCAATGCCCGCTACGTTTCTTCCAATCAGAATAATCTTCCCCTCCTTGGGAGTCTCATCCCCTGGCGGCCCATCATTTATCTCAAAGACCTCCCTTACTCCCTGCAACATCTTCACATCTCCATTGGCAAACACGAGGCGCCCTTTTGAGCGGTGAATCTCAAAGTCCCCCTCCTGCTTCGCTCCGGGTAGTTTGTTGTCCCACAAGACGGATCGTAGCCAGCGATCGACTGTCTCCAGCTGCCCAGGTTGAAGACGGTCGACAGGTATGGTGACGGTTGATATGGTCTGATCGGTTAGCCACATATTTTACCAAAAATATTGAATTTCATCATCGCTTTCCTGCGGGAACTTACAGGGTCAAGATGGCTGTGACCCTTCACGTTTGCGTCGGATTCATTGAACTGGTCATATGCGTGCAAGTCAAGCAGGAATCCCTCCAGTTGAGGCACAACACTCCTCTCTGTAACATGGATTTTGGCAAGTCCATTAATGGACTGGATTCTTTCCTTGACATGGTTCAGTTCTGCCTCAGTGACCATATCAGCCTTGTTGATCACAATCACATCTGCGTGAGAGATTTGAACATGAGCTGTTGTCATGACAGGCCCATGGCCGTGATCATCATGCCCTTCGACAACGCCTTTCGGGTCGTCGAGGCTAAGCAGGATGTTTTTCGCATCTACCAACGTGACGATGCCATCAAGGTAAATGGTGCTTCCAAGTCCATCATCCACCCAGAAGAGAGGTGCCAAGTTTCCAGGATCAGCCAGGCCTGTAGTTTCAAGAAGGATGTAATCAAATGCACCTTTCTTTGACATCAAGGACTCAATCGCATTGACACCAGTATCCCTAAGCAATGTCAGTAAGGTAGCAAGTATTATGAAACCAATATGTACTTGACTGAGCAGCAGATGCAGCCATTGCCAACTTCTAGCCATTCTTCCACCTGCTCACCTCCCTTGTTCACAGTGAGAGACTTTTCGATGTCGAGTGCTACAGTACCATTTAGAAAGGTAATGACATTTCCATTCTCAAGCACTTACAGTCTCCAAATTCTATTTAGCTAGTTAGTAGTTATTTACTAACAAGTGCGATCCTTTCAAACCATTCATGATAACAGCAATCTTTTTGCCATGCTGCGCTGTGAGGATGTAATTGAGCAATGTGGTTTTACCAGCACCAAGGTAACCTGTCACCTGTTAGGGTGGTACACACAAATGGCGTGGCACTACTACCTGTCACGATGGTGATGGGAACTTTGACTGTGATCTCATCGTCCAAGTCCTTTGTGGCTGTATTGACCAGCTCTGGCGGGGCATCGTCATCAAGATCCATGGTTGCGACGGATATCGTTTCTGATCGTCGAGTTAAGATCTTTCAGAGTTAAGGGTGACGTTGAATTTTTATATTTTCCTATTTAAATTGTTAAATTCTGAGCTTAATCCAGTGGAAAAGAGGTCTCTCACAGACTCAATAAGTGCTTACAAGATGTCTTGCAGAAATCTTGTATTCGGGGCTTGTTGCGTGTAAGTTGCACGGTCCCCTTTAGGTGCATTCGCTGTTCTGTCTTCATTATGCATATAGCGAATTCCACTCAGAACCATCCAGGCCAGCTTAGCCCTGCCCAGCCACTCTCAACCCCAGCGCAGCCTTGTGTTGTATTAACCGCCCGACTTCCTTTATATCTTCGCGCTCAGCATCGCAAGCATTTAGACGTACCCATCTCATAACCTATTCGTCATGTCACTAGCACCGAGCTCGCCCAGGCTACCAAGCCCCCCTCCAGCGGCCGAGATTCAGATGGCGCCCATGTCTCCGTCCGGCGGGCCAGCAGCCAGTCTCCAGACGACACCTCAAGAGCAGACACAGCTTGAAGCAAGCTCAAAACGGCGGATACATCCAGGCACAAAAGCGGCAGATATGGCTGCTGGTCCCCCTTTAATACCATTACATGAGGTACTTGCGCCAGCATCTTGACAAATATGTAGCTCCCAAGCTAACATGAGCCAGCTTGACTCTGCATTTCAACTCCAAGAACATCTAGCCGCCCTCCACTGCTACCATACCGCCTCAAACACCAGACCAATTTCTCGCAACACCGCACTACAGCTTGCGACGCCTCCTAACGGCATCGATCGAACCATCTGGCTCTATGAGCTCTGCCGCTTCCTCATCTCCAAGTGCAACTCCTTAATCGTCGGCTTCCTTTTCGACACCCCACCATGCAGTGCGAACACATGTCCTGAGATGCGCGCCTCGGAGTGGCAATTCTTATGCGCTGTACATGAGCAACCTAAGAGTTGCTGTGCTATCGACTACTGCTGCCACACCCTGGACTGGGCCGCGAATGTCGTAACTGATCAGAAGATCTTCCCTAGCCGTTTTGTTGTTCACAATGACAACCACAGTAGGAATGTTGGGGTGAAGAATCTCATCAACGTTTTCCGCAGACTGCATCGCATATTTGCCCATGCTTGGTTCCAGCACCGTGGTGTTTTCTGGTCTGTCGAAGCTGAAACAGGACTATACGTTTTATTCAAAACAGTATGCGATTTGTACGATCTGCTGCCTGCTGAGAACTACAAACTGCCCCCTGAGGCGGAAGGACTTGAGGCACCCCATATAGAACAGGAGGCCGAGAAGCCCCCACCCACTATTCTTAAACCCTCGTCTCATCAACGAGGCCCTCCTGTTGAGGAAGACAACATGCATCCTGCCAGGACAAACACCCGACGACATATTCGAAGCAGCCCGTCGACTGGAAGCGCTGTTACAACAGTGGTTGAGGCTGAAGAAGAGGAAGCCGATGGAGTTTCGCGAAGGCTTAGGGAGATGCATCTCACTGCTCCCTCGCCTGTAGAAGAGGAGCCAGAGGTGGCAGAGGTTCCCGTCATTGTTGAGCAGTCGGTTTTGGGTGACGCCAAGCCTCCGTCCCAGAATTCCCCAGCCGAGGCAGATGATGAAGATGATTCTGAAGAAGACTCCGACGATGTCGATGAAGCTGATGAAGGTGACCAAACCATTGTCGGATCAGCATCAGAACCAGATCCCACGAGTGATGAGGACATACAAAGTAACGAACCTGAGCCAACACCAGACTCATTAGAACCTCGGGAATCCCTGAAGAAGAGTGCCACAGAGGATGGTGCAAATGAGGAGAACTCGTCGGCGTCGCCAGACTCTACCGCGGAAGTGACCCCTGATACTCATGTTTCGGACACTGATGAGCCCAAATCGGGTATTAAGAGCAACGTCTCCGAAGATGAAAAGGCTGTCGAAACTACACTTGAAGACGAACCCCAAAAGAAGGAAAAGCAATAGACGAGTAGAGGGTATGATTGGTTTAACTTCATGTCTCATCTTTCATGTTATGGCAATAAAGCATCTGCAGCCAACTGCTTACTGTACAAAAATACATTTGAGCATCCAACCCAGGTCGATGCCACTATATATACCCAGTTCCATGGCAGAACTTACACAATCGTGTCTGCCATGGGAGCCTCTCTATCTGAACTCTAACTTGTGTCGGCTGCCCAGCTGTAGGCTCATCCTTTCATCTAGTTTCCAACCTATGTATAATGCTCCCCTAGTCTAACCCTAGGTATGAATCAATCTCACGAGATTTAGTAAGACGCATCATATCTATCACAAATCTTGCAAATACCACCGCGAATCCATATGGCTCCAAACTTTGCCTCCATATATAATAAGTCGAAGCTGTTAAGCGCTGGTAGAACGTGTGAGAAAACAGGTCTGCCCAGAATCCAACCATTGTCTCATAAGACTCATGTATGTCAATTCCAGGGGTGGCTCCTGTAGAAATTTCGTGCTTTCTTGGTGTTTGAGTGCGGAGCTTATTCTGAAGCAGAATTCGGACCAGTGCTCGATGGTGCATTGGCATCGTCCATCAACGACATTTTTGCAAAGATGTGTCGAACCTCACGAATACTCTCTTGTTGAGCCGTGACAGCTGCAGCATTCCGCTCATCCGCAAAATTTCGAATTTCCTGCAACACCGGGCTAAACCCTTCCTCGTTGGGAAGCCACCAACGTACGCAGGACGGTTCTCGAAACATTTCGGCCATTTTAGTTCGAAGTGGTAGAGGATGTATATACCTATGTCAATGTCAGCGTTCATCCTACTTCCGGTTCTTCTAGGGGGAACCAGAGTCTGGTATGCTCTTACCCCATCGTCTCTAATAAGGCAAACTTTCGACGAAACCACATATGATGACGTGCATCTTGGGGACAAAATAGAGCTGCAATAGCGATACAGGCCTGTATCAGAACCAGGACGCCTCTGGGGGTTGAGGGCCAGAACTCTAAAGTTTCGAAGTATTGGCAGGTTCTGTAGGCATGCCGATTCAAATCCGCAAAAAGTACATCCGGCCTCATCCCTGATGACTGACACTTATGCATTATCATTATGCTGTTCCATTCTGCGCACAGAACTGTCACGTCAAATAGCGGGGAGTCGTAAAGAATTCCGACCGTATAGGGATTCACGAAATCCTCCGGATCGAGAGTCTCCACTGGAGGAAAGTCCTTGACAAGATATTGAGAATCCTGAAGGGCGGGGTCGCGTTTTTCCTTCCACTCTATGAGTCGCTCATTTATCAGATCGTGTTCTTTAGCAAAGGCCTCTGGAGATATCTGGTCTCTACTGCCGCGAGAGAACAGGATTGACATGTCGTAGGTGATGAGGCGAAGTTGAGCAGACCACCCGTCGATTTTCCAATGCAGTTCTTCAGGGTTAGCGGTAATTCCTGCCTTGTAGAAATCCACCATGGCTTGGAACCATTCCCGAGGTAGATCGGTAGGAAAGCCCCCCATGAGGGCAACAAAATTATCGAATCGAGCGTACCAGCTAAGGCACATGCGACCCATTGGAGTCTGCATAACTGTTTGGGGAGTAAAAATGCTTGTTATTATTTCGAAAGCCGCTTTTTGATGCCCCATGAGATTAACCCAGTCGCCAAAATACTCCTAAACAGAACTTCAATACTTGATCAAACTGCAGGGACAGATCATGGCACATACCTCAATAGTGGCAAGTTGCAAAATTGTCAGAAGAGTTGCAACATTAGGTTTCTCCTTTCGTTTGAACAAGCCTAATAACTGAGTCACACTTTTGTTGTAATATTGCAAGAAATCTTGGAGTTTCCCCTGCGGGTTCCGGAGGGTGATATGATACGCGGAGAAACCGACAACTGCGTTAAGCAATGGTTCGTGACAAGTTGCTAGATTAGGTAAGATTTTCGTGAAGAAGCCGTCTGAGTCAAGCGGTATGCAATAATTGAAGTGGTTGAGGTTCTCCACGAAGAAAGAAAGTCCTTCTTGATACTCTGGCGGCAGATGTGACCAGTCAGCATCTCCAATTTGGAGGGGAAATTCGTGAGAAGGATACACCGCTGCTAGGCTACTTGGAGTTGCTGTTGCTGTGGAAGGGGAGACACTATCTGAGTGTCTGGAAAGCAACGGGGACTTGGTCTGATCTTCTATCTCTTCGTCTTCGTCCACAATCGTCTCGAGCTTGCTTTCACGCTCAGTGTCCTCATCATCTTCCGATTTTGATGAAGAAGGGCTGGGTTGCTGACCAGCTGAAGCTGAGTCTTTAGATTTACCACTCGATGAGCCTTTTGAAGATGGAGGGTCGGGATATACACATTCCCGGTTTCCCTTCTTGCAGCCTTAAGTCGTGTCAGCAATACTGCCATCACGTACTTAGAAAGTAGTCCTGGACTGCACCCACGTTCGCATATTGGCCGGTTCTCGTCACACTGTGCGAGTTAGACATGCCTCCAAATCGGTTACTGGGCTCATACCTTGACTCTTCGACTCCGACACATGAAGCAGCCAGAGCGTGTCCTCCGATGTTTGACATGGTCAACGGCCGCAGGAGTGCCGCCTGCCGATTTTCGTCGGGCTTTGTGTGACTTAGCTGAGTTAAACATCATCGGATCCGGGAATCCGGTGAAGTATCCAAGTTGCTGGTACGGACCAGGCATTGGCGCGGACACCATAGGCATCGGCACACCATGCATTCGCGGGTCGAGCATCTCTTCTGGGGATGTTGTTGGATTCATCCCGGCCCCAGACATGGACGACAAAAAGTGGTGGTAGTAGTCTCCCATGGTGAAAGATTGGGTAAGGAGGTTTGAATCGCTCGAAATGCTTTAAATTTTGCCGAAATTGGGAAGAAGCCAAGTCAACCGTGTGCGATTTGCATGCTCCCCCAAACCTACATCTACTAGTAAAGTGTCCTATCGGGGGTTAAGAATAATGGGACTCCAAGTACAGCGACTTGTTCCAGAGTTACGTGAGCCCACGCGGCGTAGAATGTGTATTGATAGTCGGTTACCAACACACCAGTTCGGCAATACTGGAATGGAGGTTGAGGGTGTTTCGAATAAGTTGTGTTTCTCTTCAAACAACGAAAGATCAATATCCTGAAATGGCTTAGCCAATGGAATGACCTCCGATTCGGTCAGAAGAGTATCTGGGTGTGCAAGATAATCTTGGTAAGGGTCTAGAAACTCTGGAGGAACCCGTGTCTTAAGAAGGCCATAAACAGAAACTGGGAACTTGACTTTGTGAACTCTGTTCAGTCTGGCTGTATTCCTCACGTAACGCGGTGTTTTGCGAAGTCGTTCTATGGTCAGTGGTGAGGGAGATCCGAAATAGTTGTATTGTAAGAGGGGCCTTCACAACAGCAAGAACGTGCATGTATCGCAACTAAGGATCGAAAAGACGCTGTCACCCATGACAGGGAGGAGAGATTGATCGATGCAGAATTGGTCAGGGACCTTTGCAGCAAGGTAGGTTAGACTGGTGACTGGTTCCAAGATCCAGGTAGGGGGGGGGGGGGGTCTATAAGCAAAACCACACGGCGGGGACAGGTCGACTTAGAGTGGATTGGTCAAGTTGACTGAGCCCCTGGACATAAAGATGGAAGCCAAAACTGTTCCTGTGCCCTGAGGAACTGAAAGGAAAGGAGCCTGTCGTATTCAAGCCTGACGGGGCACCACCAAATCGCTGATCAACGAAAACGCCCGGACTCGTGGGTCCCAGGAACCGGCCAAGAGCTTAAGCCTGTGTCCTAGGCTATCTGACGAGAGGGGACGATCCTGACAAGCAGGTCATTGATTAATCGCGGGTAGATGGTCCGGGCTCGAATGATACTCTGGCAGTGGGAATAAGATATAAGCAGCCGGTTGACAGCAAAGGTAGCGGTGTCAAAAGCTACCAGTGCAGAACATGGACCTTTTCTTCTAATTCCAACAAAAAAAATGAATATGTGGAGGAGTGTAAGACGGACAAATTGCAGAGTGGACGGACAACTGCGCCCCGATAAATACTAGGTTTCCACAGCTTGGAAAGATTCCGGTAAAGCTCCGACAGCCAGGAACACAGGCAGCTGGAGTATCCGTAGCCTTAACACATATGGTTGTTGGAAAAGATATTCGTACCAGCTCGAGGAAGATTGTTCAAGGACTGGGGCTTGCTAGTGAGCTACGCTCACGGCCAGTACGCGTTGAGTAAGGACTGGCAACCACGATAGGGGGAACAAAGCTGACGATGACACATGGGATGTAAGTTGTCGACGCTGTTTTCTCAGTACAATTAACAGGGATGATGATCGTTATGCCAGGGGTCAACAGCAACCCAAAGCTTGGGCGCCGAGATGATGATGTTATTGCCAAATACACAGCGCGGGGGGCTGAGAGCTTTAGCCTTTAGGTACCTCTAGGTCGGAGTGGAGGGAATGGAGTTGGAATGGGACGGGAAGGAAGGAACACCCCCCAAATTCTAAGTGACAGACATGCCTGCCCCCAGAAGCAGAGCAGAACCTGCCTACTAACCTGACCTACCTACTCCGTAAGGTGCCATGCTTTCCAGTTCCATCCATGTGAAGTGAACTCTGCTCTCTCTCTCCTCTTTTACTCGGCCTGATTAACATTTCTCTTTCATGACAGCATTTTTCTACGCCTCCCGGAATCCTGGATCCCATTTTAATTGACCAGGATATGAATACCCCCGAGCCGCTCCGCTTTGTTTGGCATGCAATGAGTGCGCCCGATCTCCTGGGTCTTGTTTCTCTCCGTACGAAATGCCGTTAATTAAGGCTTTGCCTGACTGGGACCATGCCGAAGCTGCAGACGGACGTTTGCAAATAATGGATGGGTCGTCCTTAATTCTTGCAGTCGGAGCCGCTTCCCTGGTTTTGAGCTACCGATAGCCAGGTAAGAAGCATTCACCACCCTGATCGGGTCTTGCCTCAATGCAGCTAAATAACACGAAATAGGGTCGTCCTAAGTCCCGGCAACCTTTAGGATCTCAGTCAAATTCCACCCAGGGCTAAATACATGCATTTACGCGCTACGGAGTACATCAAACATTGTCGATCCTTGCGGTGGGGGTTTGCCTTGCTACGAACTAACTAACTTAGTCAACCACCTCAAGCCACGTCGATGGATAACCTTGTTCAACCAACACAATAAGGCTTACAGGATATGAATGAGAATCAGGACAAACCCCTGAAGCCTTCAGGCTTGTGAGAACAACAATGGCCCCGATGATGTTGTAGAGCTCATTCCGTCCATGGTACTTTCAGGCATGGTTTACTCCGTACAGCTATGTCCGCTTTCACGGCGTTATTGTGCCTGTCGAGAAGGATGCATCTTCAGGGATCGTCCTGATTAACAAGGGCCATCATCAACGGCGGTGATGCAACCTCCTTCCTAAGACTGACAGGTTGTGAGTTTAGACGTTGGGTTTTGCCTGGCCCTATGCACTATTTGGGCATTGTTTCAATGCCTCAGTTCCCCATCAACTACATTTTACTTTCCACGGGGCAATAATTATTTTGCCATGTTCATCAAGGTCTATACATGAGATGGCGCTGCAGGTCTTTCCTTATTCTCTCACATAACTGTACCGGCCATGGGCAGGCTTGGTTCGGACTTGGTCATGGTCCCTGGCTCATAAAAGACTAAGATGCCATCTGATAGGGCATCACCAGCAAGGTTGAGGAGGAAGGAGAACAGCCATTTCCCAATTGAAACAACCCTTCAACGTTCAAGAGGCGCCTGCGGAGCAATATGAATATACAACCATGGTCTGGCAACAAATGAAACTGCTTAAAGATGCCTTGACGCTTGGATCAAGTCCCGCTCTTAGGAGTGTGCGTGGGTAGTCGCGTGGCTGGGTCCAGCGATGAACGCCTTTGTGGGGCATCCCTATCAGGAGTCGACTTTGGCTCAACTATTTCCTCTTTTCGTCGACATCATGGCTACGTTACTAGGCCAGGGTGCTTTTCAAAAAGTCAACCGTCAAGACACAATTTTCGAAACAAGCCAGTGGCAAGAAGTTGGCAAATGTCTCATAACTTTCTTGTTTTCAGCTCTGGTACGCATAGCATCCCGGTTGAATAGCAATTGATTTACTGTAAGCTAATAAGGGAAGATACGCATATACCTCTACCGTTCAAAACCCCTTTCGCTTTTCGACCTGAACTCTGGATGAGAGAGCCGATTCAGTAGCACTGGTCATTCTGTAACGGACTATATTTCAAACTTGTTCGTCATGGAACGTCCCACTGCTATGCCATTATAGTCTTAAGACCAGTGCAATGGCTGCCGTTGACAACAGTTGACTATACCACCTTAGATCAACACCGCATATTCCGGAGACCCTCACAATCTCAGCACATACCCTTCAACCATGCATGTGCATTTGATGGTCAGGGATGAACACAAAGACGGTACAAGCCAGTGAGGGTCTTGCACAATAATATTCATCTTGCACATACAGGATACCCTGTAGCAATTCCATACAATGATATCGGCCTTGCTGGTCTAAATGCTCAAACTGTGACAGGCCCTAGTACCCAATATCTGTCGGACACCCTCGCTCTTGCGCACTCTAGGCGGAGAAATAAAACATAGGATTGCACTTGGTGGGAAATCCGCCAGTCTTCGTGTAAGCCAGTCCGGTGTTTCCCTTCCCTTCGAGGGGGTCACATTACGGTACAGTTAGCCCTATGCAGTTGAGGCCCACGGGTATCGAGCACGGACATCCCTGTTCCTAGGTAGTTTTAACAGAGTGTGGATGAGCCTTGCACATCCCAGACCGAAACCTATGTACCGTCAACCTTAGTAGTTAATGAGCTCCAAAGTACACCAGATTTACAAGTTGATTATCTAAATCGGGAAGGAAAGCCAACAACTCTGTCTTAACGAATCGATATCGAACGCTTATGTTAAGACGCAATCGCCAGTTAGTCTCTACTCAGGAGCACTCGAGAAGTTGCAAACATGTGACTAGGGGACCGCAGTAGCCAGGCCTTTTCCACTCAACCACGATAAGTTACGCCGCAAAAAATACTGGCCCTAGCAACAACAACCAACAAACGGTCCACAGGCCATTGGTCATTTCCCACCAAACTCTCAAAAAGTCAAGTTCAGGTCACCACAATTTTGCGTTGCTCCATCTATTCGGGCTGAGTACACAAGTATCAGTCCGGGATTATGACCAAGTCGATTTCACAGCGAAGACTAGGCTTTGGGGAGTTGAGCGTTGGTCAAAGATATTGGCGCCTTTGAATATGCTTGCACCCAAGTAACCGCGCGTTTCGGAGATCTTCATTCTTGTTAGCTCTTCATCTTTCCTCAATGATGTATCAACAAAAAGGGAATCAAGCACGGGCCTAATGCGATTACGGCAGGGCACACTATAGTCAACAAGTATGTTGCTCTCCTGCGGCCAAGGCTCAAGGGAATCTACTAACACTCCTTGGCTGTCTCCATATTTGGAAACCAGTTAGGGACTTTTTGAAAAGAAGATTCCATAAGGATCCTGTCGCCTGTTAAGGATTCGGAAGCCCTCCATTTGCTGTTGAGGGTTTCGATGTCCAGATAAGAGTCAGGATGTTTTCCGAAAAGAGCACCCATGGGGCTCTTTTGTCGTTGTTGTATTGATACGACTCAGCCCCACAGCGCCCATCAAAAGTCTTCGGCTGTACGGAGTACGGAGTAGGGCTTTTATTGTTTTAAGTCCGTTTCATATCTTGAGATTTGATCACTACAGCATTTGACGTCGTACTTGTCATTCCATTGTCAGATGGAGTATCCGTACAGTTGAGGATTTTGCGGGGAGTACGGAGAAGTGGCTGTTGAACACTATCCGAGCTATCTATTGAACCTCGCTTTTATCATCCGCTCAGGGTCTCCGGGTCTCCGGGTCTCCCTTGCAGCGCGAGGAGGAAATCACCGTATCAAATAACAAGGCATGCTTTTCAGCCTGAAAACCAGCCAGTGGGGCGCGGACCCGAGCTCCGGTCTTGTGTCTCTTTGAATATTATCCACCGACATTGAGCTTAGCTAGCATTGCAGCGGACATGGGACGAGAGTGGTTGCTACCACGTATAGTATAGCATAGCATAGCATAACAGTCCTACCCTGGTATCACATCACAGAGGCTGGCAGGCTGGCTATGGATCTCAATGCGTTTTTCAGCTTCTTCTATTACCTCTAAAGCCAAGCTGTGGAGCAACGAGCCTACAACTGGTTAAGATCTGCGGAGTCACTTCTATCTCATGGCGAGCATTAACATCTGATTGTCTCAGTTGTTGCGAACGCCTATGTGTAGGGCTCTGGCCAATGTCCCCCTTGAGAAGTATGGCAGCAAAACATGACGCGCCAACACTCGATCTGGCAGGATGGCGCCCAAAGGGTAACTACCTGCGGTACATGAACCCTTGTCCCAGCCCACGATTGACTTTGCAAGTTACATGATGTGTACTAACGTTGACCCCTGCTGCCCAGTCTGACAGCTTCGCTGCTTCTTCTTCTTCTGTGCCTTATTCTTATTAGCTACTTAGCTGAGCTACGAGTCAGTTTTGTCGGCACGACAGGGGAGCCAGAAATGGAGGCTCTGGATGAATGCAGAAGTATGTCCGAACAACCTCACGACGATCAGTGCAGCGAGGATTTTCTGGTGGTCGCAGCCGCTGTGAAGAACACCAGGATCAGACGGGATGGCCCACCTATTTTTCAATTACTAATACTCCGTACTGCCGCGGGAACGGTGTTGGTATGTTGTTGACTTTGGGACTTACTTGTAATGATAGCAGTTCTTGTTGCAGTGTTGACAACAAAGCAGGCAATGAATGCATGGATTAACCCAACCTGCTCTGCAGTATCTGTATGATATGAGGCTGCAGCCGCCTGCACTCTGCACTCTGCACTCTGCACTCTGCACTCTGCACTCTGCACTCTGCACTCTGCAGGCAGAAACGACACCTCTACAACTAAAACCAAAACCTAGCCTTGTCGATCAAATGTGAGTTTTGCCGCTGAGTTTTGGGCTCCAAGGGGCTCACAGTCCTATCAAAGCCCAGCAAAGCTGAAGTGAGACGGCGCCATCGCCCACAATTATCCATGTTAGATTAATGGCACCGTGGCACCAAGGTTTACTTGATGAAAGTGCTAAAGAGGGGCCCATAGCGGTGACAGGTCCGGGAAACGGGGTGAACCGTTCCGTTGGTGACTGTCCTCGGCATTTCTTCCCCCCGACTTTTTTCTAGTGCTTCCGCAGTACGGAGTAAGAAGCAATGGTAACAGCTGCAGCATCCATCGTCAAGTTGGTTGAGACTTGAGACACGCAATCTGCAGTCTTTGGGGCTTCAGGCGCACTTCGCAGTTACCATACACTGCCTCACCCTGTCTTGCAGGTTGGTCGGTCTACCGCCCCCCTGAGAAGTCCAGCACATAACATCAATCGTGCTATGTCAAAGACTGGTAACGAATTCTCTTCGGATAGTCGGGACGACAACCTCGATGTGATGGTTATTAGCGCCATGTACGGATACACTACCTACCTGCGGAGTACGTACGTTGAACCAAACGGCCATGCATTCCGCATCCCAGCCCAGAGGAGCAGTTCTCGTGGCATGGCCCTGAAAGAGTTTGACCGGGGCCTTGGCTTCAGCCCCTGGCCATAATCTAAAACAAAGTGATACAATAGGTGCGCTATGAGGAGGGGTTCCAAAGGGGAGACATTTTACAAGATCTGGGCCTATCACAGCAGTTATGATTGCAAAGTGCAGAGTTGAAACTCATTTACAGTAGTCGAATTCTGCTGTACATCAAAGACGAACGCCGCAACAAAGATCTGCAAAGAATACGGACCGAACAACAACAAAACGACAATAACACCTGCCAGCAACACCACCACCACCGGGCTAGCCCGTTGACCCTCGACCCTGACCCTGACACCGACCCTATCGCGCGAGACACGCTGTGCACTGCATATGCAGCCTTCGAGGTCAATTTTAAGTCTCAACCCTCAACGCTTAACGCTTTAGCCCTCAACGCCACGGGTACCTACCGTACCGTACAACATACGACGGATCCGGTTCCGCACCTGCAGCACTATCTCCATCTCATCTTAGCACCCCAAGTCGCGATTCAGCTCTTGCTCTTGCCTAACGACTGGGCACCATCAACATGACAATAATGCCGTCACTTTCAGGCCTCCGTCTTGGGATTGGCATGGACGCTACTAAGCAATTTGTGTCCAACCTAGACGCCGTGTCAATCATACTTCTCACTGTCACACTCGCCGCTTTCCTCGTCCCCATCTTCATCCTCTTCCCACCCGTCACCGTGGATTGCAGCGATGTCCTCCGGCAGACCCACTCACGGGCCGGTGACGACCTCCGTCGTGAATCGTCGGGCCACCGGGTTTCGGAGGTGAAAAGTCGGCACATCTCCCCCGTTGAGTCGTGCCGAGGAATTGAGCTCCAGAGCAACGTGACTTCTTCATCTGATAGTATGGAATACCATCGGCTGTATACGTTCGCTCAACTAGACCCTCAAGTTGGTGAGGGAGATAGCCCTGTGTGGGAAGCCATCTCAAGCGAACACTTCCCATTGCTGGCCAATATTGAAGTCGACCTCTGGACACCCGATCCCAACAAGTCAAGCCGTCTACTAGGCAAGGTAGATGGCTCCTTTCTTGTCTTGCGGTTCCCCTGGACAGATGCGGGACTTGTGCAACAGGTCTCGGCCAAGATCAGCCATGGATTTGGCGCATCACCGGAGAAAGAATTCATGCTGCCGGTGTCATTTCCAGACGAGACTGAAATTCGAGTACAGGGTTACTCTTTCGCCGAGGTTAAGATTGGGGGTAATATCACCACAGCATTGAATATGGATGTAGAACTCCCTGCCGAGCTGGCTCGGTATTTGGGGGTAGAACATCATCTTGGGATCTTTAGGGTAGATGAACCGTGAATGTGAAGACATCGGTATCTTCGCCGACTCCAGCAGAGAGGATGCGCTCGCCAAGAGAATGGAATAAAAAATCATGTTAGTTTCTTAAACTTCGTTATGGACATGTAGTGTGTTTTATGTTTCCCAGCCGACAAAATGCTGATAAACCCAGTCCTTGGCCTGTAGGTATGTGACACTAATTTTGATGAGACTTCACAGCACTTTCAAAACACCGATTCCCATCAATCGTCTTGTGAGATCATAACAATAATGGATAAATTCTGAAGCCATGCCTTCCTAAAACAAACGGTATCGCAAGGTATCCTGATGCCACCATGAACGTTACAGCCCCCTTAGCCAACCCGACGCCTCATGTACAAATCCTCATACAGATCCTTCCATTCATGCACTCATTCCAGACATTTCCCATCAACATCATTACTTCATATCCGCCGGCGTCAGGGCCTGCACCATACTGGTACCTTCGCTGAAACGAGTGCGGAAGATGCGATTCGCGTTTTGGAACATGCCGTCCTTTAGACTGACGACGATGAACTGCGAGCCCTTGAAACGCGTCTTGATGAGACGACCAATATTCTGGGTATGTGAGAGATCCAGCGCCGCATCGACCTCGTCAAGAATGTACATGGGGGCAGGCTTGAACTGCAGTAGAGCCATGATGAGAGACAGGGCAACCAGAGACCTATAAGTCCAATTGTCAGTATTTGTTTGTCGGCGACACGAAGACTCAGGGTTACGTACCTTTGTCCACCACTCAGTTCTGTCAAACTCTGCTTCCACACCTTGCCTAGACAAACCTTGACCTCAAGACCATCGCTAATAGTCTTGCCTTCAGGTGGATCAAGCTTTGCAAAGCTGCCTCCTGGAAGTAACTCGGCAAAGATGTTACCAAAGTCAAGATTGACCTTCTCCCACGTCTTTCGAAGAGCCTTCTTCTTGTAGTCGTCCAAGCTGACGATTGTCTCTTCGATCTTGCGCTTATCTCTAATAACGGTCTTGATCATTTGCTTGAGTGTCACTTCCTTCTTCTCGACACTGTCGATCATGTTCATCACCTTGGGGTTGATCTTCTTCTTCATTCCCTGGAATCGCTCGGTCAAATTGTGCAATGTCGACTTGCACTCTCCGATGTTGTGGTTCTTGAAATCGTAGGGAGTCCCGCTACGACCAAAATTGTCCTTTTCGTCCGAGATCCAGTCAAATTCCTTCTCAAGTCGAGCAACCTTTTCAGCAGCACCTTGTTGTTCCTTGTGGAATTTCTCAACAAGGTGGCCAAGCTTTTGCATCTCAAGGCTTTCCTCGGCAATGCGTGAGTTCTTGGAGCGAGTGGCATCCTCCAAGGCTCGAAGCTCATCGTCGAAAAGATGCAACTTGGCGCGTTCATCGTCGAGCTCAGCCTGCACAGTGTCGTGCGTCTCAGTCAGCTCAGCCTTTTGCTTTTCAAGGTCCTCAATATCCTTTTGTTGTGCCTTGATGGCAACCTCGACTTCCTGCAACTGTTCTCGAGCGGCAGATAAATCGAAACCTGCCTGCTCGGCATCAAGTTGTGCGCCCTGAAGCTCTTTTTGTAGTGTCTTGACTGCAGCGGTGTTTTTGCCAAGCCCGGCTCTTAGCTTGTCGAGTGCCTTCTGCAATTCGACGAGCTTGGCGTCCTTGTTGTTGTCAAAGTCATTCATATCCTTCTCAATGGTCTTGACATCAGCGCTTGCTTTAGCTTGCCGCGTTTTGGCTTCAGATATGCTCTCCTTGAGCTCCTTGATGGCTGTCTTCATGTTCGCAACCTCTTGAATAATGGACGACGACGAGTTGCCACCGATCTGTTCCTCGGCAAGCTTGATCTCGTGGCTCTTCAGATCTAGATCTTGCTTGAGTCTACGAGCCTGGTCTAGCTTGGTCTTCTCCTTCGATATACGGGCTTGAAGTTCCTGTAGGGCTCTTTCGGCTTCACTCAGCTGTCGCGTAAGGCCGTTGAGCTTCTGGAGAAGTACGAGAACACCACTGGAATTTGGTGAGCTTCCACCAGATAGTGTACCAGATGGATCATATGCGTCGCCTTCGAGAGTAATGCTCCTCATACGAACGTTGGGGTCAAATGTGACCCTCTTAGCAGTATCCGCATCTGCACAGATCAGAGTGTTGCCAAAGACGTACTCCATAGCTGCAGACACCTCATTATCGTAGCCAACTAGAGAGAGAGCTAGATCGACCTTGCCTGGTGCGATGTTCTGGGCCGTAGCAATGGTCTGAGCCGAGGCCTTGAAGGCAGCAATTTTGTTAAGTGGGATAATGGTGACTCGCTTCCGTAATTTGCCTCTTTGAAGTAGATGTGTACCTGTCACTTCTGTGTCGACAACGACGTTGTATAGACGACCTCCAGCACAGATCTCCAGCGCAGTACCGGCTTGCGTATGCTCCTTATCCAGCGTGAACAACTGCGCGACAAGTCCCTTGACCTTGGATCGGTCAAAATTGGGCACAGGGTCCGCATAGTTAAACTCAGTATTGGCGACTTGGCGCTTCAGCTTGTCGGATTCTTGCCTCAAGTTTCGAACCGTTTGTTGCAGCTCCGACTCCTTTTTGTACATCTGCTCTTCTTGACCAGGCTCAAACCCCAGGTGGCCAAGCTCTTTCTCGAGCTTTTGCGCTTGTATTTTGAGACCATCAAGATCGCGCAAAAGATCAGCATTCTGATCCTTTGCCTTTTTAGCACGCGGTTCCTCTTCCTTGACACGCTTTTCTAAATGTGCAATCTTGATCTTGGCTTGTTCTTGCTCCGTGGCAGCTGCGGTTGCACGGTTCTTTGCATCCTGAAGCTGCCCCTGGTAACCATTCTCCTGGCCATCTTTGGAGGCTACACCTGTTTGCAGGGTCTGAAGAAGCTCCTCCTTAGACTCGGCGTCCTTGTTCTGCTGCTCTAGTTCTTCTTTTGCGGCATCGTATCTGGCTTTTGCGTTTTCGAACCCAGCAGTTTTCTCTTGAAGGGTGGTCTCCAACTCTGACACAGTCTTCTCAACAGTCACCCTCTTCTCCTCTTCTTCTGCCAGGCTAGACTTCTTCAAGTCAAGAATAGTAGCCAGTCGCACGAGTTCATTCGAGTGCTTCTTCGCAGCATCTTCGAGTGCTGAAGCTTTGCCTCCTTTCCGGAGCTCCTTATCGCGCTGAGCCTTCACTTTCTTGACGTCTTCTTCGAGATGAGAAATTTCGCTCCGTAAACGAGCTGCCGAATCCTCCAGATCCCGTTGCCTTTGCTTCTTTCCTTCGAGATCTGCAGCAGATTGACTCAGAGAATCTTGATACCTGAGATAATCGTATGCGACAACCACTCTGGTGAGTCTCTCAAGATCGTTTTGAGTTTGTTGAAAGTCCAGAAAAGCACGCTTTTCAGTTCGCAGTTTCTCCAACTTGGGTTCAATCTCGTCTTTAAGTAGTTCTCGAAGCTCAACTAGCTTTGTCTCTTTCTTGGCCATCGTCTTCAACGCCTTATCTCGACGGTCTTCGAACATTCTTGTTCCTGCAGCTTCCTCTATCATTGCTAGAATTTCCACAGCCTTCATGTTCAGGACTTTGGTGATGCGACCTTGCATGATGAGGAAGTTGGGGCTGTTGATATTGAGCTGAACCGACTGGAACAGGTTCTGTACGGTTTGTTGTTGAGCACGGTGGCCGTTGATGAGGTACTTGGAAGTTCCTCCAAGAACGATTTGTCGGGTGACGCTAATGGTGGCATATTCTTCGAATCCGATCGGCGACTTCTTGGTTTCTCGGTTGTCGAAAACGATCGTGACGCTGGCTTTCGTAACACCGGCTTGTCCGCGCTTGTAAATCAGATCCTACATGGCTGTTAGGTACCAAGGACGATAAGCAAATCGGCGGTGACTGACCTGTAGGTTCTGCGCTCGAACAGTCGACATGTTTGTAATTCCGAGAACAAAGCATATCGCATCGAGAATATTTGACTTTCCACTACCGTTGAGACCGGTGATGGAGTTGAAACTCTCGTCCCTGCAAATGTTGGTTATGGCCACTGGCTACTATTTTGGTACATCACTTACCATCCTGAGATTACTGTACGCACAGCGTACGACTTGAAGCCCTATAAAAATGTCAGATAAACAAGCCAACCATGGGTTGATACACCACAGTTCCTTACGTCAATAATTACTTCAATGACCCTCATTTTGGGCGAGATTGAGTGTCCACGACTTCGTTGAATTCAATACTTTGTTTCGTCGCTCCGCACTTCCAAGGGGGGGTGGAGGGACGCGAAAGTAAACAAGACGGTTGCGACCGATAAGACGTTATCAGCACGTGCGGGCTGATATCATCTATTCTCGAAACGTTCAGGTAGGTACTTGTAGTTTGTTTTTCTAGATGATGGAAAGGCTCTACAACGCAAAATAGTGCATTTGAGTTGCTCATTATAAGCTGAAACGCACTGGAAATTGTTGACAACAATCGTTACTCATTTTATTATAATTAATCCCTTGTTGTGATGCCTCGTTTCACATCTGGATACCTCCATCTGGACAACTGAGCGTGAATCGACTTGTGCGAGTTCCGCTTCCACTGAGCTTGGAAATCTATCAACGCTAGTCCCAATCTGACACACGGGTAAACATCCCTCTTTGTTATTGAGACCTAGCTTCTCTCACACTTCAAGTTCGCAACTTTCAACAACACCAAAGCATCCTCGACATCCTTCAGAGCCCCAACCCGATGAGTAATTAACAAATCTAGCACGATTACAGTTGATCTTCAACTTTTTTACCTTCCATCGCGACTCTTTTCGAACGACAAAATGGCGGCTATGCGAGGACCGCGCATTCCAACTGGCTCAGCGGCCTGGGTTGCGGATGAGCGCGCCTCTGCCCTCCAGATTGTTGACACCGAGGTTGATGAGTTTACATACGCTGCACACAATGAGTTCGCGTGGCTCAACGAGCACATGGCTGGCATCTTTAGCGAGAATGAAACGTACGCGTTATGATCCTTGTTTTGACGCGATTTACTGATGGCTTTTTAGAAACATTGCCGAAACATTTAAAACACCTGGAAAGCTTCGAGGCAAGACGCCCCGAACTACACGGAAGTTGATACCGACGGAGCCAAGAGTGGTGGGTTTAGTGTGTCCAGACATGGAAGTGATAGAAACTAACATTTCGGAGCCCTTGTCCAATGTTTTTGGAGGCACACCGTCAAGTTCAGCGAACCGTTTCGCGCAGCATCTCCATGCCCAATCACCCCAAAGGGAGCTGTTAAATCAAGTCAAGTCTTCTTCGCCTCGCCGCCACGCCCCATCACCGATACCAACGCAAGCCACCTCTGTTGAACCGAGTTCAGATGTGCCAGAGCATGATGCGATCGACTCCGAAGCTATTCACTCAGACCATGACGTTCCTATGACTGCTGAAGAGGGCACCGAGGCTCCTCAAGAAACAAAATCACAACCCCAAACACAGGGTGACTCTGGGTATTTTGGAAGCCAGGATGTCAACCCCACGCAATTTGATCCTGCTACAGACGATGAGGCATCGCTTATTGACCCTACCGCTTTCGACGAGGCCATTGCGTTCCCCCAATCGAGCCCTGCACGAATCTCTCCTGCCAAGCAGCTCACGAAGTCTTCGTCTCTCGCCAGAGTTCAACAAGTTGTAACCGATGTTGACATGGAAGAGGCTGCAACTGATCCTCAGGAACCGGACAATGCTTCCCCTGGCGATGCACAGTCTCAGTCTGACGGCTCCAGCCCAGTTCGTCCCGGTTTCCGCAATAGCCTCCAGTTCCCCTCTCTTCCTGCTCGAGAGCCCTTGACAGCAGGCAAGAATGGTGGTGCCAGGGTGTCTCGAACAAGTCATGTTGATCCTAAGAGGACCAGTTACTTTGGAAGAAGCACAAGAGGAAAGAGCCTCGCCAGCCGTACTGAACAAGAAGCATCAGATGAATCGGATCAGGATGGGATGGATGTCGACCATTTCCCAACAGTGCCGCCCCCAAAGAACGCCGATGACCTTGCCTTGCATCACAATAAGACATACACCCAGATGCTGCAAGACAAAATCAGTGTGTTAGGGAAGTCTCAACCGAACGGAAGTCGACCCTCGAAGTCGATTCACAGTGTTACCAACTCCCAGCAATTGCAAACAGTTTCTCAATCAGTCACTGAATCCAAGTCGCCGTCGCCCCCATCACCCAAGAAACATGAATTCACGACAACTCCAGGTGCTTTCCCTGAAGACGATGACGATGATTGGATTGTCCCCCCAGCTAGCCAGCAACAGGTTGCCGCTCCCACTCCCACTAGGCCGTCTCTGTCTAAGAGCCGAACTGCTGATGTGATGGAAGGAATACATGGAAAGCAGACCCTCGGATCGTTTGATTTGGATGAAGATCGTGCTCATATCCGATCACCTGTCCGCTTCAACTCACAGTCGGAAAGACCCAGCTACCTCGGTCATTCAAAATCTGTATCCGTACCAGCCGTTCCGCTGGCTACAGCTCCCGAACAAGAGGGAAGCCCTTTGAAAAAGACGATATCGGCCTCAAGCCATACTGAAAGGCCCGCCACTGCTGTCGAAGCTGCTTCATCTTCGTCCCCTTCAAAGTCGCCCTCAAGATTGTTCCGCGACAGTCCTCTGAAGCACCTAAAAAATAAGATGTCATCTATTCTCAGTACTTCGAAGGGACTGATTGCAAGCAGTGCTGCGTTGAGCGCAGAAGGCAAATCATCCTTACTGTCTCCATCACGAGTACAGCTTGGACTTTACCCTGGCCAATCTTCTGAGTCTATTGCTCCTAAGTCAAGCATGGAATCTTTCAGAAGTGGCACCACTGCGACTGACCAGCAGTCGACCATGTCCCGACCAGTTGCTAAGCGGACAAGAGCTTCAGTGGAACGTGAGAAGGAAGAAAAGCGTCGGGAGAAAGAAGCCAGAGTCCAGGCCGACCAATTTGAAAAGCTAGAGAAGGAGCGAGAGAAGGAAAGGGAAAAGGCCCGAGTATTTAGCAAGGAACAAGAGAAGCTTGCTACTATGGAGAAGCAGGTTGCTGCCAGGAAGGAGGTTGAAACACCCGCTCCCAAGCATGCATCTGCTCCCACCCGAACTAGCCCCCGAAAAGCCAAGGAACAGGAAGATACAGAGCCAAAGGTCATTGATCAAGATGATGACATGGCTGATGCTCCCATCGTGGCTCCTCCTTCGGCTCACCGACCTACTGCACCCAACACACTATCTCGCCCCAAGGAGATTAGACGAATTGCCAAACCAGCTCGGGAAACCACTACAAAGACAAAGGCAGCGCCCACCGTTCATATCAAGGTCAATACTGGTTCCCAGTTATACCCTGGTAATCCTTCGACCAATGGATTCCAGGATCTCGGCACCTCGATAAACACACAGCCTCAACAGAGTGTTAGTAAGGCGAGCAAGGCTTCGACGCAGCCCAAGCCGTCGGTTTCAAATTTCGGTGCTTCAACCGGGTCAAACGGTCGCCCTAGAACTCTTGATATGGCTTCACAAAAGAAGGCACAGGACGAAGCACAACGTCGACGTGATGCAAAGGCCAAGATGGAACGAGAGCGGGCTACAAAGGACGAAAAGAGGAAGCAGGAGCTTCTTCGCCGTCAAGAAGAAGAACGCCAGAAGCGTGATCAAACTGATGCCAAGAAGAATGCTCAGCGGCAGGCGATTATTGAGAAGGCCAAGAAGACCCCGGCTCCGCCTCCGGCTGTTCGATCACAGCCAAATGGTCCTCCCGATTACAATCTACAACAGGACAAAACTGCTTCGGTGCAGCGAGGGGATGGCCCACCTCGACCTCAATCCCGCATGAATTCCGGCATCTACAGGTCTCAGGATGAAATGGGACGCCCTGTCAACACCCTTCTGACGACTGGGTCAAAGTCTGGACCCAAGAGGCTACTTGGCCAGAATGGCAATGACGATGGACCTGCAAGGCCCCCGCCATCTCGCGGTCCTCAGTACCAAGCTAAAGATGCAAAGCGTCGCCGAACAAGCGATGATTTTGCCGATGAGCTAGATACTGAACAACTTCCTAACATCAAGGGACCTCCAGTTCGCCCATCTAGCGCCCTTAAGAGGGTGAGTATCCCAAGCTACGTTTTCGGTGTAACAAAGACTAACAATCATCAGGACCTGCAAGCGAAGACATTGACCAGCGGTTATGTTTCTCAAACTAGTGCACAAAATCTTTTCAAGACTACTATCGCTCAGAGTCATATGAAAGGCGGCAACCCTATGGATATGGCGCAGATTCACAAGGGGACTATTCCGTTTGCTCCCAACCCCAACCCTGCAGGACCGTCTTTCAAGACACCGGGTCGTCCTGGTCCCGTGGGTGGGATGAAGTCGGCTGCCAAGTCTGTCCAAAGATCATCACCACGATTCCAGAACGGCGAGGCCATTGAGCTCCCAGAGATCCAGACAGATGATGAGGATGAAGACGATGATGAACCACAGGCTGGCACGATTGCAGCATGGGCTAACTCCCCTTTCCTTACCCAGACCCTGTACAAACAGGAAGGGTTAGATCCTGCCTCGATTTTCGGACCCCCTATGCCGCTGAACATGGAGGAAGTGTTCGACAAGAGCAAAGACAGGCATCACAAGTTCCGTGCCCGAACTTCAAGCGCTAATTGGAGCGGTAACGACCGTCTTACTGAGGACGACATCCGCAAGGATCTCGCTGCCAGAGACAAGCTCAGACGAGAGGGAGGTTGGTCGTACGAACTGAGCAAAGAAATGATGTAATGTCTGTATTGGTAACATGTATATGACTCTTGATGAAGTCTTATTTGGGATGGGATTACAGAGGAACCGGCGATGTGGCGACATGGGCCACTGAATGGAACGGAAGTGAAACGAAACGGAGCGATTGATTACTATTGGTTTTTGGCAGCAGGGCAGCAGATTGTGTATGCATTCGTGATGATGAGATAGCATTTTTGTTTGGCGCACGGCGAAAGGGAATAGGCAAGGCTACAGGATGAGAGTCCAATTTGGACGTCTGCGGCACCTACAGGGAAAACATTATAGGGGCACTGTAGCGACAGTGTAATTCATTTATACGGCTCTGGAGATGTTTAGTTACTGCTGAAATTTAATTGCATGGTGTATTCTGCGGCTCCTTATGAATGCACAAAACTGAGGCGTCTTGCTCATAGTTCCCTCGTAACCTCCCTGCCCGAGAACAATGCTTTGTTGAAGGATAACATCCTATCAAATCATGCAGAAGCTGAAACCCTGCAGGGCTTGTGGCTGGGCTTAGTCCCATCTCTCAACAATTCTTTTTGGTTAAGTTGGCCGTTTTCACATGTCAGAAAAACAAAGCCGGACGACAGGCATTTGACCCAGAAAAATGATAAGGGTCTGCAGGCGAGGCGAGGCGAGACCTCGTGCAAGACTCTATATGAAGTGATTCTTCCATGCGGTCTTCTTCTCCTCGTGTGGACTCTTTGTCATGGGATTTTGTGAGGCCGCCCTCAAAAGTTAAACCGTAACTCTCATTCATTTTCCGCCGTTGATCGCGTCATGACTTGTTAAGTTTCCATTCTCGAATCTGGGCCGACCCTGTACTTTCTACACGGCATTATACTGTTGCTCTTCTACAAAACTACCGGTATTGAGACATCACACGCTAGTCTCATCTTCAAAAACATGGCGTCTCGTCTCAGATCATTTACCCCGGCCATGGACGAAGTCAAGGTTGATCAGATCACGGAAAGCAGCATCTTCAACGTTGTCGGTATGCTTCCGACGTCACTCCAATCGGTACCGATTCGCTTTCTCAGACGGAGCATAAGTTTCCATGCCCTGCGTCGAGATGTCACAATATCCGGATCGCAGACAAAGCCCCGACCTCTATCAGAAGCCGATGTCCCAGACGCTCTGAATCAACCACTCCAGACCGACATGGTAAGGCACAGTGGTGGGTATGTAGAACCACAAGAGTTGCGCCCTCGACCTATGAGTCGGGTGCTCTATTCAGAAGCCCCAGAGGATGAACCAGCTATGCGAGCTGCGTCTGGCGTGCATTGGAAGTTTGCGCGACAGGGTAAGCTATTTTGATAAACTGACTGGCTTAATATTGTGTCATGCTGATCGTGTCACAACAGGAACAAATCTTGTCAACATTTCTACAGACGGAGGTAAACCCGCTATAGCTGAGGAAGACGTAGCCTTTGAGCGAAAAGCTTTCGTCGACGGGGTAACTTATCTCCTGAAAGCTCTGCCTCGGGACCTTGACGAAGGCGAGCTCAAAAGAATTCAATGCGCCTTGCCAGACCAACTCACTCAACCCGATTTGGCCCTGACTCGAACAGGCCATGAATCGAACCAAGTCACCCCAAGTCAGCCTCGTTCTATCATTCATCGCGGTGTTCAGATGACTGTTGTCAATTTGATATTCGTCCTCAGCTTCTTGGCGCCATATTTACTGCTCCTTGTTAGATACGCAGCTCGTCTGGAACGCAAGTACAAAATCTCAGAAAAGCTTGTAGGACACGGCGTTGATATAGTCAACTCGATTGGAAAGCAGAGCGCTTCTTTGACAGAAGCAATAGGCCAGATGAACGACGGCAAAGTTGCCCAGGCTCTGCTGGAAGTTTTTGTCTGGACAGTTGATGGTGTTACGCAGGGTATTTCGGATGGAATCGGAGAATCAATTGTGGGGTCGAGATCTAAGACCAATGGCTGAAAAGCCAAAAACCCATGTTTCGACGAGAATTCGATAAGAAGGATCATGTTCTTTCTGGAAATAGGCAGGCATAGAAAGAGGACAGCATAGACTTATGGGGCACTTAGAATGGGTTGTAATGATCGATGAATTGGAACTTTAGAATATTATAGCATAGAATCGTCGCATATTACCTAGAACGGAGCAAAATATTACTGCATTTTCAATTTTCAACATTCTATCCGTATCCGTACTCCGTAACCCAGTTACCAATGAGAAGCGTCACATTTTCCTTTGCCTCAGTGACCTGCCAGAGGGTGGCCACGTGATGATCCGGATCTAGCCCAGTAAGGACAGGCGCCTTGTTAGCCATGGCCCATCAGACTAAGAGATAAGATAGCACTCGTAAAAATTTCAATTTTCCTACAGGTAGCGTCGCGACCCTTGACCCGCCTTCGTCTGCTCATCATTCAACCCGACCTAATTCTACTTCCCCTCCTAATAATTCTTACTTCTGTGTTTGTAATTATATCAATCGCAGAATCGCAATATCTGCAGAAGTTCCCTCTTTAATAATCGCAATTATGTTTCGATCCAGCCTTAGGCGCTGTGCCCTGCAGGCCAGAACCGCCGCATCGGCTGCCCTCTTCTCTCAGACTCGAGCCGCTCTACCGGTTGCCCGCAGTCAGGTCTTGACAACCCAGTTATCTATCGCCTCTATCAACAGACTTACCTCTTTCACCCGAGCTTACAGCAGCGAGGCCGTTGCTGAGCAGGGTTCAGAGGCTGCTTCAACAGATGCCGAACCTAGTGTCCGCTTCGCTGAGCTTGAGGGCATCAGCGACAGCCTCCTCCGTGTTATCCTTGATGACATGAAGTACGATACCATGACAGCTGTCCAGGCCAAGACTATTAAGCCTGCTCTTAAGGGTACTGATATGTAAGTATCATAACTTCCCGGAGTTGTAACTCTGTACTAACTTTCATCAGCGTTGCTCAAGCCAAGACCGGTACCGGAAAGACCATCGCATTCCTTTTGCCTCTTTTGCAAAGAATGATCGAGGAAGATCCTTCCCTCGCTGATAGATCTGCCCGACGAGAAGCCCGATCCGACGATATCCGTGGGATTGTCCTATCCCCCACCCGAGAGCTGGCTGAGCAGATTGCCATGGAGGCTCGCCGCCTGGTTGCCCAAACTGGTCTTGTTGTTCAGTGTGCCGTTGGTGGTACTGATAAGCGCTCGATGCTAAACCAGACTCGCCGACAGGGATGCCATCTTCTTGTCGCCACTCCTGGTCGTTTGAACGATCTCTTGCAGGATAGCAGTAGCGGTATCGATGCCCCCAACCTGGCCGCTATGGTCCTGGATGAGGCCGATCGAATGCTTGATGTTGGTTTCGAGAGGGAGCTCAACGAAATCACTAGCTGCCTTCCCCGCCCCGAAGAGAAGATTCGCCAGACCATGCTCGTCTCTGCCACAATCCCCGATAGTGTTATTCGCCTGGCTCGAACTATGGTCCGAGCCAACGACTTTGAATTCGTTCAAACCATTCCCGAGAACGAGTCTCTTACCCACGACAAGGTCCCCCAACATATTGTCCCTGTCTCCAACTGGACCAACGTCTACCCTGCTCTTTTCGAGTTGATGGACCGCGAGGCCGCCAAGGCTCGCGAGGACCCTTCTGCACTTCCCTTCAAGGCAATTGTTTATCTTAACACCACCGCCATGGTCGAGCTTTCTGGCGAGCTGGCCTTCCAACATCGCCAAAACGCCCGTAACAACAACCAGCCCTACATGGCCTCTTATGTTCTCCAGTCCAAGCTTAGCCAGCAGGCACGCCAGAAGGCCGCCGACAAGTTTCGCGAGGCCAAGTCCGGTGTTCTCTTCTCTTCCGATGTCACCGCCAGAGGAATGGATTTCCCCAATGTGACACACGTTATCCAGATCGACACTCCCCGAGACCGCGAGTCTTATATCCATCGTCTTGGACGAACTGGCCGACAGAACAAGGAGGGACAGGGCTGGTTGATCATCCCTCACTCGTCCGTTCGCGCTGCTCGCAAGATGCTTACTGGACTCCCTATCCAGCAGAACAGCTCTCTTGAGAGTGCCGAGACTGATGTGGCGGGTGGTGAAGTTACTCCCTTCCACGAGACCACCAAGGCTCTCTTTGGTGTTTTGCCTCGCAGTCTCCTTGCCACAGCCTACACCTCTATGTTTGGTCTCGCCACCGATAAGGCTGAGATGGCCGAGGAGGTCAACAACTGGACTCGCCACGGATGGGGATGGGAGATTCCTCCTCACGTTTCCCCTATGTGGGCTCAGAAGATGGGTGTGACCCGTGTCAGTGGCATGAACACAACTCAGAGAGACCCCCCGGATGAGCGACGTGGTGGTGATGATCGCCGAGGCGGTTACGGAGGCGATCGACGTGGCGGTGGTGGTGGTTATGGAGGCGACCGACGTGGTGGTTACGGTGGTGACCGAGGCGGTCGTGGAGGTGACCGTGGTGGTGACCGTGGTGGACGACGTGGACGAAGTGGTGATCCCTTCGACTCTATGTCGGAGAACGTCCGCCGTGATGACTTCGGCCGTGGTAGCCGTGGCGGCTTCGGTGGCCGAGGTGGTGGCCGTGGTTACGGCCGTTCGTCTTCTTCGTTCTAAACGAGCGACTTGCTACGAGTGGTGAAAATGTAATAACAAAACATGATGGACGGACGGGATGAATGATTTGTACTTCTATTGGGCATTGTTGTATTTTATGTTGATGTATGATACCGGAAAAGGATTTGGTTTATAGACATGTTTGCGGGCGTCACTTATGTGGTATCTCCACGACAACTCTACTTAAGAAATGATGATAATCCCAATAATCACTTGGTGCTGTGCTGCTGTGATACCGTGTCGATATATGTTGCTGACGAGGCATGTACATCTTGCAGATTATACTTTTGATTAACAAATGCGACACGTTCCAATACCAAACAAACTCAAGTCTCAGTCGGACACGCTTACTCCTACCAACGCCAAACTAATTAAGATTGATTCTTGCCGAACATCATGGTATTCGCTGGCCCGTTAGCATATTAGCATCCCATAATAACACTCTCTCATCCCATCCTACAGAAGCCACCCAACCACCCATGCCAAAGAGACACCAATCGACTCCCGTGACGAACTCGGTGTGGCGATTCATGATTCCCACCTGATTGCCTATTGAAGGTCCCATTGCTGGACCCTGAGGCTGATTCGAACCATCGTTCCATAAACGAACTGTCATGTCGTAACTAGCACTGATGAGAGTGTCGCTCGAATGCGGACTCCACGAAAGTCGTCGGACGGCATACTCATGACCCTGCATGACAGACACCGGCCCGCCGGAAGGGTTTCGTATATCAAAGGTCCGTAAAACTCTGTCTACGCCACCTGTCGCTATAACAGTATCTTTGTACTTGTTCCAATCGTGCGTCAGAATCTCGGCGGGCGCAGAGGCGCCAGGGGACGATTGCGGCCCTGAGGCATGGACGGGTATCGTTGCTGTGAGGTGGTACTTCGCTGATGACGGCGTGCGAAGATCGAAGATGCGGAGGTGAGAGTCGGAAGAAACTGCGGATATCAAGGCGGGGTTGGAGGGGCAGAAAGATGTACTGTAAGTGCAAGTTCCGATAGGCAGCGTCTTTATCGAATGGTTTCGTGTCGGTGACCACTATCAACTGTTAGGAACTGGAACATTTTGTGCACTGGATGTAAATGGGCCTACAATCTTGACTGTGCCGTCCCAGGAGCTGGAGATGAAGCTATCTTTAGTTATTGGATTCCAGCAGACAGAGAAGGTTTCCCTCTTATGTTCGTGAAAGTTCATAACTGGAAAGTCATCCACACCCAAGTCGAACAGTTTCAGCGACCCATCACCACAAGCGGCAATCAACTGGTTCTCGTTGATCTCGGACCAGGCCAAGTCGTAGAGCGCATCGTTCGTATCGAACCTGCAACACGGCCAAGTTAGCCTCCGTATAAATAGCTAGCCAAACAATATCGGGATTTCGCATACGTTTTCTCAACTTGGACTCCCTGCGCCGTCAGGGCGAGAGCAAATACACGGCCATTGCCTACAATGCCAAAGTTGGCGGATGTCGCAACAGCAATTCGCGAGTCGTAGTATGGAGAATACTTGACGGCGTAGGGATTGTACCCTTGGGTTCGGAATTCTAGCATTGCAGCCATGGCACTGGAGGAGGATCTTTAGAGACTAGACGCATTAATTGGAGGGAGATATTATGGTAGGTGGAATCTACGAGCAACAATTTGCTTCGTCTTGTGCAATGAGCTTCCCCTCGAAGCTATACTGACATGTGCCTCGGTATCGGTAATCGCCGAGGCCGCGGGGCAGCAGGTATGCATCTAACCAAGACTTCCCCCCCAGCGGGCTTATGTAGCAACCGAAGTCATCTAAGCGCTATCACGTGCTCTCGTGTCTTACTTTTTGGCACGTCGCGCTATCCAATGCTGGTAATCTATGACATAGCCCGCTGTCAGCCACGTTGCATCCCATCAAGATTATTAGAGACGTGCGATTGAGACTATGAAAGCTTTCTTGACTCGACCTAAACGGAAACCATCTCCAGAGCTTCAACTAGAAAACGCGGAGCCAGAAGAGCCAACTGAAGTCAAGTTGGCACTATTATCGTCTCTGCATCCACAGCTTGACCAAGAGGCTTTGCTTGACATTTTACTGGCTCACGATGGATCCGTTTCCGATGCATCAGCGTCACTCAAAGTCCAAGTCCCTCTGAAGAAGGGTTCTCGAGTTATTGGATATCAGCAATCATTAAAGCAATACGCCTCCTCAAGTGGCTCTACCTCTTTAAATAGTACACCTGCAAAGAAAAAGCTCAAGTCAAAAGCGGGAAGCACTCTACACCTATACGACCCCGAAGATGTGGCTGAGCATACCCCATGTACTATCATCCACAACTTTCTACCACCTGAAGAAGCGAATCAGTTGCTAGTAGAGTTGCTAGAAGAATCAAAAACATTCGAAAAGATCACCTTTCAGCTTTTTGAGAATGTTGTGTCCAGCCCCCATACGTCAAGCTTCTACGTCGAGAGCTACGACGAGATTGAGCGCCAAAAGACCGAGTATCACTACAATGGTGGCAGGCTTACGGTAATGATTCAAGTATAAGCCTTGTTAGACGATGTTTGATTAATTATATGCAGGATGTTCGGCGCATCACTCCACAACTTGTGAATGTGAAACCCAAGGTTCAAGAGGCTGTCAACATGGAGATCCAGAAACGGATCAAGTCTCGGTATCCTGGCGGCAAGAAATTAAAGTATCAATCTCCGAACCCATGGGTCCCGAATTCAGCCTTTGTCAACGCCTACATAGGTCCCCAGCAGAATGTTGGCTGGCACTCCGACCATCTAACATATCTCGGCCCTCGCGCCATCATTGGATCGATTTCCCTGGGCGTCGCTCGCGAGTTTCGTGTCAGGCGAATAATACCCAGGGACAACGATACCAAATCTGTTCAAAATCAAGATGCAGAGGCTCAGATAGCGATACACCTGCCACATAACTCGCTGCTCGTTATGCATGCCGAGATGCAAGAGGAGTGGAAGCACAGTATTGCACCAGCATTATCTATCGACCCACACCCTATCTCAGGGACAACGCGTATCAACATCACATACCGAGATTACCGCGCCAACATGCATCCTCGCTATACGCCTAGGTGTCACTGCGGACTGCCATGTGTGTTAAGAGCTGTGACGAAGAAGAAGGACAACTTCGGCAGATACTTCTGGATGTGCTACGCCAACTCTCCTGGACAGGAGAACTGTGGCTTTTTTCAGTGGGGTGAATTTGATGATGATGGAAATCCTCAGTTCAAGAAAGCTGCAGGTATCAAGGCTTAGGGTATATGATGTTAGAAACTAGAATATGGTTGTGAGGTCCCTTTGTTCTGTTGTACTGTTTAGGAATGGAATGGTCTTCAGGCACACTTATCTATTCAATCTCAACATTTACTATGCCTCATCACTCTTGGTAGCTTCTGTCCAAAAGTTGATAACAGCAACCTCAAAGAAGCCGTTTTCGCCCGCACACACAGTGAGTTTATTTATTTTCTATTCATCATAAAAAATTCAATATGACAACATTAGAGGCAGAGATTGAAATCTGTGTCGATAAGAGATCAATTCACTTCCCATTGGAGAATGGGTAATTTTCTTTGTTAGCTCGCTGTCAAACATATAATTACCAAATTTTGACATGATTACTGAGAATAAACTGTTATTTGATATTCTAGGAATGAATATACGTCTTCTCTAGTGGCCCTGTCATTATTCCTATGGCGCTTGGACGTTAGCTGGCATTGTCAGGGGTGCCAAAGTAATCGCATGGCTGATTTAGCTAAGAGATCATAGACGGGCACTTTTGACAATGTTCGATCATTCTTGGCGAATCTCATTGGAAATTCACGGGGTTTTTATGACGCAGGATGTAAGAGCGACTAATCCATCGAAACTGACAGGCTCAACTCCTGAACGGTAACAAGTATCGTCCCCCAGTCATACACCCAATTGGCTTCCGACCATCTTCCAGACAAACGCGGGTATAAAGATGATGTCCAAATAACCTACCTGGTTGTCTTAGATATGTTATATCAGCCCCACAGCAGCCGCAGATGTCCTCGTTCATGTGACTTGGGTTAATCTCGTAAGTTGGTCTTGATCAGAGTCTTGGTGTTCACACATCAGAACGACTAGCTATTGTTTTACCATGTTGAAGCGCGACAAGAGAAGACTGGATAAAGAAGGACCACACCAATCTGGATTGCACAAATACGTGACTTCCATCAATAGCTATTTAAATGGCTTGAAATACCTCAATGGGCTGTTATTGGAAGGTCTCCTCCAGAGTCCAGACTGCCACGAGCAAGAGCGGCATGTGTGTGGGTCGGGTCGTGCCTGCCGCTGTCACATCCACATCAGCCACTGTGTCATGTCGATCTCCTTCCCGATACAAAAGCCAATTTCAACTTTATCTCAACCACAACCACAACCACAGGATACCAAAATCAACTCCTTCTCGTGTCACCAATGATCTTAAGACATCTTACCTACCAAGGACTGACCTAGTTAGCGGAACTATCACCCTTCTCACACAACATTCTCTTCCCACCACGACAAAAGTCTTCAGCTATTGGCGACGTTTCCAAACTCCAGCTTGCAATACTCTATTTCTCATTGCTTTTCTATCTATATGATCCCGCAGTTCCGCTTGATTGTATAATATATCGAGCATGTCGGAACTTAGCTTCCCTGCCTCCTCGGCAGTTATGCTTGAGTCTAGGCTGCCCACAGCAACACCCTCCGGGGCATCATCATCTCGGCCATTCGTGACCCTCACATTTGCAACTTCACTCGACTCTTCGCTTTCTCTGGCACCTGGAGTTCGCACCCGGCTCTCAGGACCCGACTCCAAAGCCATGACTCACTACCTTCGTTCACGGCATGCAGCCATTCTCATTGGCGTTTCCACCCTCCTGGCTGATTCACCAGCCCTTAACTGTCGTATCGCTGGTGCAACGAGTCAACCCCGTCCCATCATCATTGACCCTCATCTCCGTTGGATTCCTAGCCATGAGGATAAAGTTCTCGAGGTAGCTCGTCTAGGTAACGGCCTTGCCCCTTTTGTCCTGACAGGGGCAGGCATTCAGAGCTTACCAGCCGCAAGCGTTGCGTTACTCGAACAGCATGGCGGCAGATACATACATGTACCAACCGCGCTGGGCCCCAATGGTCGTATGCGCTTTGATTGGCGCGATGTATTTGAGGCCTTGTTTCGTGAAGATTTGTCTAGTGTCATGGTCGAAGGAGGCGGTCAGATCATCAACTCTTTACTTGACCCTCGCTTTCATGATTTGGTCGACTCTGTTATTGTTACAATTGCGCCTACATGGCTTGGTCAAGGAGGCGTCGTTGTTTCTCCAGAGCGCCTCCAGGATACAGCAGGTGTTCCAATCCCAGTTGCAAGATTATCGGACGTGTCATGGCATCCTTTCGGCGAGGACGTCGTATTATGTGGCAAGTTGCATGGTTAGTGCATGAGCGAGGCTTTCTATGAATTTACGCCTATGATATTGGCCACAATTCTGCACGCAGTTACTGGATCCCATCTTTGGCCCCTTTCCTTTCCCGATCGACTATAGCTTGGCTATGCCTTATTGCCTCACGCGAAGCTCATATCGTCCAACGGTACCGCACTCAAACAAGATGACACGGCTTTTGATGCGGCACTTCATGAGGGTCAGCAGACGCCGTTTCTCCCTCCTTCATCCATCACCAACTCGTCGAACATGAGTGGCCACTCTCTGTCTTAATTCTCAAATGTGACCCATCAACTTAATCTCCAGCCTTCGAAGCGGATAGTACGCGATCCCAGTGACAATGAAAGCCGACTCGAATCCAAGGTCACCAACTCTCCTTCCTATGGGTCCAATAAACCATGGCGTGTTCATTGAGGGGATGACAACCGAAAGACTGACCAAAGCCGCCCCGATGGCTGCCATCCCAGTGGGAAGGATTCTTCCTCGGTCCCATATCCTGGGGTCGAATGAGCTGTAGTCCATTCCACGAAACACTACCAGTTCCTCGATTAAAACGGCGTCGAAGCATCCCGCCCAGTAACCAATGATGGATAAAAAGTTCACAAGAGACTTTTCCCATTGAGCCGCCGCGTAAATCGACATCGGAACCATGATTGCCAAAGTGACAAGGATGAAGATGAAGCGCGGGACTATGGCGAATGTAGGAACGAGCATTTGCAAGCACAGCGCAACCGAATAATTGGATAGCACCATGTTTCCCACAGCACTCAGGGCCAGAACGACAAGAACGAATTTCCCGAATCCACCTGCAGGCTCCAGCATTTCAGCCATCACGCCACCGATTCCATAATTGTCCCATGCCTTTTGCCATGGCTCGACATTTGGAAGGGCGCCCCCAATGGCAGCTCCAAGGATGAGCAAGGGGGTTGAAGGGATTAAAAAGCCGAGATATACATAGGCGAATACCTTCATTCTGCCATCATGTCAATCCCTCGGAACAAGCTGGCAAACAAATGAGGACGACTTACTTGGAGGCTTCATTGCTATGATATACGGTGAAGTCGGAGACAGTACCCCCAAATGTCATAAAATACCCTGCCATCAGGCTTCCATATCCAATGATACTCTTGACGGTTGCCGGGTCATGCTCGGCCTGGTTCATCAGATGCTTGCCGCCACACCCTACTGCAATAGTGATGGCAATCAAATTTGGTAACCACTGCCATCTTTGCCACAAATGCACAGCTCTATACCCAAGAAAGGCCATGAAGAAGCTGAGAGTGCACACGATACCGATGCCTAAATTCACACTAATGTTGACTTTTTCATTCACGGAAGCGATAGCCTGTCCGCTCACGATTGATCCCACAAGTGTGAATCCAGTGACTGTTCCTGCATTGAGTAGTGTCGGGATAGCAACGAGATATAACCTGCCAAAATAACCATGTCAGCAGCTATATCTGTGGTGGCCGCCAAATTCGAGACTTGCCCAAACGAATAACGAGCCTGTATCATCTGCCGCATTCCAGTCTTGTAACCCCCGATACTGATAAAAGCCGGGGGTATGCAAGTCATTATGTTGAAGAAGATTATGATTAATGAAACATCTCGCAAGCCCAAACCGTACAGAGTGGTACCGAGAGCACCAGTTGGCAACCTTGTCTTTGGTTAGCAACAACGGCTTTTGCTAAAGACCTTCAATGAGACTCACGGCAGGACAGATAACAGGCATGTGAAAAACACGGTAAATATATTACTATGCCGCGTATCAGTTCTCTCCTCAGGAGGCACTGGCTGAACGCCGTTCTCCTCGACCCCTATGTTGCGTAACAGTCTATGCAACCCTAGAGCAATAGCTGCCACTTGATTCGCAGAAGCACAAGGTGTGAGGGTGCCGTCGTTTGCGTTGTGTGCTATGGTTTGCTCGAGTGCATTGAGCTCACGACCGGCCTCTAAGTCCCCATTCGCAGTCATTGTTCTTTGAGGCTTGAGGCTTTCGGAGATGAGCTAAAGGTTATGTGAGTGATTCACTCCGACACTACCTGCGCCGCAATTATTGCAAAGTCGTGAAGGCGAGCTCACACAACTACACATTGCATTATACTCTATACTTTCTGCCACTTGCTCGCCCACTTTTCTGCCAAAGACTCACAAACAAATTTCTCAGCTTGTCTTTGATCATAAGGTCCTTGAAGTATACCTATCAAGCCGCAGTACCGTCGGTCTACGAATACTGTCGGGCCACGGACTATAATCGGACCCTCACCGGAAGTGATTAGGCTAGGCATGCGCTCGACCACAATGTAACCGCATAAATCCCTGGTAGCTAGTTGTATAAACTTGTACATGCCCAGGTCTGCAGTAACGCTAGGCGGATAGAGGGATCGAACGAAATATGGATGGCATTCCCTACCTCGGCATACTGTTCGCCATCTTAAGCCCATGAATACTCCAGAACTAATGGCGAAGATTTCTCTTCCTGAATACGTATGGAGACGACACCGAGACTTGATCTGAAACTAAACATCATCGCTCTAGCCACGTTTGGATGGCAGTGCAGCGCTGGGTACTGCGGGTCTATGATGGGATCAAGACACTAAACACTTCTCATGAAGGTTTAATGTATAAACTAGACAGATGCCCCTACACTCGACTATGCGTTAAGCCCTATCATATTGCGCCACTCAAAGGTAGGGCCTAGGGTCCAGGGTCTCGTGGGCAAGCAAGTGATCACAGTTGGAAGCGAAAGAGTTGAAGACTCAGTAGGAACCTTGGCTTAAACAACTGCAGCCATCACGAACACATCATCACTGCATTGGTCCAGCAGGGGCAATGCGACTACGGCTGGGTGTGCACATTGAACTTGCTTTTGGTTGATCATGGATCACTCGCTTGTTTGTTTAAATCTGTCTCCGAAACACGGGCATGGGACTCATACGGTCATGTCGGCAATGGGTCGCCTACCCGTCATTCAAGGGATGCATTGTGTCCACATTCGTTCTCTTGTCCATCCACAGTCATATCGCTGGCGCATACTCTTCATATGTATGAATATGAATACTTATCATCAGGGAAGGGGTGGGCATCGGTTGGTGGGCACCAAGCACAAGACACCTTAAAAACACGAACGATTGCCACAATGCTTGTCAGCGACGATGCCATTTCCATCTCAACATCACTACGCGGCGACATAGTATCCAGCTGGCCGCACTGAAATAACAGCACAGCATAGTGGCCATCTGTCACTTGAGAATTCTGCTCAGTTGCTGTCGAGCCAGGGGACCACTTGAAGTGGTAGGTTCCTACGACAGGGTCCATCGGACAAGGCACATCTTCTCCACAAGGAATTATAACGCTTATCAATGCTTTACTACAATAATTGACAGGGTTACATTGCTAAAATAGACTACTAGTCTGGGCGAAGCCGGATGGCAATGTATCAAACGCCATGACTCAAGTCCCATCCCATGCACAGCCGTGCTGTATCCGTACATACGATACACTCCTCCGTGACACCTTGTAGTAGTCCAATGGGATAACAGCATTGATCGACAGCAAGGAAGGGAAATTAGTTTGAGAAGCATCCAATTGTATTAGAGTATGGCTTAAGTTAGTCAGTGGACTATGAAACAGCCCGAGATCTAGAAAAGGAACTACCACGCTTGCCATGTTAGTACCTACGGAGTAGAAGATGAAAAATCAATTTGTAATCCTGGATATCCATCTGTCTCCAGGTAACCCAAGTAGATCCTCAAGCGAATTTCTTCGCAGGGATAGAAATGGATTACCTATTCGGAACCAACACCAGCGAGTGTCGCGGAATTGGAATTTCGCGTTTCAATGACACAATCAAAATGCTCAGGATGGCTTTGAAGGTAACATCGTCAGCCAAGGGACTATGGGCTCAGCTCCAACTCAACTGACCAGGTTCCGCCATTGGTAAACTGGACTCGAGGCTCAATAGGCGCCCCGTCTGAGTCCACCTTTTTGCCAAATTGAAGTGTCGACAGCATTGTCGCTACCATGATCCAGAGGCTATTGTCAGCCAAAAACCGACCGACGCAAATCCTGCATGTCCTTGGTTAAATCAAGTATCAAAATGCCAGAAACCTTGACTCGAGTCTCAGCCCGGGCTGTGCGGTTACGTACCGGCGTCCAAATCCAAAATTACCCACTGGGAACGGCTCCCCAGCTTCATATCTGTCTGGATTAAACTTATGGGGGTCGCGGTAGACCCGCTCGTCATGCGCTATGGCATGGGCGTTGGCGTAGACCACAGTTCTGGCAGTCATCAGCCAATTTCCACACCGTTTTATCATGACGATGGAAGCATGAGAAAGGAGCAACCTCACCCTGCAAATTATTAGTTGATTTCTTTTTTTATTAAAATCAATCTGTATTAAATACCTTTAGGAATAAACATGCCTTGATAAACATCATCCCAGAGTGATTTGTGCGGAATACCTAGTGTATGATATCAGTTGTTGTAGCGTTGCTTAAATGCCAACCATGGACAACCAACCAAGAGGAGCTAATGGAGACCATCTTTCCGAAATCGAGCTGCTGTCAGCCCACAAGTACTCTATTTGAGGAACACGACGAAAGGAGTACTCACCGATATATCTCCTGGACAATATGCTCGATATGTGGCAACAATGGTCGATCTGACAGCTCGGGTAACCTATTAGGACCTACCACCTTATCTAACTCTTTTTGTGCTTTCTTTTGTATCATGGGGTGAAGAACCATGTTGAGAATAAAGATTGAACAAGTCGCCCATGTCTGAAAGCCGACATTTCAGCTTGAAAAATCAACTGCGCTGTCGTGGTTACTTACCGTATCTGCGCCTGCAATCAGGACCGCTCCAGCAGCACCTTTAATATCATCGAGAGACCAGTCCTTCTGCTGATCATGAGCCTCTTTATCTTCATACTCCCGCAGAAGCTGATGGGCGAGGGATTTATTCTCGCTATGATGACCGTTGCGCAACTGGGAGGAAGTCAGATCGATGACCAGAGCTGATGCAGCACTCGGGTTGGGTCGCCCACTGTCAGTCAACTTACATGTTCGGCCTGTGCGACAGTAAACGGGACGTCGTGAAGCTTTTGAATAGCCCAGCGCCAATTCCGCGCGAATTGTAAGGACCAGTCGCGGACGATCCAGTCTGGAAGGTAGCGAACTAGTAGACATGGCTTGTTAGTGAATGCCAAAGCACCCACCCTTGTAGAAGATTTGGGTTAAAAATAACCATGGGATCTCGTACCAAGCGGAACTAGATCAACAATGCTGTTGGCAGGAACCCCACCATTGCCAGTGGCATACATGGCATCGTTGACCATTTGGATGTAGGGGTCGTCATCCTCAGGTACCTCGGTGCCGTAGCTCACCTGCAAGACAACCGCCACTGCAAACCGACGTAAAGATGTTTCCCAGGTGTCAGGCTTCTTTATCATATTTCGAACTGTTTTTCGGGCTTCAGCTGTCTGCAAACCATGCCATTGGCGAACATTGGTGTTGCTAAATGAGGTCTGGAGCCGCTTTCTGTGCATTTGCCAGCGTTTTCCAAAAGGAAGAAATGTCACAGTCTTTCCCCAGCCCATACTATTGCATGGGAGTGTAAGCGTCTGTGGTTGGTTTTCAATAAAACACGGAATTTGACTTACATCTCCAGTAGTGTGAATCTAGGCCTGTCGCTAAAGTTGGCGCCTTTCTTGTCCAAGATCTCTCTAGCCGCCTCTGCACTATTAAGAACGACTGTAGAGCGGCCCAGGGACCTGACATGGATGATATCCGAGTCTTAGACGAACAATGTCAGGAATAAGGGCATGCTCTTTGCACACTGGCATAGGAAAACAGACTCACTGTATTCTCTGGACCACTTTAAATACACCGCAGAAGCATTCTCCTTGGGAATCACACGAGCGTGACCCAGAAGAAATTCAGACGGTGGCCCAGGAGGGAACGGTAGCGCATGCCGAGAGCCCCTGTGAGCCCATATAAGCAACCAAACGGCCAATATAAACGCCAATCCCGAGAGAGTTTCGTATACGTAGCGGTCCATAATCATACACGGAGCAAAGGTGTGTATTAAAAAGTCGAAGTATGTCAGAGTAGGATGATTGATTTTGCTAGTAATTCCAGTAGAAATGGAGAAACTGGTGGGCATTTGTTACTTCAGTTCGTCTTCTTAGTGCGGAGCGACTACTAATCTATATATGCCGTGCTAGATGAATCGCCACAACGTTCCTTCCATACTCTCCAGAACTCAAGACAAGGCAAGTGGTGTGGGTAACAAGTGCCCTACCTAAGCGGATATACGTGAATGGGAATTTACTTGGCAGTCCAACAAATGCATAGCTCTTGCTTAATGAGCAGTTCATGTGATAAGCGCCGGCACTCTCAAATGGATACTTGACTTATATAGGTCACCTAATTCATAATTGTAGCCTTGGCTTAGCTGTAGCAGGGTGATGATATAAAGTGATCTGGATTGACCACAAACTCCGTTTCCATTATGAAGCTTTTACTTCTTCCGATCCGTTCAACAGCCAATGTGCACTAGTCCAGTTCGAATATATGTTACTCTTTAGAAGGAAGAGTCGGGCAATCCTACACAATTGTTGATCCAGCGTATGTTTATACCGCCCGGAATATTCCACACAACCCTGCCAGTCTGTGGATAAGCTTGATCCTCCCTTTTCATACAAGCTCTTGCAATGTGGATAGTGACAGCAAATCGTCATAGCTTAGGTGGGCATGTACTCCGTACTTCGCCATGATATATTCCTTCGTATTACGTAATTGGCTCAAATGGTTCCCAACGTACTGCCTACTATAACTCTTGGCTCCATTGCTTTGGGCCCAGATCCTAATATTAATTTAACGAAATCCGCGCCGTATATACAGACAAGATGGTAAGCATCCATATCAAGGCACAAATTCCCAAGCGTATGGGATGAGGGGTCCAGGGGTCCAGAACTTGGCTAACAAAGAAGCAAAACGCGGCCAGCGCTTGCTAATGGTGATAGTGCGGTTAATCTGCACGGCCCTAAGCTTTTAGTCTGCGTTGTCCTAGTCTTACTGATTCATGTGCTTGGGTTGATGGTGTGATGTGGTTTAATTACTACCGACGCTAAGAGTCCGGCACTTGGCCAAGAGGAGGCACTGTATCAATTGGTCGAGTATTTGCATATGCACCTAACTACCTCCTAGATATGTGCATTAGACGCGCATAAATCCTTTGGGATGGGCATGCATCACCTAATGCAATATCAGCCAAAATGTTTCGCCGACTATCCAGGAAGATATATCATATCCATGCGCACACATCCTTAGCAAAATTGAGAATATGATGTAATCACCTACGAGGATGTTATTTGTCAAGGGTCTTTACTTGCAGGGTTAGTTTCACGAAGGCCATGAATGGAACGGATGGCTTCGGTATTAATACAAGAATCCCCCCTGGGGCTCAGGTGGGGTCCGGGAGAGTCCCTTGCGTGACAGAATTATATGTCACTTCCTCAACTGAAATTGTCATACCACCACACGTATATTTCTATCACCTCCCCACATTTGCGAGAGCGGATTATCTTCCGCCTCTCACTTGGGGGCGGGGATGGATCCATTCCGTTCACCTGACCTAACTGTCTCTTGGACGTTGGAGGGAAGGAAGGAAGAAGGAAGGAGAGAACCTGAGCTCTTCACCGCAAACTTGCCTAAGCTACCAATATTGAAAACACTCCCGTACTCTATTCATCAACTTCGATTCATCTTCACAGCGGGACCGACGCACTCTTGAGCGCAACCAAACTGATTGTTTCGGATCCGATCAAGCTACCCGCCCTGCACGCTCGGCCTCACTCTTTTACGCTATAACTTAGGCACTTGGGCCATCCCATCCTGTGCCCTCACTTTCCAACCACATCATCATTGTCCTGTAGAGCCTCGCCCCAGTCACCCTGCAAACCATTGTCTGGGTCTGTCCCTTCATCGCTCCTTCAGCCGCTACAATCCGTGCAGAAATCTCTTGCAGCCCACCTCTATCATGGCTTCTCACGCTAGCCCTCCGCATATCACCGTCCTGGGCTCTCTCAATATGGATCTCGTTTCTTACGTCCCACATCATCCCCTGCCTGGTGAAACACTTACTTCAAGTCACTTCAATACTTCGCCTGGAGGCAAAGGCGCCAACCAGGCTGTGGCATGTGGCAAGCTTTCCCGCGACTCCGACCTGAGCAGCCCTTCGGCTACTATCTCAATGGTCGGTGCCGTTGGCGCGGATCCATATGGTACTCTTCTCCTTGACAGCCTTCGCTCTTTTGGTGTTGTCGTTGATGCGGTCGCCGTTCGAGAGGATCAGAAGTCTGGCCTGGCCATTATCATTGTTGATGAACCGACGGGCCAGAATCGAATCATCGTGTCTCCTGAGGCGAACCACTCTCTTCAACCAGCTGAGTTCAAAACTCTCCCTGGGCCCCGCCCCGATCTTCTTATTATGCAGCTCGAAATTCCTTTTGAAACGGTCATGCAGGCTTTGAAGGCTGCTAAGAAAGATGGTGTTCCCGTTCTGCTCAACCCAGCCCCGGCCCAGCCCTTGCCTGTGGATGCGTATGATGGGCTAGCCCATCTCGTGGTTAATGAAACAGAAGCAGCCATCCTTGCCGACTGCGCCGAGTCTGAGCTTGATGATATTGACGGCTTGAACCGCGTTGGTCGTGTCTTCATCGATCGTGGGGTTTGCAATGTCATTATCACTTTGGGAGGACGCGGCGTCTACTTCGTCAACAACCGCGGTCAGAGTGCATTGCTCCCTGCAACCAAGACGACTGTGGTGGATACCACAGCCGCTGGCGACACCTTTGTTGGCTCTTACGCTTTGGCCGCAGTGGCCGCCAAAGATGGTCAGTTTGACATTGAGGCTGCTGTCACTGCGGCGAACCGCGCTGCTGCCTTGACCGTTGCGCGAAAAGGCGCCCAGATCTCTATCCCTTGGAAGGACGAACTATAGTAAAAGTAGCGGCAGCTCTTCTTTCGTAGACAAACCAACAAAAGCGTTCGAATTACTACGTGTGCGATTTCTCCACTCTGCCTTCTCTCCAGACCAGCCTAGAACCATGTCACCCATCCCCATCTGCTTGCGTCCTTTTTGCCTCTGCTGCGCGTTGGTGACAATGGTCGAGATTCTTCTGCATCCCGCGAAGGTCCTCGCTCAGTCCCCTGATTCCGGGTTGCTGCTGACAGGCCCGTCATTAGAGGAAACAGGCCCCTGAGAGTCTCGGCCCCAAGGGACCGCCTCTTCCATAGCACACTGCTGTCGGATCTACCTGAAAAGGTTCTTCTACCCTTAGTATCGCAGGCATCAACTTCACCGCCTGTGTATTCTGCTTCTCTTGATTGTGTAGAAGCTGAACTGTTCGTCCCTGTACCCCTGGCACTCCTCATTGCCAGCGGACCCTCGTAGCTCTGCTTCGATACAGAGGTCGACACATAACTGGCACATCTGGATGATTTTAGTCTTGCCTCATGGTGGGAACAAGAGGCCGTCATAGCATCATTAAGTCTGTTCTCTTTGTGACTGCGCTGAAGACTTGCATTTCTCACAGGGATAAGAGGGGTAGGTTTGTTATCCAAAGTCGTCTGCAAAGATGTTATTGGTACAACATCCTTCGTTTGGCTTTCTATCAACCAGGGCACTTGCTTTGGATCCTTGAGGGCGTGGTTCATAGCTGCAATCTGCCTCACTGCCTCTCTCGCATTTGTGACACCCTAGTGTCTATCGATCAGCGGCAGCAGTGGATTGGGTTGTGATGCAGGAGGAGGAGACCAAAGCGACATAGCATTGTGGAGTTTTACAGATGCTGTGGCCACTGTCTCAATTCTGCTGTGTACACTGAACGTCGCATCATCTGCCATCGTGAGGTTCTGATATGTGGGAAATGTTGAATGCCGATATGACAGTCGTACCGTCATGTAGCTGACGGTTGAATCACCAAGCTCCGCTTCGAGCGCTTCTATAAGGCAGTCGGAATCATACTGGGAGCACGCTTGCCTCCCTTTTCGTATGTCCCTTGCAACATGAACTTGCACTTGTACCAGAAGAAAAACGCTTGATCCCGTGCCCATTCGTTTACTATTAGTCAATCAACAACCGTCTGGGTCAGTTCCGATTCCACATTCATTGTGCACCTACATGGGGAAATTTTGCTCGCAAAGAACGCGCACAATCGATGAATCTTCTGTTGGAAGGACCTCTATGTTCATATCAAAGAGACCGCCAGCTTCGAGTGTGTCTTCTACTATAGCAGTTAGCAGCTGTTTACTCAAGACCGAAGCTTCCACACCCACTCTCTTGGTCATGATTTGGTAACCAAGCTAGATCCGTGGATAGACCAGGCTGCTCTCCGTGGTTTTCAGATCGGTCCATCTTCCCAGGAGAAAGCCAAGGCGCAACGGAAATTTCGATCGCTGCCCAAAACAAGTGACAACCCTTCTCAAGAGCAGTCACCTCCGGTGTGATGCTGACATGCGGCGTTATCAAATGCACTAGCCTCGGCTGTCTCGTGCCATTGAAGATCGCTGTCGATTTGTTAGGGCGTTCATTGGGGCGTAAGAGTATCTCTTCTTGGTCTGTTATATGAAGTATCGGCTTTGCCTCTTCTTCAAACATAGTGGCCCCGTCATATATGTTGGTCAAAGGCGGGCGCGCCTTCACAGGACGGCGCGTGTAATATGCAGCAGATAAAGTATTGGCAGATAAAGATAGCGATGGGTAACTCTGTTCGAACGGTGCCCTCGCGTAGGTGTGTGTTTGCCTTGTTTTCTTGACGGATAGCTGGGACAACGGTGTGGCCTCGGGACGTGGAGATAATCTATCATGTTGTGCCCAGTGGTTGGCCTCGTACATGCTTTGGCTACCCTTTTCTTTCAGAATCTGGTCATGCTGAAGGATACCCAAATTCTCTTTGTCTGGAGCCATTCGTTCTGGGTCAACCTTTCGCCTCTTGGCCACTGTGAGTGTTCCGTCTCCCTGAACTGTCTGCCTATGTTTGGCGCTACCGCACCTTGGTTGATCCATTGTATGCCGCATATCCTTGTTCTTGTTGCTGTCATATTTCACAATTCTTAAAGGGCTCGGCCTCTCGCAAAGAGAGCCATGGCCCGAAGCGTAGGCATCGGCCCACGGAGGGGTATTGTAGTTTGAGGCTGACATTGCTGTACGACGAGAGCCTGTAAATGAGGACTGGTCCCGCGTGATTGTCTATGCACCCTCGGTCTTTATGTCGGCTTAGGGCGAGATCTCAGCGACTGGGCGAGGTCGTACAGTTTTGAGGGTGGTATTGGATGGCGGAGATAGCAAAGCTTTTTGTTGGAAACAAGATTCTGTTTATCTCATGACAAATCCATATGCTCTGTTAAATCATATGGCATCACAAGAATGTTTCAATATAGCCAAAGGCGTGAGACACATCCTTTGCTTGCTTTATGCATACAACAATGACGAAGATGATAAATTTGGTAATAGTCGGGCATTGTTCATGTTAGACTCAGCTACTAGAGGTGGGCACAGAAAACAACTCTTGGGTATCAGGGGCGCTCCTGCTGTTTGAGACAACGGGAGGGTGTGACAGATCATGCTAGGCCATGACAATTGGTATAGAAAGCGTTTGCGATCTTTACTACCTGCCCTGGCCGCCTAGATAACTCCTTCCACCTAGAGCAGCAACTGCTATCCCTCTCGGCTACTGGAACTCAATAACTCAGGTAAGGCATTAGGTACTAAGGTACTATCTATCCGGAGAAAAGAGAACCTAGACAATTAAATAAAGAGCTTCTAGGTGTCTCAAGGCTCTTCTATCAACATCTCATGTGGTCTTTCCGAGTGTCCGCTGAAGATTGTCCTTGACCGAATCAATATCGCTGTCCTCCATCGCAAGAAACTTAATCTACGTAGTGTTAGTAAACCTTCAAGCAGATCGCCCAAGTTTGCGGCAAAGAGACTTACCAGATCATCTGAGGTCTTGGTTTCTCCATATAGCACAGGCTCTGACAGACTAGACGCGACATTCTTTTTAACTCTGTCCTCCCAGACCCCATCCCAATTCCATTCCCCGGGCTGTCTGGGTGTAGCTGTAGATGGCACAATCTTTGTGTTTTCTGTCGAAGGCTCGATCTCTTCTTCATTCTTGTGCTCTCCATCTGTCGAACCATCTTCGGCAAGTTTTCCTGTCGCCTTGCGATGCGTCCTCCACGCGTGCCATGCTCCTGGATTTCCTGCTGCGGCAAGGGGTACTGTATCAAGTACTTCCTCGTCGTCAAAAGCACTGCGGATATAGTGTAGGACTTCATAAGCCGAGACAGTCTTCTGTCCGGTGCGCATGTACGAAGGCAATTCTGGGGCTGGGGCTGCTATCGATGCTGGCGTCGTCGAGTTACTAGCTGTTGCGCCGTCGGGGCTCGTCACCTGCTGGCCTGAGGTATGTTTCGCATCTACCATGCTCCGTCTGCCTCGACCAAACCAATCGGGGAATCCATGGCGCAAACTGAATCCACCTGGCGGTAGTCTCTCTTGATCTGAAGCACTCACGGTGCCGCTTTCTTGTATGTCGGTTGTGTACATGTATGTGGTTAAGGGCGTGATGAGAGGGTGGAACATGTCGGTCGAGAAGACTACTAGGGGTGGAAGTTGAGGGTATGAGTCGGGGAATGATATCTGAAATCGTAGTATGGCAGGGCAGTAGGGGCCTATTGTCGTAAGGTCAGTAATAAGCCGACTATCGACTCTAACAAAAGTTAGAGTGTGTCTTACCTTTCCGAACAAAGAGTACACCAGACCAGAGCGTTGCATCTCCCGGGGTAAGACTAACAAATACTCCATCGGGGCAGGCCTGCTTGAGTCCAGCGCTGCGATATCAATGTCAGTCTTGTTCATAGTATTGTGAGCTTTTGAGTACGACGAACAATTCTGATAGGAGCTGTTGTTTGCGCAACGAAGGCAACGCGCTCATATTAAGGGACGGCATTGGAGTTAATGTCACAGTGAAGATTTCCAGAGACTTAATATGTTACTGGCGTATACCGGATGTAATGTAGGGAAATATGATGTATATTCGTCGTGTAGATCGTGATTGACGTGCCCATAAGCGATATGCTTAAGCTTGGTAGCTCTCAGATGTGAAACGGCAGGCGGTGAACCTCACAACTGACAGTGGGGTACTGATCAATATCAGTCGGAATCATAAGCAACTAAATGGGTACGTAGTCATGACATGAAAACTCGCATAGATAAGCTCAATAGTACCAGGTACTTATCAGTTCTGTCATTTACTTGGCTAACCACGAACCCAGTGCTGATGTACGTCATGACAACTTGTTGAACAGTGTCATGATGCCACTTTTGAGATCGTTACCCTATAGGTAGCCTAGCAGTTCAGAGTTCTGCCAAAAGTGATGGATGGCGGGGTCATGCAAGTGGGGTAGTCGCAATCAATGAATACATCCTTAACGAGCAGCATCTGTCTATTCAAAGATCTTCCTCTTGGAACATATGCCCATATCCTATAGACTCGTAATCGTAATTCGTAGCAACCTCTTCAGCTGTCTTAAACGCTGTAAAGATGCCAGCCATCGTCTATTCCTTAAGCAAGTACTCCGTCATGAAACTTTTGGTTAACCCCTCCTCATGTCTTTTCTCCTCATGATGATATCAGATAGGGCACGCAATGCCAATACCAATAGTAAAGAAAACGAATACAAAATTACTGTCCGAGTCGCTTCTCGATCTTGGCCTTCTCTTGTTCCCGAATCGTTGCCACATCGTCTCTCGTAGCGTTGTACGAGGCGGTCACCTGGTTGAAAGGGTTGTCGGGGTGCTTCTCGAACTCTTTCCTGATTCTGGTCTTCCTCTGATCCAGGCGCAAGCCAACTCCGCTACCATCCTTCTTCATCTCCTCGAGTCGTCGCTCCTGGTACTGAGCGAGCGCGGCAGGGAATCGTCGCTCGGGATGTCGGTCGACCTTGCTGTCGTCCTTGCCCCCGGCCAGGGACAGTGCGTCGAGAGCGTTGTCGATACCGGTTGCGCTAATGGCGGAGGGCTTGCTGTCATCGCCGTCAAGCTGGCCGAGGTCAAGACCACGCGACTTTTTAACGGGGGCCTTGGATTTCTTAGGGGCCTTTGCAGGAGTATTGGCATCGTCTTCGGCCGCTAGAGCAGCCTTTTCGGCCTTCTTCCTCTCAGCCTCAGCCGCCTTAGCTTCCTGGGCTTCCCTAATAACAATGTCAGCAATTCATGCGCAATGTGCCCTTGAGCGTCATCGAGAACTCACTTCTTGGCGTTGCTCTTGGCGCCCTTTGACCACTTATCGGCCTCATCAGCTTGTTGGCGGGCGTCATCGGCGGCCTGCTTTTGAGCAGCAGCTTCCGCCTTACGGGCGTTGCCCGCGACCTTCTTGGTGTTCTCCTTCTTGCCGGCCATTGTGGAGGAGCAACAAATGGGCGATGCGTGTGTTTGAGTGGTGGGGAACTGCAAGTGTTGCTGGCAGCTGATCAGAAAATAGACGGGATTCGGAGCGCGTTGTTGGTTGCAGGAGGAGATGCGAAATGGGGCACCTTCGCAGTTGGATTTTGGATTGCTTGGTGGAAAAGAGAGACGAAGAGATGCGATTGTCGTACCGTCCGCGTCGTCAGAGTCAGAGTCAAATTGGTGGTGCCCAACTGATGACGGATGCCCGGAGAATTAGCGGACCGTACAGTGCCATCAAGAACCATGATCCACACTGTGTTACATAGCCATGATGCCAAGCTACCTATCACGGGTATCATGCAAATGACCTTGGGCCTGAGTAAACTTCTCAAGTTTACTATTGCAGGAATTGTTATTTCAAATCACTGCAGTCTGGATAGTGTCAATTGCGATGCCCGAACCTTGCCGTTGATAGCGGTGGTTGGCCGCCAACCTTTCGAGCATGCACATGTGCTGCATCGCCTCGGCGAAGGCTTCCAACTCGGGCATGTATGCATCATGAGAGGAACTGCCGGGTGTGTTTTAACGAAACAAATAGCATCATCAGCAAAAGTTACACTCGCTTACAATGCAATGCGCCGTGCCACCTGTCTTAGCAGCTCGTTATGCGAACGGTCGTGGGCGAATGAGAGGTTGCAAGTTGGGAGACTTGCGAGTGTCCTCGAAGGTACATGGCCAGCATGACAAAGATGTTTGCAGTTTGAACTGCAGTAGACTCCCCGATAATAGGAGCGACGTGCATCAATAGTCGAGCCAGGCTGCTCACATGCTAACCTTCAGCCTCAACACATCAGTTAGGCGCCTTGCATGGGTGGCGGTCAGGTTGCACAGAGGTTCGCGTTACACAGCAGGGGTTAGCAATGACTGACTGGAAGTTAGCGTAAGTGCAAAGTATCAGGAGCAATAATGTTACCATAAGGCTACAAAGTTGGTCGCAGCTTGGGGCCAAATTGAGAGAACATTTTTGTCACCCCCAGCATCATCCTTGTCATCCTTGATGTTTAAGCAACGAGCTTTGCCACGACGCATCTCACGATGAAGCCACATCGACAAGGGAATCTTATGATAGTCGAGTTACAATACTCGGAAAGTGTGGCCACACCATCAACAGTTCCCCAGATGCGAAAGTGTTCTCTGGAGGCCGTCTCTGCCTCTTACATGCAGCTCCCGAGCCGTGGGATCGGGAACAATGGACGGCCCAAACGCCAAAATAAGAATTACAGCTTCACAACGGGCAACCAACTCGGACGATCCCCCACAAGCCGGGTTTTACTCCGGTTTACTCGGGCACAGGGCTGAGTATCTTAGTTTCCTCCGCTGCGGGATGTTGAGACAAGATGTCAAATTCGTAGTAGCTGCAGAGCAGGGGGGGAAACATCCTGCATGACCGATAAGTGTCCGAGGCCAAGGGTATGACTATGCAGATAGTTGTCAATCAATCAAACTGGAACATTATTAGCCAGTTAAGGTATTGGGGGCTGACAAGAACCTGGCTCGTGCTGACCGCCCACGACTGACAAGCCGTGTATTGTCAAGTACAACAATCTGAGAAATCATATGATGATGGCATCAAATGTTAATATCGGTTGCAGACTTGTGGTAAGCACATATCATCCAGACATGCTCAAAGAGGCTTGAAGCATCTAGGCAGTAGCTTACGCTGGTCAAAAGCCATACAGACCCTTGAAGTCTCGCCTCGCGAACAAACACATCCTGGGAATAATGCGACTCGGGATGTTGCATATTCTCGAGGATATTTGGAAATAGGACATCCGGATGATGTACCCGCGAGACAACGAGCAATATCAACGGGAATATCAAGTAAATCCTTTAGCATTTCCGGATGAACCCTGTAAACCTGTAACCTTGCAGTTGATGCTATTCAAGAAGCCTATCTATAGCTATCCTGCCTGCCTGCCTGCCCACCTGCCTGCCCACCTGCCTGCCCACCTGCCTGTCGATCTGCTCACCGATAAGTGAGACCTTGATATAACATACATCAGACGGAACGGCACGGGGCTCATCATCCTTTGACCCGGTTTCTCGATTTGGTTAGATGTCCGATGCGTATGAAGGAGCCAGATCCGCCAGGGAACATCATATAAGAGCTGAAAATAGCAAACCGTCCATGTCGACGCACTTTTATGTCGGAAGGCTATATCCGGTACGTCGTGTAACCTCGAGAAGCAGCTGTATTTCCACCTTTGGCTGTACGGAGGAGGCGGATGCTGTTATCTGCTCGAAAGGGTGCGTCACAGGTTCATCAAGTGCCTGTCAATTCAAGCGCCAAGCCCTTGAAAACAGTGTGGCATATATAGCATACGTCGGGAACGTACGTGGTAACCTTATGTTTCAGCGAATAGCATAGACTTGACGGTTGAAACATTTTATCTCCGGGGACTCGGCTCAGCACTGACTGACAGGTCGGTGTAAGTGATATATCACGAAGCGGTGGAAGAACGAGCATTGACACTGCCTCTTTCTCACCTGCCAGTCGATCCAGGAAGTTTGCATTGGGCTATAAACGGAACAGACCGATATTAACAAGCTCAAGGATTCAGGGGAGAAGCATGGTGGTACCGTAGCTGGGCAAGATGTTGTAGGCGAGCCTGAGGGCGCTGATATGAGCTCTGACAAAGCCACTCATCTGGAGAAACAGTTGCAGATACAAATGCAGACGCGTACATAGACGTAGACGCCAGATAGGTCCTGTAAAACAAAACCTGGCGCTGCACTGTAGGTGGTCACCAAGGATGTAGTCGGGTGTAAGACTGTGCCGTGTCTAAGCCCTAGGATTGCTGGCTTCACGACCAGGATGCCCGCCCGTATTCTGGCGACTGTTCTCTCTTTACAAGCGAGAGACTGCATGAATGAAAACGAAATATGACAAATCACTCCGCCATATCAACCGGGCGATGTCGTTTTCGTTTTGAATGTATCCGTACTGTAGCTGTAGTGCACATGCCGTTGTTTGTCACCGCCGCAGCGTAACAGTGGGATAACCTGGTTTGAAAACCTGGTTTTTGTTACCGGAACATGCTGTTTTCTCATGTACGCCCGTATGATAGCCCCCCTGCTGTGCAACGTTGGCTCTCAAATCATGGTGTTGTTCTTTTATGCGGGGAACCGGCGAGATCCAAGCGCTGGCAATGGGATTTTAGGAAGGGGAGAAAAAAAGAGGACGGGACAGTTCCCCGTACAGAGTCAGTCAAGACTCAAGAGTATCCGTAAAATGGGATAGAGCAGGGGGAGCACATCTGCGTCAAAGCCAAGGAATAAGACATACATGACATGTACAAGCATGGGTTGGTCGAGAATGGATCGACAGCAAGGGACCTGGAACACGACGAAGCAGAGGCAAGACAAGGCAGGGCAGGGAAGGGTAAGGTAAGGTAAGGTAAAGTGAGGAGGTAAGGGTAGATATGGTAGGGCCTCGTTTGGGTGATTGAGTGAGCGCGTCAAGCTCATTTTTATGGAGTAAGTTAATTTACCGCGAGTTTGATCTGGTGTAAGTCGGTGAGGTGAGGTGAGGCAACCTGACCGAGTCCGGATAGTACTGTCAGATTCAATTTACCTCCACGCCTCATATATGGAGTATCGGGTATCCGTACTATTGATGTTATACTTCGTTACAAGATTAACCATACGGAGTACAGTAGTATTCACCATGGTTGTGCGGCACAGGCGGGAAGTCAGGTTAGTGATTAAGGCTGCAGATGGGAGATTATGACCGTTGGTTCCAGGCCTGGCCTGGGCGGGCTCTGACTTCTGAGTTGCTTGGTTGAAGAGGGAAAAGGGAGAGAGACCCGGTGAGCTGGAACCGCCCTTGTCTGTTTTAAACCAGATCAAGGGCGAGGTTTCGACGGTGAGGATATGCTATGGTAGCACCTATATGCTACCAAAGTTTGAGGCCATTCACACAAACCACTAATCCAACAATACATACTAAGTTCGGATCCCTACAAGCAAAAACTCAATGTTGAGTTTACCTTATGCCACGGAGTCGGGATATTTAATGAGATGTACGGTAAATAAAAGTCAATGCGGTAGGCGAGGGAGGGCTTCATCGTGAACGGACGTCATAAACGCAACGGTGCCAAGCGATCACCATGACGGATAACTTGAGGCGGGGCCGGGCGCGTGTGTGTATGCATGTACGTAGTATGCATGCGTAGTATTAAAGGGGATTGTAGGACTGTAGGTGTAGATAGGTTGTCGAGAAAATACATATCTGCACCTGCAGTCAATAGGAATATTGTTGGTTTGGCATCATGTCCTTAAGCTTTCGTCTAGTCATTTAGTTGCATACTGCTACTGTACTCTGCCGACTAGGGAGTAGAAATCTCCTTTATCCACGTGCCAGGTCTAGGCTTAGTTGGGTTCCACTATCTCGACTCAACTTTGTAACTTGTTTGTGAGCCACAGGTTGGTAGTATCAAGACACAACAGGGTCTGACGAGGGAGGAAACACAGCACAGCTACAGAAGGGGAGATGAGGGTTCAAACAAAGCCAAGCCAAGCCAAACAGGCTCAAGTCATGGTGACCAGCATCCGTATCATGTCGTATCATATCGCATCACATGCCTCATCATCATCATCATCATCAACTTGTCATGCCCATGTCGTGTTGGTGTTGAGGTCGTGTCGGCGGCTACACTTGCTGTTGGTGCAACATAAAAGGTAAATAAGTAAAAAAAAGGCAAAATGCGAAAGCAGGGAAGGCTAAGACAGGGTAGTAGTCCAGGTCGTTAGCATCTCCAACTTCTGCTTGCGGCCAAAAGGGATTGACGGTGCAAATCCAATTCGTCCGGGTCGCCCAAGCGCACTTCCCCGTCATGGAGCTTGAGGATGGTATCCGTATGTGTGTATGGAGTATGCAAATCGCAAGATTTAGAGCCGCCATGGCTCTATCCCGCCCTTTGTGTACGGAGTAGGGAGCACAATAGGTACGG